TACTCAGTGAGGAGGAAATGGGCCCATTCCAAACCACTGCAAAATGTGGGAACACTCAGTTCTGGAAACACCTTGGTTATTTTGAAAAGCTTCCAAGACTGTTTTCTTGCTCCTCAGGGTTTAAACATCTCAAGGAAAAGCTTCTTCAGACCCAAGCCTCCCAGAGAGGCCACGTTTCTGCCGGACCAGAATTCTGCTCCCCTCGGGGCAGACGCAGAGCAGGAGGCTTGCTCTGGCCAAGGACAGGGGGACAGCGTCCATGTGCATAGAGCCTTTCCCTGGACACTCTTCGGGGCAGCTTTTTGAAAAAGCCTGAACGAGAGTGGATCATTTTTAGAATGATCTGCTCTGCTTACTTCCCCTCGCCAGCTGTCCCGGGATCGCCCTGAAATGGGGGGGTCGGCGAGCTGAGCGAGCGCGGGTGACTGAGACGCAGCCTGGTTCCGAAGCCGCCGTACAGAGCATCTCTGCTTATCCCGGTCAGCCTGCCGCCGCCTTCTGCTGGGACTGTGCACTGTGTTCGCCCAAGGCCAAGATGGGTGGGCATTGTGCCCCCAGGATGGCAGTGAACTGAGAGCAGGTTCTGCCCGATGGGTCGGTTCGCGTGGGGTGACGGCAGGAGCGCACTCAGCATTCAGAGTGCTGTCGGGGGTTGGTGTCTGGGGGGCGGGCGGGGGGGCGGGGGGGCGGGGCCGACAGGCTCCTTTCAGATTTTTGATTCCATGACCCTGGTACTGAAACAAGGGTGTGAGTGGGACCTTGGCAGTCTCGGTGGTGCAGAGGAGGGGCCGGGCCGCCCTGGAGCGACTCGTGAGATCGAGGGCCCGGCGCCCGTGGGACCAGGTGTGTGACAATCCGGCGCTGCCTCACTCCGCGTGTCCCGAAATCCAGCAGCAGAGGGGAGTGTCCCTCGTGTGGATGTCCTCTCGCCACGGTGCCAGTGCTGTGGCCACACATGCCGCTGCCGTTGCCGTTGCCCTCGTGGTTCTGGTCTGGACCGGTCCCACCCTGAGAACTGGGCCGAGCCCTGTGCCTGTCCCCGGAGTCGGCAGGGAGTGGCGTCGCTCTGCCTGCTCAGTGTGTGCAGCTGGTAGGACGCAGTCACACGGTCGATGAGGCCTTGACGGCCATGAGACACGGGTCACCCGCTAAAAGCAGCAGCTGGCCCGAGGCCCGGGATGGGCTTTGCGGGCAGCCGAGAGCCAGGTGCACACCCACGGCACACCCAGTGTCCGCCGTCCTTGCGCACCCCCAGTGGGGCTCGGCGGCCCCGCTGCTGTGGCTCGAACCCTTTTCACGCCCTCCAGTCCAAACCCGCATTGAGAACACGGACTGAGAGAACGGGAAACAACTGTCCACGAGACTGTTCCGAACCGTGGTCACTGCCGGAGTTTCTAGACCACAGGTATATAAAGTTGGGTGTCTGTTGCCAAAACGCCAAGATAGATTGCTTTGTAAATAGGTTTATGTTCATGTGATGAAGAAGCAGTGTCCTATTTTTTCACCAAATTGTATGACTTTGGCTAAGTGCTATTTAAGCCAGAGTGAAAGTGGCCCAGAATCCAGTGTTTCAGTCTGATTCCCAGGAAGGTGCGGCTCCTGACCCTCCTGGCTCTCCCGGTGCCGCCCTAGACTGTGCCCTGCTGGGGCAGGGGGTCCTCCAGAGAGGAGCTGCGGAGGGCGAGGAGGGCCAAGCCTAGGGCCGAGAGCAAGCTGCCCGGGGGCCACTGGGCGGGGCCGGAACGCAGAGCCCACGGGAGGCTGAGCCGTCCTGTCCCGGGCACCGCACTGCTGTGCCCTAGACGGCGCGGGTGCAGGGCTGCCCGCCGTGGATGTGGGGTGGGCGCGGCGAGGGCGTGAGCTGCTCTCCTCTCCATTCGGGTGGCCCCACATGCTGTGACTCCTGGTGTCACTGTGGCGGGCGGGCAGTGTCGGCTGTGGCTGAGCCGTGTCCCCAGGGTCTGTGCAATTCATTTACTTGTGCTCCGCACTTACTTGGCTGTTGGTCCAGCCGACGGCCCTGTGTGAAGCACAGCGTGTTCAGTCCTCCCTGGTTCTCTTACCCGACAGGGAGGAGGCTGTTGCCGTGTCTGAGCTCATGTCTTTGCCTCATTCGCACAAGTTGCTCTGTGGTGGAGGAGAGCCCTTCACCTCTGCAGTTCTGACTTCCGTGCCCACCTCGGTCCGGCCCCCCTTCGGCTCCCGGCCTGGTTTTCCGTTGGTCTCGGGTAGCTACGCCCGGCTGCCCTCCGGTCAAGATGACCTGAACAGTTTTACTTCCCCCTTTCTTGTTATTAATGACATCGTTACCTCTGCAGTTGAGGTCGGAAACCTCGGCGTGTTTGTTTCTTCTTGAGCACAAGGGCCTGGTGGTGCCTCTGCTCACTCTGCCTTCAGTGTCACCTGCTCTGTCCTCTCTCTCCATGCTGAGCCCGAGTCCAAGCCTGTCTCCCTTCTCAGTCACTGTGCGGCCCTGTCCCTCCAGCCAGGTGTCGTCCCTGCGCCGGTCCTGCTAAGTGCTGGAGACAGACAGGACCACACAGGAGCAGCTTGAGCATCTTCCAGTCTAGTGGGGAGACAAAGATGCAAACAGCAGCTTCAATAGTTTCTCACTAGAATGACGTTTGAGATCTTGGCTAGGGACCCTCGATACTGGACCCTTACAAGAGGGAATCAAGTCCAAAAGTAGGTATTTGGCAAGAATATAAAGGTGCTTACTTGCTGGGAACGAGGAAGATGGAAACTGCGCGGGAATCCCCACTTAGGCGAGTGCGAAGCAGTTCCAGGCAGAGTGTACAAAATCATACAACCTGAAAGTATTTACAGAACGTGGAAGAAATTAATTGTTGCCCTGGCCGGTTTGGCTCAGCGGTTAGAGCGTCGGCCTGCGGTCCAGAGAGACCGGGTTCGGTTCCCGCTAAGGGCACGTACTTCGGTTGCAGTTTGTCCCAGGGCCTGGTTGGGGTCGTGTGGGTGGCAGCCACTCGATGTGTCTCTCTCACATGGATGTTTCTCTCTCTCTCCCCCTCCCGCTCTATCGGAAGATAAATGTAAGAATGTCCTCCGGCGAGGATAAAACAGAGAGAAATTAATTGTCCACTCAGTAGATGTTTGTTGGGCCCTGGGATTATCTGGTGACTAAGGCAGGCAGGCTTCTGTCCCCAGAGCTGGTCCAGCGGTGGGTGGTGAGCACCAGGACCAGACCAGCAAGCGCAGGACGTGTGATCGTGATGGCTGCCGGGAAGGGCAGGCTGGGGGCTCCTGCCCAGGGGTCACAGTGGCCTCGGGAAGTGGCAGAGGCGCTCCGACTTGAAGGGTAACTCTCATCTGTTCAACCCGTTTCACAGGGAAGGGAACTGAAGCCTAGAGCAGTCATGACCTGATACAGACTGGTGGCAAGCCAAGCCTAGAACTCCTGACTGTGGCCCGTGGGCACCTCGACGACCGTCCAGACGGCCCGAGCGCGGTGCCCTAAACGCTCCCCTCTCATAGCACAAAGTGGGCCTTGAGTAAACGTTACTATATAGTTCTTAACCTGCCGACAAGGCTGACACCTTTCTTAAAGTGCTGGAACTACATTTGCACATTCAGTGGACGGGAATTTGCGGTCTACGGAGTCCATCATTTCGGAGTCACTTACAGTTGCTGGGAACTTAGGTTTGTTTATCCAACTACAGTGAGGATAAAATCTAAGCATTCCATCACGGGCCTGGAAAACAGCAAATACAAGACAAGTACATATTAGAACTTACGTAGCCCTGGCCAGTTTGGCTCAGCAGTTAGAGCGTCGGCCCGCGGACCAGAGAGACCCAGGTTCGATTCCAGCCAAGGGCATGTACCTCGGTTGTGGTTCGTCCCTGGCCGGGGTTGTGTGGGTGGCAACCAGTTGATGTGTCCCTCTCACATGGATGTTTCTTTCCCTACCACTCTGTCTAAAGATAAAGGTAAAAAATAAATAAATAAAACTTAAATACCTTAAATCTATTTAAAAACACTCTTGGAATGACTCATCTTAAAAATATATGTAACAAGTCTGGCCGGTATGGCTAAGTGGCTGAGCGTCGACCCAGGCACCAAGAGGTCACCAGTTCGGTTCCCGGTCAGGACACATGCCCAGGTTGTAGGCCCGATCCCCAGTGGGGGGCATGCAGGAGGCAGCTAGTCAGTGTTCTCTCTCATTTATGTTTCTATCTCTCTTTCTCTTTCCCTCTCCCTCTCCCTTCCTCTCTAAAATCAATAAAGGGAAAAAAATTTAAAATAGATAAGTCACAAAGCATAGTTTATTGGCGATGCTTCGGCGCCGTAGCATACAAACAGACTCAGTGCTTTCTACCCTAACAATTCTTGTACAGATAAACTTAATCAAATCAGTCGGTCCGGGATACATTTGCAGTAAGAGAACTTATAAAATAAATGACTTGGCATTATCTCTTTCCAAATCTGGACGGATTGGCTGGGTGTCTCCCTGGGCCTATTTCTCATTGCATGTAGATGAAAAATGCCCATGTGTTTAGCTCTTAGTACCAGAGAACTGCTAAGTAGGTTTATCTGGTTATTTCATGTGATCACTCAGATTCGACCGTCGGCGCTTTCCTTCTGAGTCACTGTTTTTCCTCGAAATGCTTTTGAATGTTTGCATTGCGTGAACACAAGAGTTGGTATGACAAGCCATATTTTTTATGGAGGTTTCTTGTAAAAGAAAGAAAATAATAATTTGTAAATAGATTAGTCTTTTCAGAAACATAGCTAAGGTTAAAAATATTTTTAAAATTTTTTGCCTTTTATTTGCTTTTTTTTCATCTGGAGTCAAAATTGAACAGTCCCTGCTAACTTCTTTTTGCTCCTTACTGTACTGGCTGGTAACTCTGCACGTAAACACAGACTGTTCAGTTTCACCAAGATGGTGACTCACTGGTGAAAGAAAACTCGTGTGTAGGACGAACCCTTGGTTTGGCTGTTTTCCTGGCGGGCGCTGACCCTGTCTCATGTCCCCCGTTAAGGTGCCGCAGTGGTGTGCCGAATACTGCCTGTCCGTCCACTACCAGCACGGGGGCGTGGTGTGCACGCAGGCCCACAAGCAGACCGCCGTCCAGCTCGCCCTGCGGGTAGCAGACGAAATGGACGTCAACATTGGCCATGAGGTTGGCTACACGATCCCCTTTGAGAACTGCTGCACCAGTGAGACCATCCTGAGGTTGGTTTGGGGGTTCCGCCTGCTGTGCTTGACAGCTCTGGGCTTGTGTTTGGAAACCCTAGAAGAGTGTACTCCAGCATTCTACGTTTTAAGCATCCGTCACGTGTAGGAACCGGTCTCTGTCCCTGGCCTGGGACGAACCAGCTGTTCCCAGACTGACCTCATCAGGGATTCCTTGTCTAAACTTCTTCCCTGACTCCAGCTTGTTGGGGTGGCCCCCAAACACCTCAGCATGTGCTTCTGCGGCTCCTCCTCAGGATGGGTCCATGTGGGTAGTCTGCAGGCCAGGCAAGCGGACCTGTGGGTGTCCCCTCCCTGCCATTCCCTCTGCGTGCCACGCCTGCGCCCTCCCGGGCCTGGCTGCTTCCTCCTGTCCGTGCAAGGGTCGGACTCCAGGATGGCTTCGCGGGCCTCCTGCAGTGTAAACAGAAACCCCTGGGTTGCTACAGAACTTGACACCAACCTCATCACGGAAGTTTAGAGCCACATTTTCCAAACTACTTTCAGGGTCCTGCGGGTTCCCGGGAGCCTTCCCAGTGGCTACCACGGCGCGTGGGGAAGGGGCGCCCTTCTTGTGGCTCTTCTCGTTTCAGCTTCGAGAGCTTTCTTTGCACAAAGGGTCGCGCCAGAGCTGAGCACAGAAGAAACAGGAAAAGGAAGAGAAGGAAAATTGTAAACACGCACTGCTCTGAGCCCGTTTCCACGCAGCTTTGCCTCAACCACATAGAGAGCGGGAGTGTCTTAGAGATCTCGCGGGATTTCCATGGCTGCTCGCAGCCAGTGACCATGCCCAGGGCCTCAGCTGCCCAGCACTGCCTGACACTCCAGGCTGAGGGGACAAGGGTCTCGGAGCAGTGTGTCCGCACATCATGAGCCATTTGTGTGGCCCAGCTGCGTACATGGCTCACCACGGAGGAGCTCTATGCTAGTGTAATGGGGGTGGCACAGTAGGTATGGTACACACAGAGCAGCAGTGTAGTGTAGTGTAGTACAACACAGTACAGCATAGCCCTATTGTGCACTGCAGCACAGCACAGCAGTGTATACAGTGTAGCACGGCACAGCAGTGTATACAGTGTAGCACAGCACAGCAGTGTATACAGTGTGGCATGGCACAGCAGTGTATACAGTGTGGCACAGCATGGCACAGCAGTGTATACAGTGTAGCACAGCACAGCAGTGTATACAGTGTAGCACAGCACGGCACAGCAGTGTATACAGTGTAACACAGCACGGCACAGCAGTGTATACAGTGTAGCACGGCACAGCAGTGTATACAGTGTAGCACAGCACGGCACAGCAGTGTATACAGTGTAGCACAGCACAGCAGTGTGTACAGTGTAGCACAGCACAGCAGTGTGTACAGTGTAGCACGGCACAGCAGTGTATACAGTGTAGCACAGCACGGCACAGCAGTGTATACAGTGTAGCACAGCATGGCACAGCAGTGTATACAGTGTAGCACAGCACGGCACAGCAGTGTATACAGTGTAGCACAGCATGGCACAGCAGTGTAGTGTAATGTCGTGTAGTACAGTACAGTACGGCACAGCAGAGCAGTATAGTGCAGTGTAGTGTCATGTAGTGTCATCTAGCACAGTGCAGCAAGCAGAGCAGAGCAACAGAGTGCAGAAGAGCCTAGTCAACAGCACAGCATGGCACAGGACAGGACACTGCAGTAGCAGCACAGAGGAATGGCCTTCCTGTGCACTGAGCGTGCCAGCACCTGGCATGCGTGTCCCTTGGAGACCCCCAGCAGTGACAGTGGACGGAAGGGAGGAGCTGTCCTGTCCGCAGGCTGCTGCAGGTCTCCTCCCTTCCTTCCCCATCAAGAAGCCCATGACTCGTGTGGTTCAGACTCAGCTGCCTTCCCGCAAACATGTATCTTCTAAAATAGAGACACTGGTCTCAGGCCGGGGTTGAACCAGAAGGGATCTCCAACCCACAGCACATCTCAAAGACAGGCCCCCTTGTGCTGTCACAGCCGTGATGTCCCCGTGTCATCACATTAGTGTATATTTACAAGTTATTTATTATACAGGTGGTCCAGGAGTAATACCAGTGAAACTCACACACCTCCCAGCTTCTCAGGAACTCACACCAGTTGAAGAGTTAGACAGGGCAGGTCGTATGGCCCTGGCAGAGTGAAGGGTGCCTAAGCTCGGCCGACTTGTTCTTCGTCCTCAACCTTCGGAAGCGGCCTCGGAGTGGCCGTGGCTTTCACAGACAGCTCTGACTAGGTTCTAAAGTTAGTGTATGTATTTTTATGTCTTTTCTGCCATCTGGACTTTGGAAACCTTTCGGAAAGGACTCTTGGATACAGTCACTCTTAAAATGGAATATTACAATGTTTTTATCTTCATTAACATTATCACACACACGTAACTTCTAGAAAGCCATGGGTGCGCCCTGGAAGGCGGGTGGGGTGAGGGCCCTCGGCTGCTGCAGGTTCTGCGTCGCTCTGTCTGCCGGGCCACCTGGCCCTCCCTTTGGCTTTGTTTTAATCCCCACCTGAGGATGTTTATTGATTTTTAGAGAGGGGAAGGGAGAGAAAGAGTGAGACAGATGGACACATATTGATGTGAGAAAAAAATATCGATTGATTGCCTCCCGCAACTGTCCCAACCCCGGATCAGACCTACAAGCTTTTGGTGTACAGGACGAGGCTCCAACCCACTGAGCCACCCAGCCAGGGCTCCTCGTCTTGTCTTCCCCTGACAGTCACGCGTGTTGCTGGAACTGTGTCCTTCTCCCCTGACGTGCCCCAGCCAGCACAGAGCCAGGAGCTACTCTGATGTATTACCAACAGGGTGTGATTTGCAGCAAAGCAGCCAGAACTGTTGAAAAGCCCCCGATGATAAAGAAAGTAGTCCCCTAGATTCCGCCGGCCCTCTGAGCCCTGGAGACGAGGCAGCAGGCCTGCAAAGTTAGCATCTCGGCCGCCTACTCACTGTGGCCATAGCCTGGCCCAGGTCACCTGACCTACCTGTGCTCAACTTCCTCGTCTCTAAAATGGGTGCTTAAGCCCTGACCAGTTTGGCTCAGCGGTTAGAGCATCAGCTGGTGGACAGAAGGGTCTTAGGTTCGATTCCTGGTCAAGGGCATGTACCTGGGTTGCAGGTTCTTTTTCTGGTCCCCAACAGGGTCATGTGGGAGGCAGCCAACTGATGTATCTCTCACATGGATGTTTCTCTCTCTCTCTCTCTGTCCCTCCCTCCCTTCCACTCTCTCTAAAAATCAATGGAAGAATATCCTCTAGTGCCTGGCCGATGTGGCTCAGTGGACTGAGCATCATCCCATGGGCTGAGAGGTCCCAGTCAGGGCACCTGCCCAGGTTGTGGGCTAGATCCCTAGTAGGAGGCATGCAGGAGGCAGCCGATAGATGTATCTCTGTCACAACCATGTTTCTATCTCTCCCTTCCTCTCTAAAAAAAAATCAATAAAAACATAAAGCAAAGAAACAAAAAATATCCTCAAGTGAGGATTAACAAAAAACAATAATAAAATAAAATGGGTGCTTAATACCTGCCCACAGGGTTGATGTAAGGACCAAATGAGCTAATATGTGTGACTGACATGTATACATAGCTACTTTTGTAATTATACAGGTAAATTAGAGCCAGATTCATTTTCCTGGAGAGGTATGCTAGCCCTAATTTTTAGTAAGCTCAGATTGAATAGCTATGTAAATACGAGGATTTGAGGTTGATGTTGACTATACTGTCTTTTTCATTTTCTTTTTAAGCCCTTAGTATCTATCTACTAGGCACATAATACATCGTCCCTCGCCACTCCGCGCTTCGACCTTTGCGGCTTCACTGTTGCGGTTTTTGAGTGGCGAGGGACGACTGTGTAAATAAAGAATCCTATACTTCGCGGAAATTCATTCATCGCGGTAGAGTCTGGAACTGATTAACCGCGATAAACGATAAACGAGGGCCGACTGTAGATACTTAGTAAATCTAACCTTTATGCCGACTGCCTGTCTTTGATACTATGTGACAACCGCATTCTTTTTTTAAAAACATTTTTTATTTTATTTTATTTTTGTTACAGATGTTTCTCCTTTTTTACCCTATTGACACCCTCCTCCCAAACCCCCCCACCCCATCCCCGGTTTTGTTGTCCATGTCCATTGGTTATGCGTACATGCATGTAAGTTTGTAGTTTCTTCCTTAAACTTTAGTGTAGCCTTTTTCGAAGCAGTGGATACCTGAACGTGCTATCCCTAGAACAATCTTTCTACACTAGACATCAAGACATCCTGTAGAAGCAATACAGGTCTCAAACACAGACCCTCTAGAACACCAAGTTTAAAAGAACTTCCAAATGTTCCTTTACAGTCAAATTCAATATATATTATTTTAGAAAATATTAGTAAGACGTTTCTGTATTTTATATTTTTACCTTTCAGAAATTTAGTGCTAGGGATTTAAAATGTAAAATGCATTTCCTGAAACTTGGGCAAATGCTTACCCGACAATGGTATTTTGATGCTATATTTTTGTTTAGAAAGCTCGGAGCGAATGTTAAATGCAGCTCCTGTTAATACCTGCATTAACATTTAGGGCAGAGGCCTTTAACTAGGGTTCAGAGATGGTCTTTGGGGGGGGTCTGTGAACGTGTGTAAATTGTTTAAAATATTTTATATGTACTGCAGTTCTGAAAGTCTGTAGATTTTATCGACTTAAATGAATCTTGGCCCCAGTGAAGATTTAGACTCCTGACAGAGAACAGGAGGTAGGAAAGGCATTTTGCTGTCCTTGGGTTTTCTGTGTGGCCTCTCCGAAGGGTCTCCTGACCCGAGTGTCCCCTCTCTGCAGGTACTGCACCGATGAGATGCTGCAGAGAGAGATGATGTCCAACCCCTTCCTGGGCAGCCACGGGGTCATCATCTTAGATGACATCCAGGAAAGAAGCATAGCAACTGATGTGTTACTTGGCCTCCTTAAAGGTGTTTTACTAGCAAGACCGGAACTGAAGCTGGTCATCAACTCCTCACCGCTCCTGCTCCACAAGCTCAGCTCCTACTATGGAGACATGCCCCTCGTCGAAGTGAAGAATAAACACCGCGTGGAGGCGGTGTACCTTGGTGGGGCTCAGAGGGAGTCCTTGGAGTCTGTTTTACGCCTCGTGTTTGAGATTCACCGCTCTGGTGAGAAGGGGGACGTCGTCGTCTTCCTGGCCTGCGAACAGGTAAGTGATATTCTGTCCTGACAGAGTAATAAGGCTCCTTACTGGAAACCTTTTCACCTTGCTGGGTCCTTCTAATGACTAACACACAGGTTTCAGTTTGCTAATAAACTGTCAATATTTGGTTCCACCACACCTCAGCTTTTGAACTTTGGAAGAAACGTAGGCAGGTAAATAAAACCTGAGCCGAGAAGGAAGTGTTTCCAAAATTACGCGCTGCCCTGAAAACAGACCGGAGGAGGCGCTGGGTCCGCGGCCCAACCTCCAGAGCCAGGGCCCTCCCTCCACGCAGGCGCGCGGGCACCGCCCCAGGGCACCGCCCCGAGGGCACCGCCGGGCTGTCCTGCTGCCGGGCCTGTGCAGCTTTTGTCGGAATTGCAGAACATAACCTGAGTATGTGGCACAGAGTTAATGAGCGAAAGGAGACCCCACAGATGTCCCTGCCGCCGCCGGGGGGTGTCGGGCAGGAAGGCATGAACCACAGACCCTGAAGGCTGTCTCCTGGGGCTCCTGTTCTCAGTAAGGTGAGGGAGAGAAATCTTAACTTGGATTCTTCAAAATGTCTTTTCAAAAGAACAACTGGGAATGTGTAACTGAGCCTCTGTTATTGCTTTTCCAGTCAGGGTGCCACTTGGGGAAACATATTTTATTATTATTATTTTTATCCTCTCCAAGGATATTTTCCAACTGAATTTTAGAGTGGAAGGACCAGGGAGAGAGAAATCGACGTGAGAGAAGGACATCAGTTGGCCTCCCACACCCCCCGGCTCCGCTTGACCTGGGCCGGTGATCGAGTTGCAACCCAGGTACGTGCCCTTGACCAGAAATCAAACCCGAGACCCTTTGGTCCGAGGGCCAACACTCTAACCGTTGAGCAAACCGGCCAGGCCGGGGACGCGTATGTTTCATTGCAGCTGCGCTGACCCTTCTCAGTCCCTACTCTGCATCCAAGCCTCCAGCCTCCAGAATTAGACCTTTCATCTGAGAGTCATTTCCTGGTTCTTCCTTCCTGCCCATCTGCTCACTCAGAGAGCAGAGGACGAGTTTTTAGCCCATGACCCAAACACGTGGGGATCCCGGGACTGAGCGGGAACCCAAATGGGACTTCCAGTCTCGGCCGAGACGCCAGGCGAACAAGCCCACGGCCCTCCGCTGCCCTGCAGTCTTCCTGCTCGTCACCTGCTTCCCGAGTACTTGTCTCGTGCGCAGAGCAGAAAGGTGACCGACCTCTGCCTGGGAACATGGGACCTTTCTCACAACTGAAATTTTATCTGTCTCCATAAAGACGGTAACTTAAAATCTCAAATATATGATTACTATAGCATATTTATCAACTTTCTGTGTATAGATTATACAGTTTTCTCAGTACTAAAGCCTCTGCCTACTGCAGGATTTAGTGTCATCATGTCCTAATCTTGCATGATTAAAGATATTCCAGAAAGCCCTCAGGAAGGTCGTGAAATGATTAAGGAGACAGAAGGGTTTCTGAATACAGCTAGGGTTTGGGAAGCCTCGGGCAGGGGAAGGGACAGAAGTCTCGAAGATGGAGAACTGGAATCTCCAGGTGAGGACGACAGCGGCTTGGGGGGGAGTCTAAGACGGAGGAGTAGGCATCTTTCAAGTCCAAGGAGGCAAACACTCCCAAGTGGATTTTGCCAACAAAATCTTGTAACAGAATTGGGGGCGACGGTCTTAGAGCACGGATTCTCCTAAGTTTGACATGAGCTGTGAGTGACGGCAGAGTGCCCCGCGCGCTGTCCCTTGAGCAGAGCATTTTGCCTGGGCTGGTGGTAGAAGTGATAACACCCCAGGGCTTGGAAAGCTAGACCGTCTTCCTCAGAGGCAGACCAAAAGGCATCTGCTGTTCAGAAACCGTCGGTCTCGCAGAGTCCGAAATCGGGACAGTGGCGGCTGGGTGGGGGCTGGGTGGGGGCTGCGGGCGGGCTTTGAGGATGCCGCCGGGGCTGTGCTGACAGCGTCCTGGCCCGAGGGGGCCTCACCACTCAGCCCCGTCCCACAGCCCTTGCCTGGCTCTCGGACCAGCTGAACACGGTTCAGGATCCTGATGGAACTGTCCTTTGTTTTTTTACCACTTATGTCAAGACTACCATTAAGATACTCCTCCCCATGGTCTTGGAATCTCTCTTCAAAAAACTTCTTGCTCTGAAATCCATGTTAACAGCTGTTGGTCATTTCTCCCACACTACTGGAAGCTTTCTTGATTTCCTTATATAAAACTTTAAAACCGGTCCTAGCGCCCTGGCCGGTTTGGCTCAGCGGTTAGAACATCGGCCTGCGGTCCAGAGAGACTCGGGTTCGGTTCCCGCTAAGGGCACGTACCTCGGTTGCAGTTTGTCCCCGGCCCTGGTTGGTCGTGCGGGTGGCAGCCACTCGATGTGTCCCTTCGCGTCGATGTTTCTCTCTCTCTCGCTCTTCCTCTCCCTCCCTCCCACTCTACCTGAGCAAAAAATGGAAAAATGTCCTCGGGTGAGGATAAAAATAAATAAATAAAATAAAAATAATAAATAAAACCGGTCCTAGCAATTAAATGCCACATGACAGTGAGCCCAGGCAGCCTAACAGAAAGGCACGATTGTCGTTTTTAAGAAACACGTTTTAAATGGCAGCAGCGTCTCAGATGGGTTGGCCGGCTGCTTCCTCTGCAGGCTGAGCGCCCGTGTGACGTGACCACGGTGTCGCCGAGAGCCCCGAGTGTCTGCAGCATGTCGCTCCTCGTCGCTTAACTGTCTTCTAACCCGAGAAACAACTAACTAGATTAATCAGAAAGCATAAGCTGAGATTTATGAATATGTGTTCAGATTATGGTGCAACTCGAAGCTCTCACAGACACGATGCGGTCCAGGCTTTCCCGGGGATGTTCTGTCCGTTGTGGGTCTTCATTCCGGGGCCCAGAGAGCTTCCGGGTGGGTGTTGCTGTGCTTTCCGGAGCTGCGCAGGTAAGTCTAGGCCCGTCCCACAGATGTCAATGCACATTGAAGAAGAGGGAAATGAATAAACCATCTGAAGCTCGAGGGACGTAGTGAAGCATAGTTTGCAGACTCTGAAGGTTCTGACCTCAAAGCGCTGTACTCGCTGAGCTTGAGGAGCCAGAACTACAGCCACACCTGCTGCTATTTTGCTCTGCTTTTTCCTTTCGACGTGTTCTTTTAGTCTTCCTTTTTCCCCTTTTGGAACAAATTCAACATTAGAACCCACCTACAGCTAAAACGTTATAGCAACTCAAAGCAAATAAAAAATGAGGGGCCCAAATTACTTTTTAAACAGTGCTCTAAGATACACTTCAGTGCATCTGGAGGGGTGGTTTTGATCAGAAACTGTGCATGAATGGGCTGCTAGAATCCAATCTCCTTTGCGGCCCAGGTCACCTTTGAGGGGGAGGCAGCACCGTGGGAGCGTGCTCGAGGTCGTGGGGAGGAAGGCGGGCTTGTCCTTGTGAGACTCCGCAGCCAGGCGCAGGGAAACGCAGCCCAAATGCTTGCCTTCTTCATTGTAATTTCTAAGCAACCCTCACGTAGAACGATGACAGGATCAGAATTGTAAAAATGGAGACATACTTTTGTTCTCATTATTCCATTGACAAGTTTTTGTTCCTTCTGATCAACAGTCATGCTCTTTGCTCGGTGAACATCTGCCCCAAGTGAACCAGCTGTGCAGATAAGAGCAGACGGACCCGGAGGGCTCTCCGTTCACCCAGGTCTCGGCACCTGGAGCCTTGCTGGTTTCTAGGCAGATAGATCTGTCTTCCGACAAGACCTCGGACTGATTCAGTCCTGCCCTGTGGGTGGCATGGAAGGAAGGCCACGTGAGCTGGAACATTTGGAAAGGGACCCAGTCTTTTTTCTTTTTTTTAGCGAATCCTCACCCGGAGATATTTTTTCCATTTAATTTTTTTTTTTTTTTTTAGAAAGAATGGGAGGGGGAGAGAGACATATCCATGTGGGAGAGACATTGATTGGTTGCCTCCTGCACAATCCTGAGAACCTAAAACTGAGGTACTTGCTCTTGACCGGGAATCGAACCCACAACCCTTTGGTCTGCAGACCAACGCTCTAACCACCGAGCCAAACCTGCCAGGGCAGGGAGTCAGTCTTAGCAGTTCTGACAGTCATGGGAAGTCGTCTTTCTTATTTAGATCTTTAGTGAAATCTAATGAATCTAATGAAATGAAATGGGGCTGCTTCCATTTTGCTAGTTAGTAGGCCCTCGAGAAGGTAGAAATTTTGGAAACAAATTAAAAAGGTGTAAGAATTTTATTAAGTGATCTATCCAAAATGCCTTGCCTTTTGAGTTTTTTATACATGTCTTGTGTGTAGCTTTAGGGTAAACGACTTCTTTTCTGATTTGACAGTGAAGCATTTTAAATGGTTATCTCTGAAAGGTTGACTCATGCAGAGACGTAAATAGCAGTGAGCATTTCCTACTTCAAAGCATCTCTGCTATTCTGAAGTGCTAGTGGGTAAAATAATTTTCAGAATGACCCCGAGAGAGACCCTGACTGTACACGTGTTTGTGCGTGTGCTGGGATTGGGAAACTGGCTTGCAATTCCTGGTTCTGCCACCAGGAGCGCAGTGGCGCACTGTCACCGATGGGAGGTAACATCTGGACCTGTCCTGTCACCGGATATGAGAAACTGCATCAAGCTAGGAAACAGGATAAATGCATAAAGGCGAAGAGTGTGTTTCACACAGGGAAACCATCTCGGACTGAAAGCAATGAAACTGGCTTCCCCAGAGAAGTGTCCTCATCCGTTACGTCCTCTTTATAGTCAATGATGCTCACAGACAACACCAGTGTTTCCTGCCCTTAGACATTAGGCAGCTGTTGCCTATGGTTTTATTTAATTTAGACTTTTTTTAAGTAGTGAAGTTGTTTATAACGTACTATATTCTCATGGATGGTGTTAACTTTGTACTTTAGGATATTGAAAAAGCCTACGAAATTGTCTGTCGAGAAGGATCTGACGCTAACCCGGATTTTGGCGAGCTGGTGGTGGTCCCTTTGTACCCAAGAGAGAAATGTGCGCTGTTCAAGCCAAACGATGAGATGGAGAAACGGTGCCAAGTTTACCAGAGGAGGGTGGTGCTGACCACCAGCTCCGGAGAGTCCTTGATCTGGAGCAATTCGGTCCGATTTGTGATTGACGTGGGTGTGGAAAGAAGAAAGGTAACTGTTACCAAACGGCTGATCACTGCCGAGAACCACTGTCTTGACCAGAGAGTGAGGGTGACTGTGCAGCCTGGGGGTCCCTGTGTGTGCTCGTGTGTGCAGAGTTCCTGCAGCCAGAAACGGAGTCCTGAGGTCTGCCCTCGTGAGCATGACCGTAGTCCGGAGGCACAGTAAGCTGACTGGGGCGGCACGGGAGAAGTCGGAGGGAAGGCACACTATTGAGGCGTAAGGTAGAGGGTCTTCGGTGGTTTTTCTGTAGCAAACGGACTCCTGAACACTCCTGTACTGCTCAGTGTTTCCGGTAAACCCTTTATCAAAGTAATGAGCGTTTCCCTCAGGTAATGTACTAGGGATGAGTTTCAAGCACACTGACCTTCATTTTAGCAGAATTTGGCTTTATAACTGATGTGATAAAGCTCCATCCTACCTTTTTAAAGAATATATTATCTTTTACAGCTACCTTTAAAGAAAAAAATTAGGAAAAATGGAATAGGATCTCTCACTTTCAAAGACCTGAACTTAAGCCATGGCGTTTCCAGACTGGAGAGAACACGCCCAAGTACTGATCTGTTCACCATGATCAGATGCCGGGTAGCCCCGTCCTTCCAGACCACAGGCCTCCTGAGCGTCCTTGTCTCACTGGCACAGAGCAGTCCCAGCCATGAACCAGGACGGTTCCCCTGGGACAGCGGGGTGCACCTTACTGGATCAGTCCCCATCGGGAGCCCAGGGTTTTACTCCCCCTTCCACCCCCGTGAGAAATGAGTAGGTGCCGTCCGCTCTCACGCTGACGCGACGGAAGAGGTCAGCACGCGGTGAGCGTGAGCAGTCTCAGTAGGACCTGGCGACTCGCGTGGCCAACACTAGCATCTCAGCAGATGACCGAGGTCCCGCATTTGCTGAAGCTACAGCAAAAGCAGACAACCTTTAAATCCACCATCCAAGAAACTAGTAAACACCGTGCAGAGAACGACCCTGCAGCAGAGCATGTCGCGGAGTGAACCGATGCTAAAGGTGCTGTCCTTCCCCTTAAAGGTGTACAACCCTCGCATAAGGGCGAGCTCACTGGTCAGGCAACCCATCAGCCAGAGCCAAGCGGAGGCGCGCAAGCAGATTCTCGGCTCATCCTCCTCAGGTAGCACCACGGGCATGAAACCCGACTGATGTGAATTCCTGTCCACAGGCAGCACAGAGACATTAAACCATTTCCCTCGATTTCTTCCAGGAAAACTTTTCTGTCTGTACTCTGAAGAATTTGCCTCCAAAGACATGCAGCCGCTGAAGCCGGCAGAAATGCAGGAAGCCAACCTAACCAGCATGGTGCTGTTTATGAAGCGGGTCGACATCGCCGGCTTGGGCCACTGCGACTTCATGAACAGACCAGGTAGCGCGGGCCTGCGTGCTGGCAGGGTGTGGGCGGGGGCCTGGCTCTGCGCTCGCGGGGCGAGCGTGCGGGGGGCTCGGTTTGCACCAGAGCACGTTCCCCACTGGGGCGGGCGTTCTCTGCAGTTACGAAGAAAGCCTGGGGGTGTCTGCTGGGACACTGTCTGCCACTGGACACTGGAGGGCAGGGCAGGAGGGACGGGAGTGTGGAGGCAGAGGCTGGAATCAACAGAGTGGAGGTGGGTTCATGGTGGGAACACTTCCCCCTGAGTCAGACCGTCCCCTGGGAACACCCACTAGCAGTCACTCTTTGGTAACGAAGTTGACTCTGGGCATCTTGTTCACGATTCAGCAGACGTCTGGTCAGTAGGGGAGAAGAAAAGCAGGATTTGTGGTGTCAAGACGGGGCAGAGCAAACAGCAGCCATCACAGTGCAAAGCCCTGTCCCTCGGTGGTCACCCTCCGTGAGGCTCCGAGCCGATCACGGGGCAGAGGCTTAGGGTGAGGATTTATCTGTCTCCTAACAGGGCACGTGCCACTAGTTTCTGCTGTGCTTGTGGACTCTAACGAGGGGCTGATCTGACTCATTGTTTTGGGAGGAAAAGAACAGATGATACAGCAGCTGCCTCAGTTCAGCTTAGAGAGGAAATGCATGGACCCACCCAGCGGCCTCCAGGGCTCGTGAACCACGGGGAACTGACTCGGCATAACCAGGCTGCTGCCTAGTAACTGAGTATTTTTCCTTCCCTGGTGCTGACTGACCCCGTCATGAGTGACGGTGCCTGTTGATCGGGTCAGGAAGCTCAGGACCAGCTGACCACTTGGTGGGGGGGGCCTCGGAGGTCTTCTACCCGGGTAGGCAGGGCACCTAGACAGATCTGGAGACAGACTAGCTGAAACGGACAAGACTATACCAGATGCCATCTTCGTACTTGGACTTGGGACTCGCTTTGGTGGTGGCCAGACCACTGGCTTTGAAATGACCCATGGAGAGTGAACCCGAACACACACTGGCCAGACATGACAGGCCCGACGGGACAGAGGCCTCGAGGAAATGGAACAGAGCGTGGAGACGGAGTCCAGTCGGGCTGCAGAGAGGGGTTCAAGACCCTGCAGTGACGGGGAGGTGCTGACCCGAGGGCTGTGGGTCAGTGAGTCCGGTGCTAGGAATCCTGCTCCCCACACCCACAGCCTGGAGTGTGCTGAGCCGCTGGGTCCCCTCGGAGTTAGTGTCACCATCTGCAGTGAGAACGCAGGGAAGTGGACATGGCCTTGCATTCCCTGTGGCCCTCGAGCGGCCTGGCTGCAGACCCCCAGTGTGCAGCAGGGGCGTGTGGCTGGTCGCCCCCTCAGCCCCGAGGGGTCAGCAGATGTGTAGCTGCCCTGGCAGGAGGCCCCAGTCCAGGCCTCTAGCGAATGAAGGTTACGCCATTATCTGTCTAAAGGCCACGCGTTTGTGCTCTGTTCAGATGTGGGGGAGGGAGTGGAAAAGAGGCACAAACATGCCTACGCAACAGGAGCCAGTGCGAGGACCTTGAAAACAAAACAGTAGTTTTCCGGAACGTGAAGCAGAATCGGGAGGTTTGAAAAGGCGCAGGTGGGGCAGCTCTGGCCCATGAGGCTCCTCGTGGGCCCAGCGACCAGGTGACTTTTGGGGCCAGGGAGCGGGAGGGTGAAAGGGAACGCTGTTCAAAGTGACGCCGGGGAGAGGTGGCATCGGGCATCCTCGCCAGGCCGAGACAGGGGTCCGCCCCTGTTCAGGGGCCACCCCGGAAAGCACAGGGCTCCTGTCTGGCCCTCGCTCACCAGCCAGCGGCTCTGCAGCCTCTGGGAGCCTCAGGTCGTCTCCATCTGAGCGTGAGCAGAATCGGTCGCTCGTTCACAGCGCTGACATGACCTAGTTAGCACACTAGGCCCTTCGAAAGTGACTGCAGACGTAAAGACGGCCGTCGTCACCTGCGGAACCCCCACCTGAGCCCCGACAGGAGGCTGGAGGGCTGAGCTGAGGGGTGTCCCACAAAGGGCAGCTCTCACGGGGCGAGAAGCAGGCCGGTCCCCGCGCTGGGAGTCAGGTCCCCTCTGAGAGGCGGCGATCGCTGACATGGTGCTGCGACACCTGTGTGGCAGCCCACTCGTCAGGACAGACACTGCCGGAGACCGGCCTGGCCTCCCGTCCTCACTTTACAGCCGAGGAAGCAGACTGGCCAGCCCGTGGCCTTGGCACGTCACCAGCTTTCCCTCCTCTGTAACCTGAGGGTAGTGCCTGCCGTTGCTCAGGGTTATTAAGAGGTTCGGATGAGGTCATTACGCGCAGGGCTGCCGTACCAGCGGGGCAGGAGTTAGGCAACTGCCGGGTTCCGCGACATGTCCTTGTGAAACTCAGACTTCAGGAAGCTCTTCCTTCCTGTCCTTTCCAGAGCCCAACTAACCCAATCCTCCAGTCCCAGGTCAGTCCCAAGTCACTCAGTCTGTGCCGTCAAGCCAGCGCCACCTCGCTTCACTGCCGCCTCTGGGCTCCTCACTTCAGTGCACACGGTGCCCAAGTCCCAGTGCTGCAACCCAGCGGGTCCAGCACCCCTTCCTCCTCTCGCCCCTTTGCTCTGCAGCTCGGTCTCCGCGTGTGTGTCCCCACCACACAGCAAGAGCCGCGTGCCTGCTACGGCTGTGTTCCCCCCTGCGGCCAGCCGTCCCTCCCTTTCCTAAGGCCCAGTGGCACTTTGGGTACATGCGTCCTCCCTTAGGAACTGACTACGTCTTGGTGGAGACACTCTTCCGTGTGCTCGTGCCGGCAAGACGGCTCAAAGCACCGCAGAGCGGAGTCGCGGGCAGGAGACGATGTCGCAGGAGCCCCGGCCGAGAGGGGCCGTGCCCGGGAACCTGGAAACCGCCGCGCAGCCCTGGCGCTTGTGCCTCGTCTCTGCGTCTCGCTCTCTCCCGCCCAGCGCGAGCAGGTGTCCCCATGAGGGACGGAAACCACCCGCTTCCTGCCATCTCGCATCTAAAATTTTGGCCTTTATTTAAAAACCTGAAACATGCGATTCGAGGGAGCTGGTTCTGGGAATGACAGCATCCGCCCGGGCCGGGCCGGGCCTTCCTCTGGCAGCTGGGCTCGTCCCTGTTGCAGATGAGCGGCCTGTTCTGCGGGTGCCATGGGAGGAAAACATCCAGTCTGGAGCTGGGCATTGGCATCCGTGTGACGAGAGAAATACTGAACAATGGCTCCCGTTCGTCGAGTGACAGTAGCGGGGGAGGTGCTGACCGTGCCGTGAGCTTTCCTACAGGAAGTCGCCATGTCGGCCATGACACGCAGGGAGACGGTCAGCGCGTGTTGAGTGGCCTCGGCAATGGAGCAGCCTGACCCCGCGTTGCTGTGAAGAGGCCTCAGTAAATCCTTACCCTGCACTCGTGAGCAGCCTCCACCTGGGTGGCGCACAGCACTGAAAAAGGGCCCGTTAACCCCCCTGCGTTTTAGCTAAGACGGCTGCCTGGGCCACGGCGGGGCGATGTCTGGGAATGCAGACCAGCAGTGATGAGTCCTTCCCCGGCGATCATCAGCTGCGTCCGAGTGTCATAAACCCCGAAGCCTCCTCTTTCTGGTGTTGGGACCGGGAGCAGGACCGTGGAGGCCCCTCTGTCAGGAATGCTCTGTGCAGCCAGCTCAACACCAGGGCACAAAAACGAGGAGGGGCAGGGCCCTCTGGGGACAAGCCGGCTGGCAAGGGGACGACTGCCAACGCTGTCTCCCGCCCAGTGCAGCAGCCCTGCCGGTCTCTAGAACTCGCTTTCTAAACTCTTTCAGTAATTAAGTGTGTGCTCCTGAGCCCTCCTGCCGTCCCATCGAGGAGCCGATTTCTGTCGCTGCCGCTTGACCTCGGGCAGGTCAGCTGTTGCCTTCATTTCATGGCTGAGGGGGCACTCGGACTTCCATTTCCAAATGGCCAGTCGCCATCCGGGACTGTGGCTTCTCAAGGTCCCACTTGGCTCGGGTCACCAGAGAGGAGCCAGGAGTCTCGGGGCCCCGGGCCAGCACCCGGCAGACCAGGGTCAGAACCAGGGCGGTGTCGCAGGAGGCCCTGCGCGCCTCAGCACGAGGGGGGCTCGGCGAGATGATCACGGGGCAGCGGACGGTCTCTGCTCCCAGCGGGGGCGAAGCCGAGCTTCAGGGCCCCAGCCAGTGCCGGTTCTTGCAGACTGGCTGGGGTTGGTTCTGCAGCCCCCTTGGCCCTGGCACTTCGGTTCCCAGGGTCCGTCGTGGCAGCCGTGGGACAGGGCTGAGGGGATGTGGCCGCGTCAGAGCCCCTCCCCCGCAGCAGGGCTCCCCGGGGCTTTCTGTGTCCCGACAGGAAGGGCGCAACTTGATCGAACCTGAGTTGGTGACTGGAGCTCAAGCTGCACAGTTTGCTGGAATTTTGACAAATAGCTTAGTGGTCAAAGTTTGGACGAAATTCAGAACCTTCCGCCATTTGTGACCGAACTCCCAGATGCGGTCCGGTGGCTGCTGCTCCGGAATCGGGCGCGCCTGCCACCAGCACAAGCTGGCACTGAGGTCTGAGCCATCCTGGAGCTCCTGGAACCCTTGTTTCCTGGGTGGGGAGACCCAGCGTTATCCGTGTGGCTCTCTCCGCTGTGCGGCCTCGAGCGGCGCCACGCAGCAGCTGAAAACCCTCACGTACTGTGACCTGATTCTGCAAGGCCAAGGAGACCACCCTTCTTGAATAAATGGATTTTCTCTTTTTAGTGGAGATGATAAACACCGCACCGTCACCCAACTTACATACACTTAAGAGAATGGATTTTGTTCGTGGAGATTAAGCATGTATAATAAACACCATACCATGATCAATATCATATAAACTAAAAGAGAAATAAAGAGGTGAAGAAAATCAGCCTTCTGTCCCAATTTGCATGAGCAAATAACTCTTTTTAACTTCTATTTCTACTGTTCCTGCTGTCCGAGGGAGTGCGGGGTCAGCTTCCACAGGCTGACTTTATCAAGTCCCCGCCTTCCCTGCCTCGTCGTTTTCATTATTTGCTAGACCTGTGCTTTCACCGCGCTTGACAGTGGATGTCCGGATTCCTGTAAATATTCCTGAGCCTTGTCCTGGGACGCGGTCCTTCTGGGTCCTGGTTTTAGGAGTCGGGCGCTGGAGCCGTGTGCAGTGGGGGTTCCTCTGGGGCCCTGGGAATCATGAGCCTGTCCGGTCCGGATCCTGCGTGAGCACCGGGCACTGACCCTCTGGTCCTCTGGATGGCTGCCTGGCCTGCGGTGGTTTCTTACATGTGCCCGACAGTGGAGGGGACTCCCGTAGATCTCCCAAGTCCTCTCTGTACAGCTCTCCTCAGGCACCCCAACCTGAAAGCTCTGGCCACCCTGGTCTCCCCGGACCTGCAGCACCATCTTCACAGCTCAGGGAGTCTGCAGGCTCCATCAGGGCCCCCCTCCCTGCACCACAGCCCTGAAACGTGCAAGGCAGTAAGCTGGGCAACCCCACACCTCACCTCCCTCAGTGTCCCCCTCAGGAGTCAGCCCTCCATCGCGTGTTCTTTGTCTTGCAAACTGTCGATCCATATACTTGTCTTCATTATGGGAGGGCAAATTCAGTGCCTGTTACTCCGTCTTGGTTGTATGAGGCTTTCTGGTTATTTTTCCTTCCTAGCCCCAGAAAGTCTGATGCAGGCTTTGGAAGACTTAGACTACCTGGCAGCGCTGGACAATGACGGGAATCTGTCCGAGTTTGGGATCATCATGTCGGAGTTTCCTCTGGACCCACAGCTCTCAAAGTCTATCTTGGCGTCCTGTGAATTTGACTGTGTAGATGAAATGCTAACCATCGCTGCCATGGTAACAGGTATTCCTTAGTCTTCTTTTGTTCTGTGAATCTGCACCAGCTAGAGATTTAGATGAGATGTTTGAAATGATAATACTTGAATAGATGAAAAAGGTAGAAAATTATAACAATTATCTTAATATGTAAAATCTAAATCATACCCAGTGAATTTCTTAATCTGGTACGTGAAAGCATACCAGGTTTGCTTTCGCTGAAGTAGTTAAGGCAGATCAAGAAAGATTTGAAGAAAATGTGTCACTAGACATGTTCTTCCCCAAATGATGATGTGGGTGTGGTTTTACTTCCTACACCTTTGCTCGTCTCGGTTGGCAAGTTCTAACGTGTGCGTTAACCGGCAGGCAGACCAGGGGCTGAGCGGCACGAGAACTTGCATTCTAGTCCGGCCCTGCGTCTGACCTCGGAGCATCTCGCCCCCAATCCCCTTAACACGAGCTGGTATCACAAGCAGACCTAAGCAAAGCAGGCAGGAGAAAACCCAGGACAAGTCCCCCCGAGTCCCTTTGAGGTCTAAGTAAGTAGGGTAATGTAAGTGTTCAGAGGAAGGCAGACTACTGCTCTCCAAGCCCCGGGCTGTGCTAACGGTGTTGCCATTGCTGCTGTCCCTGTAACCTTTTCATCTTCAAGCTCCTAACTGCTTTTCGCATCTGCCACATGGAACTGAGGAAGCTGCCTTGACTTGCTGGAAGACATTTTTACATCCTGAAGGCGATCACTTTACCCTCATCAACATTTACAAGGCCTACCAAGACACAGCTCTGAATTCTGCCAGTGAGCGTAAGTGAATGCTTGAGATCTCAGAGGCCGCCTGCGGAAGTCCCCCTTTCCTGCCCCCATAAGCCAGTCTCCACCCTTTCTCTCTAGCCCGTGGTCATTGCAGTGGTGAGTGAGGCCAGTTTCTGCTGAGCAGCAGAAACTCCCATCTGCTCCCAAAGCTCTGGCGGGCTGCAGGCAGGGCTGCGGGCTGCAGGGGCAGGGTTGTGGGCTGCAGGCAGGGCTGCGGGCTGCAGGGGCAGGGCCGCGGGCTGCAGGCAGGGCCGCGGGCTGCAGGTAGGGCCGCGGGCTGCAGGGACAGGGACAGGGCTGCAGGCAGGGCCACGGGCTGCAGGGACAGGGCCGCGGGCTGCAGGGGCAGGGACAGGGCTGCAGGTAGGGCCGCGGGCTGCAGGGACAGGGACAGGGCTGCAGGCAGGGCCGCGGGCTGCAGGGGCAGGGCTGCGGGCTGCAGGGGCAGGGCTGCGGGCTGCAGGGACAGGGACAGGGCTGCAGGTAGGGCCGCGGGCTGCAGGGACAGGGACAGGGCTGCAGGTAGGGCCGCGGGCTGCAGGGACAGGGACAGGGCTGCAGGCAGGGCCGCGGGCTGCAGGGGCAGGGCTGCGGGCTGCAGGCAGGGCTGTGGGCTGCAGGGGCAGGGCTGTGGGCTGCAGGCAGGGCTGTGGGCTGCAGGGGCAGGGCTGTGGGCTGCAGGGGCAGGACTGTGGGCTGCAGGCAGGGCTGTGGGCTGCAGGGGCAGGGTTGTGGGCTGCAGGCAGGGCTGCGGGCTGCAGGGGCAGGGCTGTGGGCTGCAGGGGCAGGGTTGTGGGCTGCAGGCAGGGCTGTGGGCTGCAGGCGGGCCTGGACTTGGAACCTGCCGTTCGGCTCGGCCACTGCTCAGACAGGGTACAGGGACAGACCTGCACAGCCCCTGCCCTCGGGTCTGGGGAGAAGAAAAGGAACTGCCACCTCCAGGTGCCCGCTGGGTCACAGCTATGCTTCGTGCTTTCCCTACACGGCATGTCCGCTGCTGGACGAGAATGGGGAACATGCAGAACCCCACCGAACCCCACCAGCCTTGCTCCAGGTAACAGTGGAGAGCAGGCTGGTGTGCTGCGGGCAGCCGCAGAGAATCAGACGAGCTTGGCGGAGGGAGGGGCGGAGGGGCGGGGAGTCCAGAAGAGTAGAAGGGAGTCTGTGGAAGCGGCTGAGGCAGACGTCCTGGGAGTGTCTGGGTGTTCTCAGTGACAAGGGCTAGGACCTCCACTGTGCAGTGCTGTGCTGGGCATGAAAGACAAGGGACCCGCGGGGGCAGAGGGCTAGGCAGTGTGGCGGAGGCCGAGGCCCAGGCAGCTGGCGAGGTCACTGGTTTTCCACGGCCTCTTTTACCTCCTTTGCTCCAACAGGTGGCGTGAAGAATATGTGAAATGGAAAGATAGGAGCAGTTTGACTGGCAGTAGAGTCTACAGAGCAGGGAGTTCATTTCTCAAAGCCAAGAAACGTCAGTGAGGCAGGAGTGCCAGGGATCTGGCAGCGTCTTTGAGAGCCAGCAGGATGGGGGCCGAGGACAGGCTCTCGTTGCTCCGAGCGGGCCTGTGCGGACAGGACGGGGTCAACGGGTCCTCTGCTGCCGTGCCAAGGCTGCATGCATTGCAGGTCAGGGCGAGCTCTGGCCCACCTTAAGTATAGGTGGCAAGAAAGAGTAACTTCAGACCGACACAGGTGACTGAATTTCAGGATAAAACTTGCAGTGAGGGTAGCTTAGCTGCAGTATACTTCCCAAATCAACCTGGAAGTCATCTCCTTCTTAACCAAGCGTGTGAGAGGGTTCCCTGGCCACAGCACTTCCCCCGCCAGCTCTCCCGTCGTCTGACGGCTGGTGACGCACGCACCCTTGCTGTGCACGAGACGCAGTGCCGCCTGTAAGACCATCTCCTCTGCCCTGTGAGCCACAGCTAAGGGCCACAGGGTTGCAGTCGGTGCTGGGGGCATGTCGCTGCCAGTTCGTGGGGTCGTGGAGCCCCGCGGAGCCCCCAGCCAGTGCAGGCTCTCCCTGGCAGTGCCTCGTCCAGGCTGCCTCCCCACACTCACTCGTGTGACCTCCTCCTTAGGACAGGGGAGCCTTTCCGATACGACATGATTTCTAAATTCCATTCTCCTTTCCCTCCTAGTCTGTGTTGAAAAATGGTGTCATGATTACTTCCTCAACTGGGCCGCCCTCAGGATGGCAGAAGTCATCCGAGCCGAACTCCTAGAAATTATTAAGCGCATCGAGCTTCCCTATGCAGAACCCGCTTTTGGCTCCAGGGAAAACACTCTGAACATCAAGAAAGCTCTGCTGTCTGGCTACTTCATGCAGGTGAGAACGGACAGGGCCACCTCCCCGTGGTCCTTGCCAGACCTCACGTTCAGGACACGCTGCTGGTGTTCAAAGTAAAACAAAACCCTGAAGCTATTCAAGACTTAGTGTGTCACATACTTCCCCTCGGGAAGAAGGGCCAGGTCAGATGCTGACTGTATCCAGAAGGGCGCCCCATCTTTCAGGGCCGAGGGCGAGGTGAAACACTGGCTGGCTGAACTCATGGCCCGCCTCTCCCCGGCCTGCGAGTTGGTTCACCTCAGCCGGTGCTGGCCCGCCCGGCACACACGGGCCTCCCGCCCGGCACACACGGGGCCTCGCGCCCGGCACACACGGGCCCGCCCGGCACACGGCGCCTCGCGCACACACGGCCGCCGCCGCACACACGGGCCCCCCCGCCCCACACACGGGCGCCGCCGGCAACACAGGGGCCTCGGCCCGGCACACACGGGCCCCGCGCCCGGCACACACACGACTGCCCGCCCGGCACACACAGGGCCCGCCGCACACACGTGCGCACACACGGGGCCTCGCGCCCGGCACACACGGGCCCGCCCGCCCGGCACACACGGGGCCTCGCGCCTCCCGCCCGGCACACACGGGGCCGCCCGCCCGGCACACACGGGGCCGCCCGCCCGGCACACACGGGCCCGCCCGCCCGGCACACACGGGGCCTCGCGCCCGGCACACACGGGGCCTCGCGCCTCCCACCCGGCACACACGGGGCCTCACACCTCCCGCCCGGCACACACGGGGCCTCGCGCCCGGCACACACGGGGCCTTACGCACGCCCGGCACACACGGGGCCTCGCGCCTCCCACCCGGCACACACGGGGCCTCACACCTCCCGCACGGCACACACGGGGCCTCGCGCCCGGCACACACGGGGCCATACGCACGCCCGGCACACACGGGGCCCGCCCGCCCGGCACACACGGGGCCTCGCGCCCGGCACACACGGGGCCCCCCCGCCCGGCACACACGGGGCCTCGCGCCCGGCACACACGGGGCCATACGCACGCCCGGCACACACGGGGCCCCCCACCCGGCACACACGGGGCCCCCCCGCCCGGCACGCACAGGCCTCCCGCCCGGCACAGGCACAGGCCTGCGCGTCCCTCCTCGTCGGCGGCCCCCGTGCAGGAAACACCGCAGGCTCCCCGTCTGCACGGGAGGCGGGCGCGGACATCACAGGGCTCCCGGGGCTAACCGAGCAGAAACGCGAGGGGCTCACTGGGCATGAGCACCGGGTCCACTGTGAGGTTTACTTCACGACCTGGCGTCACCACTGCAGCTGCCTCACACGGCTCCACTTAGGAAACAGCGTCACTGCCTCGAGGTTTCCAGTGGGACCAGTTTGTCTCACCTCGACATCTGGAAGTAGGGAACATGGGTGGTAGCTGTGGTCCTGACCGTCTGAATGAAACCCTTTGGAATTTTTTAAACAAGCACATTTGGGTACTGATCTCCATAGTAACACAAAAGCTTCCCTGAACACTCTGCCTTCAGATTGCTCGGGACGTGGACGGGTCAGGGAACTACCTGATGCTGACACACCGGCAGGTGGCGCAGCTGCACCCGCTGTCCACTTACTCCATCAGCAAGAAGACGCCGGAGTGGGTCCTGTTCCACAAGTTCAGCATCTCCGAGAACAACTACATCAGGATCACCTCCGAAACCTCGCCCGAGCTGTACGTCTCCTGGGGCAGAGAGGGTTTCTGCTGACATCGTTATGTTCAGTTACAAGAAGCTTATACTGGTAGCAGTCTAAAGACAGGTCCCCCTGGGTGGTTATCTAAGAAATGTTCCTGCTTCTGAGGTTACAGCAAGAAGGGACTACACTACAGAAACATGCCACAAAGCCTGCCTGCAGGAACGAAAGCCAGAGGAGTGGCAGGTGCTGCAGACCGAGGAGTGAGCTCAGCCGTCTCTCGACAGATGAGCCACTGAGACTGCGCTGGTGGGGAGGGGGCCGGGGGCGGGGTGAGGCTGAAGACGGCAGGTACAGAGCGGAGGGCTTATGGCCACGGAGAGTTTGTGTCCGGCCGAGCAGTGCTGACAGTTCTGAGAAGGGTGACATCTTCTCCCTACACTTCTGAGGGCCACTCTGGCTGCAGAGTCCATTCTGAAGGTACTTGCACTATTTGGGCAGAATGGCTCTCCAGGCAGGCCCCAGAGAAAACGAGAGCTGTCTGGCTTCGCAGCTGGGTGTGGAGTTGGTTAGGAAGAGAAAGAGGCAGATACCCTCTTCTTACCCGCCCAGAGTTCTCCCAAGCGTGGGACCTGACCCTTTGTGTACGTGGTGGGTCTGAGGGGAAGGACAGTGTCCCCGGTGGTCAGAGTGACAGCCATCACATCCGCCATGTGGCATAACACTAGAGAAGCAGCTGATCTTAGAAGTGAGCTGGGTTGGGTCCCTAGAACCCCAGCGGGTGCCCGTCCTCCAGAGGGGCTGAGATGCAAGGAGTCAAGTTAAATGCCAGTCGCACTGGATTCTGCAGGGTGGGAGGTGCGCAGGCGTGTCTGGTAGCTCACACCACAAAACTACTTTGTTTTAAACAGGTTTATGCAGCTGGCGCCACAGTACTACTTCAGTAACCTGCCTCCCAGCGAAAGCAAGGATATTCTACAGCAAGTGGCGGGCCACCTGTCACCTGTCTCGACGGTGACAAGGGAACAGACGATGGGCGAGAAGTGCCCTGAGGCTGCTGAGCAGAGGTGCGCTCTGCAGTGACGCGCCCGAGCCGCCCAGGGCGTCCGGTAGACACTGGCCCGCCCGCTGGCGGCCCGCGGGGCAGCGACTCCACGGGAAGGAGGCTCTCGGACCCCACGCAGGAGAATCTTGAAATATGACACTTTGTATATTATTTAAAAATAAAAAATAGAAGTTTTTATTGAGTTCTTTAAATTACTACTCCACATTTTTCTTCTTATTTGGAAGGTTTTTAATCAACCATTCATAATTTGACCAAAACTTTTTAAAAGATATTTTGTAAACGTGTCACAGACACGGGCAACAGAACCCTACTTTTTGTAGAGGACCGAAAGCTAAATAAAGTCGAGTTTTTCAGTAAAACTCCACTGGGTTTTCTGGTGATTTTACCAAAACAAGCACAGCACTGTCCACGGGAAGCGGGCTAGACAGACAGGTGTTCTTTCAGGTCGTCCATGATGTCACTCATCCTGTCGCAGGGAACCAGCATCACCGTGCGCAAGGGCTTCATTGGGACGTCGTCAAAGGACCAGCTGCCGCCCAGACACATGCCGCTCTCCTCCTGCACCGAGTAGCTGAACCTCAGGAGCGCCCTCTAGAGCACAGACAACGAGAGGTACTCAGACTCCCTAAGAGCACAAGGCGCTCACTGACGGCCAAGGATGCTCTGTTCCCTTCAGAGCCGCGACAGGAGCAGAACACAGCAGCTCGAGGGGAGCACACGCAGTTACGGATGCGCACCAGGGTCCCCCTTGGTCAGGGGCACGGGCGGAGTGTCCCGGGGTACGAGGCGAACAGGCACGTGGGTGATACTCCTGCTACCCGTGCATGCACCGTTTACAATTCAAAAACCACTCATGTCCTGATCTTGGGGCAGACACGCCTGACGTGGGACAGTCAGCGAGGAGTCCAGCTCCAGTCTCCCCGCCTCCTCGCATAAAGCTGCCCTGTGAGGAGCCGAGTCTGCATCCAGAACGTGCTCCAGCACCCGCGCACGGTCCCCCGCGTGGCCTACCTGACGAGCTGAGGCGTAATTTTAGTAATTTAATTTTCACTATTTACTTCCTGGAAAAAACCTGTAGTGCTCACAGTCTTTAGTGGAAGCCTTCAGAGACAAGTGGTGTCATCCCTTCGGAAAATGTTCCTCCTCAGAGATGTACTTCCGAGAGGGCAACATGAGGACTATTCGCGGGTACCTGGCTGTCTGTCGAGGCACCAGCTACCCCTACAGGTAGAAAGTGCTGGGAACCCCCCTACGAATGACACCCAGGACGAGGGGCACAGCAGCACGTGAGCAGAGGGGGAGCAGGGCCCCCAGCGGGCTGTGACTCCCCCCCACCCTCACCGCCAGCAGTGGGTGGCAGAGCCGAGATGGCCGCCAGGGACCTACGCGCCAGGCCCGGGACCTACGTGCCAGGCCAGGGACCTACGTGCCAGGCCAGGGACCTACGTGCCAGGCCCGTGCCAGCTGTGGCAGCTGGGGGTGCGGAGAGAGCAGTGCCCACACGCAGTGCCCACACTCAGCCGACTCCGACACAGCATGGAGACCAATAAACGCTGCTTAGTATTGTCAACAAAACCCTCATATACCGTGGAACCTCGGTTCTCGAACTTAATTTGTTCCAGAAGGCTGTTGAAGTGATTTATTTAAAAACTAAATCAGCAGCAACAAAAACACAAAAATACTCCCAGCACAATTCCTTGAGACGTGAAAAGGCGACGTTTAGCAGTAAAATGAGTCAGAGTCGCACACGCTCTCCTCCGTCTGCCGTGAGACGTGTGACTGGGCGTATCACCATGAAGTTTTGTTCGACAACTGAGACGTTTTCCCTTGAACAACTTGGTGGAGAACCGAACTGTTCAAGCTGGGGGACGTTCGAGAACAGAGGCTCCCCTGAACAAAAGGGGAGCAGGCAGCCTCACCTCATGGAAGAACTCCTCCTCTGCGTTGGCAAACACGAGCTCCTCTTTCCTTTGGCTGCTCTGCTTCTTTCTGGAATCGCTTCTCCCTGCTTCCACAAACGTCTTGCTAATCAGAAGGTAGAAGCAGCACTTCCCACACGGCCTGTCCGCCCTGTGTGCCTCCGCCAGCTCTTTCCTGCAAGGCGCACACACAGGTTTGCTGCTGGGCCGGGCGAAATCGGCCTCCCACCAACCAGCGCACAGGGCCCACCAGGAGGCCTCGCAGTGGTTTGACTGTGAGACGGGCTCAGCGGGCAGACACTAGACCTGAACGCTGCTAAAGCAATGAGTTTTCGTTTTGCCGTCTGTTGCACTCTCGACTGATTGCGGCAGTACTTTTTATGACAAGTAGCACGATGAATCTCTCAGATTAGACTCTGAGTTGTGGATATATAGCAACTAACAGATGAGTCTCAAATCCACTCAGTATCACTGCTCTGTCCACAAGTTAAAAATACTAAGAATCTGGATGTTTAAAAATTTTTTTTTCCTTTACTGAACACAGCAAACACTGACCTGAAACACACAAAGGCACGTGGTCACTCCCAGTGCCACGGGAGCACGTGACTGCTCGCCGCCAATCACTGGAGTCCAGGGCTGACTTCCCACATACTGGGGAGAAGGCGTGGCCAGGCAGACACCCTAAATGCTCTCACAGCTGGTGCAACAGTGATGCTGCCTTCATTTCTCCCTTTCTGGGAAGTACCCAGAACCCTGTGCCTCTGGCTAAACAAAAACGTCCACTCCAGCTTTCTGCTTTGTTTATTCCTCACCCGCGGATACTCTTCCATTTATCATCACACAGAGTGGAAGGGAGAGGGAGAGAGAGAAAAACATCAATGTGACAGAGCCACATTGACTGGCTGCCTCCTGCATGAGCCGACTAAGCAGGGGACAAACCACAACCGAGGTACGTGCCCTTGACCAGAATTGAACCTGCGACTCATTGGTCTGCGGGCTGATGCTCTAACCGCTGAGCCAAACTGGCCAGGGCCACTTCAACTTTCTTTACTAAAGGTCAGCAGAAGGCCCAGCCAGTGTGGCTCAGTGGTTGGGGGTCAACCCATGCACTAGGAGGTCACTGGTTCAATTCCCAATCAGGGCACATGCCCAGGTTGTGGGCCCGATCCCCAGTAGGGGGCATGCAGGAGGCGGCCAAATGATGTTCTCTCTCATCGATGTTTCTCTCTCTTCCTCTCTCTAAAATCAATAAAGAGAAAAAAATTTATGAAATATATAAATAAGGATTAGGAGAAGGCAGATCACCCTCCTGTGAAACCAAACAAACATGAGCTCCAGGTGATCTGGGAAAAAGACAACACAAGCCCTGGCTGGTCTGGCTCAGTGGTTAGTGTGTCAGCCTATGGACCAAAGGGTCTCGGGTTCGGTTCCCAGTCAAGGGCACAGGTACCTGGGTTGCAGGTTTGATCCCTGGCCCCAGATGGGCTCATACAGGAGGCAACCAATAATCTCCCTCCCTCCCTTTCATCTAAAAACTGATCGAAAAATATCCTTGGGTGAGGACTAATAACAACAAAAAGACAACACAAAACCAAACCACTGTGGCATCAGAAGAACAGTATGAGCAGCAGCCGGGGGGGAGGGGAAGTAACAGGAAAGCAAAGGACCCGTAAAGGTTTGGAAAACCCAAAGGTTTCCGGACTGCAGCTGCAGCCACCAGGGAGACCGCGGTGCCAGTGCCAAGGCCGAGAAACAGCTGGCAGGGGGGAGCACCTGTCCACGCTGTCGTTCTCCCCTCGTTCAACACACAGGTGACACCGACTCTCAGTTTTTACACTTCAAATGTTTTTGTAAACGAGACTGCACTTAAAATCAAAACGGCAAACCCTGAGAAGCCAGAAATGTGGTATCATGATGATGGTTTCATCAGTCATGAAACATCCCAATTTAGAAATTTCACTGTTTTTGTTATTGTTGTAATTACTCAGTATTTTTCATGTTACAGAAATCTACCTGAGAAGGTGGAGATCTAGTCAACGAGTGAAGCATCTACATGAAACTCATCTATTCCTATACACTTCAACACTGGCAGAGCAGTCTCGTAAGTAAAGCCCCTGCAGAGCTGCACGAAGCACACGCGTGTGCGTCACAAGACCCCCAGCACGCCACACTGCTGCGTGAGCCAAGGGCAGGGCTCCTACGACACAGGCTACCGGAGCACGTTCCTGAGTCCACCCGGCAGCCCCGAGGCGTTCCGTCTTACTGGAGCTGCCGGTGCATGGGCAGAGCGATCTGCGGAGGGACGTTGATGAATCTTTCGCTCAGGAGGAAGCCCACAGGCTTGGTGGTGTCGTTCAGGAGCTTGTCCAACTGCTCCACCGTGCTCTTGTCACAGTTCTTCTCACAGCTGCTTAACACCAGCTCTTTAATTTGCTCAACACACTGGGCACCCTGGAAGCAAAGAGAAGGCTCCTTGTTACAGCCCCGACGTACGGGAGAAAGTGGAGAGTGGGAGCTAGTACTTCCTACCTCACAGGTGGGGCAGCTCCTGCCACAGCCTCTAAAACCTCCCGTCTTCCGTGGTGACTACGTCAGTATCTCCCCAGTGACTGCCCGGTTCTAACTCCCATCCCAGGACACGGAGGGTCACAGCGACAGGCACACAGGAAGAGCAGTTCCAGTCCATCTCAGAAACGGACGGAAGGAGCTGAAGTGCATTTCAAACTTCAAGGGGAGCCTGCATCTTACTTGAGGGTAAGCAGCTGGCCTCACAGTTCACTGGGACTCATCAGGGAGGAATAAAAAGCAGAGCACGGAGATAGGAACGATGTCAGAAGCACCCTCCAGCAGGAGGCACGCGCCCGTCACAGCAGCTGCAGGGACCACGCAGCGCCAGCCCCGCCGCCAGGCGAGGATTCTCTACACCGGCACACGACTGACTGGGTGCACGTCAGTCAAAACAAAACAATACAAAGCACCTCGTTTGGAAAAGGGTCACGTGCCCTCATCACTGCTGTCCCCACCAGATACGAAGCCACTTCATCACGCGTTAAACAAAGCGGTCTGGCCTAAGGAGTGACCATGGAGCTGTGACCCAGGAAACCAACCTTCCTTTCAGTTAAATGGAGAAGACTTATGAAACCAAAAATCTCATCTTCGTCCACATCGTCATCGCTGTCTTCTGAAACATTCGTTTGCTAATTTAAAAAGAAAAACAGTTTTAATTTTTATTTGGTTAGAAAGAAATGTAATACAAGCCTTGACGTTTAGGCCTCATTAATCTTTTCAGACACAAACTGCTTTACCATCCTCACCCAGAAAAGCATCAGGGACTCAGCTGTGTGGCCTTGTTCATATCCCTGGACCTCCCTTGATTCTGGGCGTCTTTTTACATTCTGCACAATCTCCTCCTGCCCTGAATGTACTTATACCAGGTTCTTATGACATTTTCTTTACTAGATTCTCAACCTATTACACACCCAGGACAGCGAATGCCTCATGAAATAAACCATGTTAGTCTGTCTTTGAAATGACTTGGCTGGAGCCAGCTCTAGCCTGTCTGTCCTGTGGGTCCACAACACGGTCCCACCTCAACCCACATGCCTCCAGAGCACGGGCCAGCCCCGACGCCTGTGAAGATGAACAACCCGAGTGCCACTTAGTCACAGGCAGAAAAGAGGGCGAGAAAGTCCAGGGAGAAGACCAAGGGCCTGTCTGCTCATGAGAGAGAGGAAAGAAGTGCATAGCACCCCTATGTCCACCGGTCTGGTCCTCCAGGATCAACACCAGACCAAGCCCTGCAGCGTGGGGGACCCCCAGCCACTGCAGCAAAACCAGGGCAGCTCGACAGGCAGAAGGCAGCAGGACAAAGGGGAAGCTCAGTGTCAAGCACTAACAAGTCCCCAATGGTCACGTGGCTCACAAGCAAGTAGCATCACTCGGAACTGCTCACCGTTCCTGGTCAACACGGGCCTGCCTCTCCATGGGGTGGGGGTCAGTCACGTCACGTCTCATGCTCACCCACAACCACTGCCTCCCCTCCTACTGGACTGTCTCCGGCCCACTCCCCGGCCGCCCCTGCCTCTCCCGAGCCTCTCCTTAGTACCTAAGCACCCGAGCAGTGCCTCACCCGACCTCACCCCAGCCTGGAGCCTCCCAGCCCACCGCGCACACGCACTCCCCACGGCCCTGCCTTTCCCCTCCACAGCCTCGGGGCGCCTTCTGCAGAGCCCAAACCCAGCCCCAAGGCGCTCCTAGGGACAGGAAGCCATCACTTGGGAGTCATCCCTAATGACTTTTCCCTCCCCCTCAGACCCAATCACTCCCTAAGCCCATCATATTTCATCTCCCAAATACCTTCTGAATCAGCCCACTGCCCTCCCTATCCATTGCCACTACCCGGATCCCTGCATTAAATAATCCTGCATGACTGGAACAGCCTTCTGATTTGATCGCTATAAACCAGGAGAAACCTTCCAGGATCATGAACCAATCAGGATGAACGCAACTGCCCTCCTTACCTTAATCACACTCCCGATATGGTTCTGCTGAATTAAGAGGTCTGTTAGTTCTGCAGTGTTCACAGGAGCCTTTAGGAAGAGCTAAGAGAAAAAAAAAATCATCTTAAAATCAACACGTGATATCTAACAAAACTTCTAATTTCCATATTCAAATAAAAATAAAATTTCAATGGTATATAACCAGGAAGATGACTCAAAAATGCAATCCTAAGAGGAAACCAAAAGCCCAGGAGAATCAAAGGAACTAAAGGCACTGAAATTTAAGAGGAGTCAGTCAGTGGTGATACAGGAGGTGTGGGGGAGGGGAGGACAAACCTTAGGCCAAAGAACCGGGGGACTAGGACACCGGGGGCCGGGAAGGGCAGGAACGAAGCTGAGCACTGGGCAAAGGAAGAAGTCGAGGCACCAGGTGGTGCAGTGACGTGGCTCCAACAGGAGCGCACGTCACCAGCAGATGGAGTGGAAAGTACTGCAGGACTCAGAACACTCAGACAAGTTCATCGGAGGAAGGGGCTGGGAGCAGAGGCACAACCAGGGGAGTCAGCTCTGGGAATGAAGAGAAGCCCTTCCTTCCAGGCAAGCGGGAAAGGACAGGAAAGGAAATTCTACAACAGAAAGGATGAAGCTTAACAGAACTTGTGTTGAGTGACCTGGATTTTCTTAAAAGAGCAAATTCATGTGCGAGGTATAAAAAACACTACCTGCTGCAATAATTTCTTAATTCCGTCATAATCGTTGTCGGAGATGGAATAAGCTTCAAATTCAATATTCACTTCCTGCAAATAACACACAAGACAGGTCATCATACAGAACTTTCTAAGATACTTCAGGCATTATTTTCCGTTGCAGATTTTTTCTTTTTCCTCTGTCTCCATTCCTGTTAGCTCTGTCTCTATATACGGAACATGCCAGGAAAAGGAAAAAAGAAATTACATAAAGAACTGTAATTGTCTAGTCTTCAAAAATGGGCAAACAGTGCTGATGCTGCGTCCTCAGATTATAAAGCATCTTCATACCTTCTCCTCCCTGGACGCACAAACCTGGGAAGAATAAAACTCAGAGTGGCCGAGTTTCAACGCTGGCAAAGTCTCCTCTGGGGACGTCATGGCAGCCACAGAGGAGATTCTCACCTGACTGCAATACGGGTGAGCAAAGAACAAAACCACTTCGAAGGTCTCTGCATTGCCTAGACCTTGACTCAGGCAGCAGATCTGAGGCTACGCTTCACTCACTTGGCAAATATGCACTCACTGGTACCACCGTGTACCGGGCACTATGCCAGGCACTCAGATGAAAAGGCGAGCAGATGGCCCTGGCCTGTATGCACAGTGGTTAGAGTGTGGGCCCTCGCACCGAAGGGTCTTGAGTTCGATTCCAGTCAAGGGCACATGCCTGGGTTGCAGGTTCAATCCCCAGCCACAGTCAGGATTGTGTGGGAGGCAATCAATCAGTAAAGAAGTGATTTGTAAGGGAAAGCTGTTCGCTGGAAGATGTATCATAGGCCCACGCCAGACGCAGCCCTCATCCCGCATCCCTGCTTCTCTGTATACCCCACTCCACGTTCATTCTGCCTTTGTTTCCCATCACTCTGTTTTGTTTCTTCTGATCCAGCCATATCACGTCTTTCCGTGCCTGACCCATGAGGACTTTGGATTTTTTTACAAACAAAATGGGAAGCCATCAGAGTTTCTGAGCAGGGGAGTGAGAACAGACCTACATTTTAAAAAGATCACCCTTGCCCTGGCCGGTTTCGCTCAGCGGTTAGAGCGTCAGCCCACAGACCAGAGTCCTGGGTTCAATTCCGGTCAAGGGCACGTACCTGGGTTGCGGTTCAGCCCTGGATAAGGGTCGTGCAGGAGGCAACCAGTCGATGTGTCTCTCTGACATTGATGTTTCTCTCTCTCTGTCTGAAAATAAATGGAAAAATATCCTCGGGTGAGGATTTAAAAAGAAAAAAAAAAAAGCAGAAAGACTAGAAAGATCTCGCTGGCTGCGGGCTGAGTACAAGGGCTGGGGAGTAAGAATGGAAAAGGAGACGCCCGTTCAAGGTAACTCCCGGGTCCGGGAGAGAGATGAGGGCAGCCTGGACGTGGGTCCAGACCCCGAAGTGGAACTGCCTGGAGGTACTGATGACCTGGATGTGGGATGAGGAAATGGAAGGAGCTTAATCTAACTTCCAGGTTTGGGGTTTGAGCACCTGCTGAGCCTGGAGGCCATCTACAGAAGCGGCAACGAGTAGGAGCAGGAAGTACAAATGCAGCTTTCGGGGTGTTAGGGGTGAGGTGCCCGCCGGACAGTCCGGGGCTATGGCCCCCCGAGTCCTATCTATTCAGTCAGCAGCATTCAGAGCCCCCGAGGCCAGGCGCTGTGGCGGGCGAGGGGCGGGGAACCTGAGCGAGGAAGGGCTCCTGGCGGCACCGAGCCGGGCTTCCAGAACCGGGGCGGGCCGCGGGGGGCGGGGGCGGCTGCGGGGCGTGGGGTGCGCACAGGGGAGACCTGCGGGCCTGGGGGCCGGATACGGATCGGAAGCTTCCGCCTGAGAACTACTTACAGAAAGTCACTGAGAAACACGGGTCGTGCCGGGTTCTCCTGGGGGCGGGATTTGGACCGGGCCGGGCTCTAACTTTTGGAACTAACCTCTGCGGCTGCGCAGTGGAACAGGCCGCAGCGCAGCCCGAGGCTCGGCCTTGTACCGTCCGCAGTTCCTGCCTGCAGACCCTGGGGTACCGCGAAGTCGCCACTCCGAGCACCTCACCTTCCCACGGCTGCTTGCCAGACACACACCAAACCGGTGTGGCGTGCGCGGCTCACCTGGTCGACGACCTCGTCGTCGTCGTCGTCCTCCTCGGCACTGTCTTCATCGTCTTCGTCCTGGTCCTCCACTTCTTCGTCCTCTTCTTCTTCCTGGCGCGGGGCCGGGGCGTCCACGGGCCGCGGAGCCCCACTGCCCACGGCGCGCCGCTTGGACCTGGACGCCATGCTGCCGCCCTCACTGCGCCTGCGCCACTTCCGCTCGCCCCGCCCCTCAGGACCGACCCACACAAGCCGCGGGGGTGAGAGACCACCTACACCCTCCGCACTGAGTCGGCGACAACCCCAGTGCCCCTGCTGATTCCACGGCCGTGACTCCTCTGAGTCGACTCCAGTTCCGAGTACTATCTGGGCCTTTTCTTCCTCCCTCCACGACCCCTCACCGCCTCCAAGGCTCCCCCTCCCCTTGACGCCATGGTTCAACCCACCTCCGCGAAAGCGCCCGGCTTGGATGTCGGTGCGCATGCGCGAGCCCCCGCGGGCAGCGGCGAGGGGCTCTGGAGGTGGTACCCCGGGCCTCACCCGGCCGTCACCATGGCAGCTCAGGCCCCGTGGTGAGGGGTCCGCCCACCCTGCCCCTCGCTCCGATAGCCTCGCAGCCCCGGGGTTGGGATCGCTAGATAACCGCCCCTTTGGGCGACCGAATGCGGGGCGCCGGGCCGCGCACAGCCCCAGCTCCCAGACCTTTCGGGCCTCGTCAGGCCGGCGAGGTAGGTGTCGCCGCCCACGGTCCCGACAAAGACACGGAGGCCTCGGGACTTGCAGGGCCCACCCGCGGCGCTAGCTTGTGCAGGAGTCGGGAGCGGAACCCGCGGCCACTGCGGGCCTGGGTGTGGGCCGTGGTCGGGGCAACGGTCGGCCTCAGTGGAAGGTCCCCGAGTCCGCGCGCGTGCCCCCCGCTTGGCCGGCGTCCCCCCAGCACTGGGGTGTGATCGCATGGTGCAGCGCCTGCCCCTCGCGCGTCCAGCTTAAGCCCCTGTCCTGACGCTCAGGTTCTCGTGCTTCGGGGCCAGCGGGGACCAAACCTAAGCAGAGGGGAGGGGACTCTGCACGCTGGGGTGGACCCGGCAGCTGCAGCCAGTGTGGCCACGTGGACATGCCCGCCCAGTGCTGTCCGATTTTTAACATTTTAAGAGAACCAGGAATTCTGTTTTTTTACAAGAAATGTCTTGAGTTTTAAAACCTGTGCCGAATAAAATTCATCAGCCGGCCAGGTCTAGCCGGCAGGCGGCCAGTCGGCAGCCCGCTGTAAAGACAGTTCATCAGAAAGTCACTGATCAGAGATGACATCGGCTTCCTGGTTTTCCCTCTCCTTGGTGAAATGGGGAGAGTGGGTTGAAGGCACGGATTCTGGAATGGAATGGGCTGCCCCAGTGGCGAGGTGGCCGCTGCTGGTTTAAGCAGAATGGTCAGTAACCCTTCAGCAGCAGGAATTGGAATCGAGAGACCTCAGGTCTCCCCGGAGTCCACAGGATTGTGTTGTGGTGGTTCCGTCCACCAGGCCACAACAGGGGTATCCGTGTACTTGCGTGGCAGGGCTCCACGTCTGCTGTCGTAGCTTGACACAGCCCCCTGGGCCCCACAACTACGCAAGAACATCTGATGATGGACAAGCGAGGAAGCTTTTATAAAAAAGATCTATCAAAAGGCTAATTTAGAAATAAGATGCAGAAGGCACAGTACCAACATATCAATAGAGTTGCACTGAGACATCACGGGTAATTTCTCCGTGTCCTTGTGTGTTTTGTTTGTGGTAAAATATATAGGACATAAAATGTCCCATTTTAGTCATTGGTAAGTACACAGATCAGCACTGTCAAGCACATCCACACCGTTGTTTATTTTTCTTTTTCTTATTATTCCTCACCTGAGGATATTTTTCTACTTATTATCAGATAGAGTGGGAAGGAGGGAGAGGGAGAGAGACAGAAATATCAGTGTGAGAGAGCTACATCGACTGGTTGCCTCCCACACGACCCAACCAGGGCCAAGACGAACCAAAACCAAGGTACATGCCCTTGACCGGAATCCAACCAACGGCTCATTGGTCCAAGGGCGGATGCTCTAACCGCTGAGCCAAACTGGCCAGGGCTCCACACCGTTGTTTAAACACTAACTCCTCATCCTCCCTTCTCCCAGCCACTGCACAACACCATTCTACTTTCTGTCTATGAATTTGCCTATTCTAGGTACATGATGTTAAGTGGCATCATGTGATATTTGTGCCTTTGTGACTGGCTTGTTGCACTTAGCATAATGTTGTTAAAGTTCACCCATGTTGGCCCTGGCCGGTTTGGCTTAGTGGTAGAACATTGGCCGGTAGACCCAAGAGTCTTAGGTTCAATTCCGGCCAAGGGCACATACCTCGGTTGTGGTTCGGTCCCCGACCCTGGTCAGCGTCATGTGGGAGGCAACCAATCGATGTGCCTCTCTCACATCGATGTTGCGCACGTGCGCTCTCTCTCTCTCTCTCCCCCCCTTTCTCTGTCACACTCTATCTAAAAATAAAAATGGAAAAAAGGTATCCTCAGGTGAGGATTAAAAAAAAAGTTCACCCAGGTTGTAGCAGGTGTCCTTTTTAAACCTGAATAACATTCCATTGTGTAGATAGACCACATTTTATTTATCCACTGGTGGACACTTGGCTATTGTGAATAATGCTGCTTTGAGCATGGGTGTACAAATATCTATTCAAGTCCCTGCTGTTAATTTTTTGAGTATATACCTAGAAATAGAATTGTTGGGTCATATGGTAATTGGTTTTGTTTTTTCGAGGAACTATACTTTTTTGTAGTTGGCAAGCTCCCCACAACGAGCATGTATTACGGCTTTGAGCAGAGAAGTGGGGGAGCCCTACTTTGTGCCCGTAGGTTAGTCCCCAGCGCCGAGCTCATGGTCGAGGGGGAATCAGAGGAGCAGACGTGAAGAACTGCACAGCCTGTGGTTGTCCTCTGAGAAGACAGCCTGGCCCCAGGGCGCTTAGTCAGGGACGAGTGCTGACCCTGGCTCAGTCTTCACCGTGAGCTCGTCATTAGTCTTACTTGTTTGTGAAATGTTTCTTACCCTTGGGTAAATAGGAGGGCGGGGATCGTATTGTGACCCCGTGCCTAGGACACAGTTACTGCCTGTAAGTATTAGTTGGCTCGCTGACAGGTTTACACTGAACAAACCCACAGTCCAGGTGCGATTGGAAGAAGAAAGGCATGGATTTTCATCCTGGTCCCAGCTCCTACAAACCGGGCTGTGGACAGGTGGGCTCCCCCAGAATCACACTGGTAATTAACTCTGTCTTCATTGTGAATTGCTGGTACAGCCACTTCTTAACGTCTCCACTGCTAAAACTGCCACTGTCTACTCTCCTGACCACAGACACCGGAGACTGTACGGAGTCACCCCACCGCTGTCACCCCCAGCCTGACTCTCAGTGGACCCCGCTTCGCGTGGACTCCAGAGACCCCATGGCTTTCCCCTCCAGCCAGCCCTGTCCTTCCCTCCTGGGCACTCCAGGGCCCCTTTCTGACTCAAACATTTTTTTTTAACTTTTTTCCCCCATTTTTTATTTTGAGATAGGGTAGGAGGGAGGGGAAGAGAGAGAGAGAGAAACACCGATGTGAGAGAGACACAACCATTGGTTGCCTCCTGCATGACCCTGTCCAGGGCCAAGATGAACTGCAACCGAGCTACATGCCCTTGATCGGAATTGAACCCACGACTCTTTGGTTCGAGGGCTGATGCTCTAACCGCGGAGCCAAACCGGCCAGGGCTCAAACATTTTCTATTTATGGCTAGTGTCACTCAGATCTCAACTCATGTCACCTCCCTCAAGTCTCCTCACTGCTATTGACATTCAGATCTCAACTCATACCACCTTCTCAGAACGGTCCCCCTGGAGAGGTAACCAGCTACCAGCATCCCAGCCCCCTCTGCCACCTCACCTCCTAGCACACAGTGGTACCTGGACTTGTCCCCCAGCCCCAATAACAATGTCCACCTAACCTCCCTGAGGGGAATTCCAGGCCTCACTGCTGAGAGCCGGATAGAAAGCTTAAGGGACAGATCGGCTCCTGGTATTTGAGAGCATTACTGACGTATCTTTGGGAGACGTGGGGTCTGTATTTCAGGGCTGGAGCCAGGGTGGGGACAGGGTAGGGCTGGGTGGAGATCCGTGGCCTCAGGAATGCCTGTTTTCAACCCAAATAAGCTTCCACTTTTTAACCCCACAGTAGTTGCCAGCTTTGTGTGCCCTGGAAAGATTTATGCTTTAGCAGAAAATGCCAGGTTTTAGTTGCCGCTCAGTGACCTACCAGATCTCTGGAACCCCAAAATTGGAAGGTGTATCAGTCAGGGTTCAACCAGAGAAACAGAACCAGTAGGGGATGTATATTAGGGGGCTTACGGCAAGGAGTTGACCTCTGCCACCGTGGGGCAAGTCTGAAATCCATAGTGCAAGCCAAGGAGGAGGGCAGGACTCGGGCCTGGGCTGCCACTGCACCCTCGGGGGAGCCTCACTTCTGCTCAGAAGGCCTCCTACCGCCTGAGCCAGGCCCAGGCAGACCATCTAGGGCAGTGGTTCTCGCCTTCCTGTGCCGCGACCCTCTAATCCAGTTCCTCGTGGTGACCCCCAACCATAAAATTATTTTGTTGCTACTTCATAACTGTAATTTTGCTACTGTTATGTCTTAGGCAACCCCTGTGAAAGGGTCGTTCAACCCCAGAGGGGTCACCTCCCACAGGTTGAGAGCCAGTGCTCTAGGATAATGTGTCTTCCTAAAAGTCAACTGATGATGGAGCTCATCACGTCTCACAAAGACCTCCCGAGCAACACTTAAATCAGCATTGGAGAATGCACGGGGGCTTTAGCCAGCAGGGTTGACACAAGAGTGACCGTTGCAGGTGACCATAATGGCTTTTGATACGTATTGACAAATTGTTTTCACATTAGAACATTTTTGAAATACTGTTCTATGGTACCTGACAACATTTATAAAACGTTATTTGAGAAGCAGAAGAGTCAATATAATTATTTCCTTAAGGAGCTCACGAGCAAACAACTTAGTATATATATATAACTTGAAATTGAAGTAATTAGTTATTTCCTTCCGATATGAAATGCCCATTTCTCTGTTACTGGTACAACCCAGAATTCGCGTCACTTCAGGCTGGGACGCTGGCTCTCCCAGGGCTTCCTTCTGCCTTTCCAAATGCTATCAGGTGCCAGCACCCTGCCCCTCAGCCTTATCAGTGCCAGGTCTCCGAGGTAACAAGCCCATTCACGCTGAGTCAGTGTGTGCAAGGGCTGGGCCACATTGGCCAGCAACTGATTACCTCCTCCCTGGGCCCCTGTTCATCCCACCAGACCTAGGGAGGGTCTCTGAGGTCCAACTGAGATCTGTTTCCCTGCTCTGTCACAGCGCCCTGTGAGGACTGCCAGGCAATAATGAAGGTTCTTTTACTGAAAGATGCCAAGGAGGATGAAGATGGCCAGGATCCGTACATCAGGGTAAGTGCCTGAGCCTCCTGGGCCGGAAAACACAGCACCGCCTCACCAGTGAAGCCGGGGGTCCCGAGAGAGTGGAGGGATTAGCACAGAGTAAGCTGGTAATGTGCTACCATCACCCTTTCCTTATTTTCCGGAGCACCCTGGCCAATCCAGAACTATATTCTTTTATTTGCAGGAATTAGGATTATATGGACTCGAAGCCACTTTGATCCCTGTTTTATCATTCAACTTTCTGTCTCTCCCCAGTTTCTCAGAGAAGGTAAGTCTGCCAGTGTCTGAGCACCGTAATTTCTAAGTGAGACATTTGGTTTTTGTAGAATCTGTGCCAACCCAGCCGGAAGGGCTTTCTTCCTTCCCCTCATTTTACTACCCAGCTTCAAAATAGGGCAGCACAGCCCACCGGCCCCAGGACTCGGCTCCAGCGTCGCTGCTGTGGGGTTCTCTGCCCGAGCCTCCACCAGCTCCTCCGCCCTGACTTGGAGCAGGCCCGGGAGAGCAGGTCGTGGGACGGACCCTGCTCACAGCAGTTCAGACCCTGGCCCCACCCCTGCCCTGATCTCTGCAGAGAGGCTGTGTGTTTGTTTTCCTGTTTTGGAAATTGAGGCCCCAAGTTGGGCAACTTGGCCAGGCCTCTGGGACAGGGAGGCAGTGTTGAGACTCAAGAGCAGGACATCTCCCCACAGCCCCAGCTCTGCGTGACCCACACTGTCGGGGACAGTCCCGGTACAGCCTTCCAGATGTCCCAGGTTACAGACAGAGCCCGGCAGCCCTGCTCCCCGGGCTGCACAGCCTGTCGGCACCCCCCTGCCCATCACTCTGCAGAGCCCTCCTGTTCCGTTCAGTTGAGCCGAACACCCGATTGTTGCGTCTGCTCAGCAGACACGGGGTCGGCGTCTGCCACGTTGGTGTGCACTGGGCCTGTGTGCTGAGGGCCCATCTTGGCTTGCTTTTCCGTGAGCAGCTTTGAAAGGGAACGAAGGACCTCATCATCTGAGATCACTGTAGGACCTCCGAAACCCTCACGTCTCCACAGGAGCGCCTGCATCACACCAGCCGGTCTGCCCCGGGGGTGAGGGGTGCTCTCCGCTCTCTCCAGCCATCTCCCGTCGTGCAGCAAGCACAGTCTCAGCCTCTGCCTCCCACTCAGCCCCAGGAACTTCCACAGACTCAGTGGAGAGAGTGTACACAGCAGCCAGAGCCCGGCTCAGTGCATTTTATCACCATTGTCTGAAAATCAGAGCTTCAGCATGGACACCGCCCCTGGCCAATAGTCCAGTTTTATTGCAGATGCAGGTCAAGTCTACCCTCCTGCCTGCACCCCACTCAGCCCAGGCTGAGTCCCATTGCCCCCTCTTCTCCGGTTACACCCAACACCCTACGTAGCACCTGCTGTCTCTCCTCTCGACTCTGAGCTGCATGAGGGAAATGCACTCAAGATGAATAATGAATTCTCCTGCACTCCTGAAGGCTGGGGTAGGCACGCAGGCAGCTCTCAGCAAGTGATGGATGGATGGATGGATGGACAGACGGACGGACAGGTGGGTGGACAGTGGATGGGTGGATGGTGGATGGACGGACGGACGGACGGACAGGTGGATGGACAGTGGATGGATGGACAGTGGATGGGTGGATGGACGGACGGGTAGAATGAAGTAGTTTGCCCGCTGCTCTTGTGAGCGTTTGGAGTCTGGGAAATGTGGAGCTGAGCCATCACATAAAACGCCTTTGCTGGTGTTTGGTGTGCAGCTGTCTCGCCCGGAGGGGTACGGAGGGCTCATCTTCACCAGCCCCAGAGCAGTGGAAGCCATGGAGCTGTGCCTGGAGGGAGGCGATCAAGCCGAAGGTGAGGGCGCCCCGCGGATCCACGGGCTTGTCTTCACCCTGCTTTCCCCCATCGGCCTCGCGAGAGTCCAGAAATCCCTGCACTTCGGTTTGAAATTGCAGGGACTTTGAGCTCAGAAAGTGTTTAGGCTTCGTTATTCCATGTTGTGTAACCTTTGGAAGAGCAGAAAATGACCTTTTTGTCCCACACAGGACATGCTAACCCGTTAGCCTTCTGACAAGAGCGAGCGCTAAGTGGCGCCCTGTCACAGACTCTGCCCTGGGAACAGGAGACGCCGCTGCCTCCACACTCCCAGGTGGATGTTGCTCAGAGAGACCAGTGTTCACCTGCCAGCTGGTCACGTCTCCCCTCAGACAGATCAGCCCCATCTCTTTCCTCGGGGCTCTGTGCCAGGCGCTGCATGGCAGGACCGTCCCTGGACCCTCCTCCTCCTCCGCCTCCTCCTCCTCCTCCCCTCCATCAAAACACAGGACCATCCCTCAGACCCTCCTCCTCCTCCTCCCCTCCATCGAAACACAGGACCATCCCTCAGACCCTCCTCCTCCTCCTTCCCTCCATCAAAACACAGGACCATCCCTCAGACCCTCCTCCTCCTCCTCCCCTCCATCAAAACACAGGACCATCCCTCAGACGCTCCTCCTCCTCCTCCTCCTCCCCTCCATCGAAACACAGGACCATCCCTCAGACCCTCCTCCTCCTCCTTCCCTCCATCAAAACACAGGACCATCCCTCAGACCCTCCTCCTCCTCCTCCCCTCCATCAAAACACAGGACCATCCCTCAGACCCTCCTCCTCCTCCTCCCCTCCATCAAAACACAGGACCATCCCTCAGACCCTCCTCCTCCTCCTCCCTCCATCAAAACACAGGACCATCCCTCAGATCCTCCTCCTCCCCCTCCATCAAAACACAGGACCATCCCTCAGACCCTCCTCCTCCTCCTCCTCCCCTCCATCAAAACACAAAACCGTCTCTCAGACCCTCCACCTCCTTCCCTCCATCAAAACACAGGACCATCCCTCAGACCCTCCTCCTCCTCCTCCTCCCCTCCATCAAAACACAGGACCGTCCCTCAGACCCTCCTCCTCCTCCTCCTCCCCTCCATCAAAACACAGGACCATCCCTCAGATCCTCCTCCTCCCCTCCATCAAAACACAGGACCATCCCTCAGACCCTCCTCCTCCTCCTCCTCCCCTCCATCAAAACACAAAACCGTCTCTCAGACCCTCCACCTCCTTCCCTCCATCAAAACACAGGACCATCCCTCAGACCCTCCTCCTCCTCCTCCCCTCCATCAAAACACAGGACCATCCCTCAGATCCTCCTCCTCCCCTCCATCAAAACACAGGACCATCCCTCAGACCCTCCTCCTCCTCCTCCTCCCCTCCATCAAAACACAAAACCGTCTCTCAGACCCTCCACCTCCTTCCCTCCATCAAAACACAGGACCATCCCTCAGACCCTCCTCCTCCTCCTCCTCCCCTCCATCAAAACACAGGACCATCCCTCAGACCCTCCTCCTCCTCCTCCTCCCCTCCATCAAAACACAAAACCGTCTCTCAGACCCTCCACCTCCTTCCCTCCATCAAAACACAGGACCATCCCTCAGACCCTCCTCCTCCTCCTCCCCTCCATCAAAACACAGGACCGTCCCTCAGACCCTCCTCCTCCTCCCCCCCTCCATCAAAACACAGGACCATCCCTCAGACCCTCCTCCTCCTTCCCTCCATCAAAACACAGGACCGTCCCTCAGACCCTCCTCCTCCTCCTCCTCCCCTCCATCAAAACACAGGACCATCCCTCAGACCCTCCTCCTCCTCCTCCTCCCCTCCATCAAAACACAGGACCGTCCCTCAGACCCTCCTCCTCCTCCTCCTCCCCTCCATCAAAACACAGGACCATCCCTCAGATCCTCCTCCTCCTCCTCCCCTCCATCAAAACACAGGACCGTCCCTCAGACCCTCCTCCTCCTCCTCCTCCCCTCCATCAAAACACAGGACCATCCCTCAGACCCTCCTCCTCCTCCTCCTCCCCTCCATCAAAACACAGGACCGTCCCTCAGACCCTCCTCCTCCTCCTCCCCTCCATCAAAACACAGGACCATCCTCAGACCCTCCTCCTCCTCCTCCCCTCCATCAAAACACAGGACCATCCCTCAGACCCTCCTCCTCCTCCTCCTCCCCTCCATCAAAACACAAAACCGTCTCTCAGACCCTCCACCTCCTTCCCTCCATCAAAACATAGGACCATCCCTCAGACCCTCCTCCTCCTCCTCCTCCCCTCCATCAAAACACAGGACCATCCCTCAGACCCTCCTCCTCCTCCTCCTCCCCTCCATCAAAACACAAAACCGTCTCTCAGACCCTCCACCTCCTTCCCTCCATCAAAACACAGGACCATCCCTCAGACCCTCCTCCTCCCCTCCATCAAAACACAGGACCGTCCCTCAGACCCTCCTCCTCCTCCTCCCCTCCATCAAAACACAGGACCATCCCTCAGACCCTCCTCCTCCTCCTCCTCCCCTCCATCAAAACACAGGACCGTCCCTCAGACCCTCCACCTCCTCCTTCCCTCCATCAAAACAGATGAACAGAATCTGGGGTTCAGACTGAACAACCACCTTAGTCCGTTCGAGCAGATAGCTTCGTGCTAACATGTACGGAGTGCCTCCTGTATACCAGTCTCCGTTAACTCCACAGTCATATCTCATTTAATCCAGGGCACACATACTGGGGTCTCATTTTCCAGATGAGAAGACTGAGGCCTGGCAAGAGTGAGCGCTTGTCCAGGGCCATGGAACCAGCAGTCAGGCCTGACCGGCTCGTCCCGGTGATGAGCAGGGGCAGAGGGTGGTGCTTACCCAAAGGGCTTTGCAGCTAGTTGGGCCTGGGTTCAGATGGCCGTTCTGACCTTGGTGAGTTCCTTGACCTCGCTGAGCCTCAGTTTCCTTGTTTGTCAAGTGGGCCCAATGATATGTGCTCAGTGGCTCGTCACTTCCACTGGGAGCGAGCTGGGACCTGGGAGGGTCTGCCTGTGCTAGACACGGTCCTCAGTACCCCAAGGCCGGCACGACAGTGTTTCCTGGCAAATGAGGACCTGAGAGCAGAGGGTGCAAAAGTCTCAAAGGCCACGTGGCTGAGTCGCAGGTGTGAGTCCGGCTTCAGAGCCAGACTGCCAAGGAGCAACACTCGGAGCGCCTGGTACCTGGCGGGCGCTGAGCAAGTGGCCGAGGAAGTAGCCACCCGCCTCTGCCCTCCCGCTGCAGTAGGCCTCGTGCGAGCCAGAGAGCGCGCTGTCCTGGATCACAGACACACCTGAGGGGGCCTACGCTCGAAGACCAGGACTCGCGCTGGCTGGGAGGCCACACGCGGGCCCCAGTGCCGTCTGCTGCTTCGGGGCTCTTCCCTCACCGCCGCCTTTTCCTCTTGTATGTGTTTGAGGTGAAGATGATGAAAACCCCAGAATGGACACCGCAGCTTTCCGTAGTGCTTCACGGTTGAAGAGCATTTCCCAAGGGCTCCCTTCCCTCCCTCCCCGTCCCTGACTAGTCCGGGAAGCAGTCCTCCGGCTCTCTGCGTGGCTCAGACTTGCCCAGGGACATGCCCCCATGAGGGGAGCTGGCTCCAAGCCGGGCTTTCTGACTCCACCGGGCTCTCTCCAGTGGCTTCCTGCCGTGGGGCTGGACATGTGCGCTAGAGATCATCTTAAAATAAATTTCACGCTGTGTGCAGGAAAGAAAGAAGGTAACAGTCAGTCTTGGATCACTGTTTAAAAGGAACTGTCCCGCAGGAGTGGAAAGGGCAGGGCACCGCCAGATTCCAGGGCAAGTCCCCCAAGGTCAGGTTTTAGAAAGGGAGCGCTCGTTCCCGTCTTCCAGGAAGGTGCCGAATGCCCAGGGGCCCTTCTGACACATTTAGACGATCCATTCGATCCATTCGGTTCCCCTCTTCCAGGAAGGTGCCGAATGCCCAGGGGCCCTTCTGACACACTTAGACGATCCATTCGCTCTGTTCTTCTTTAACTATTTTTAAAGATGGGTGTTTTAGTAAATAAATAAAGATGGGTGTGTTTTTTTGCCAGAAAAATGGTAGAGTTCTCCATCAGTTGTGTTTGAGTATGATCCTGAGATGTATTATTTGTACTTTGACCGGATGGATAAATGAGCCCTCTCATCTGAGGTCAGTTTCTTGACTGCTTTCAGATTTATGTTCCAAATCAAACCGATGGTATTGCTTTATTACACTTGTTATCTCTTTCTTTCTTTAATGTTTTTATTGATTTTTTTAGAGAGAGGAAGGGAAAGGGAGATAGAAACATGGATGTGAGAGAGAAGCATCAATTAGCTGCCTCCTGCACGCCCCCCACTGGGGATTGAGCCTGAAACCTGGGCGTGTGCCCTGACCAGGAATCTAGCCAGGACCTCTCAGTCCATGGGACGACACTCAGTCCACTGAGCCATGCCGGCTGGTCAGACACACTGGCCAGGCAGACTTTGTTACCTCTCTCTAATGACCAATGACTTTTTCTGTCAAAGTCTAGATTTAAAACACTTGAATATCACCATGCACATGCAGTCACCCAGCCACGGCTGTTGCTAGTGCACAGAACGGGAGCAGGCGTCCTGAGTGTCAGCCGCGCGACCTTCGCCATGTGCTGCAGAACGCGAGCGGTCTGAGGTGGAGTTTTAGTTGGAGATGCTGTTCTTTCGCTGGCTCATCACCAGTGTGCCTCGCTCCAGGGCTTAGGATGCACAGCAGCCTTGGGCAGTCGCCCCCATGGCCTCTGTGGTCTTAGCGGCTCACATGTCACTTCATGTTTTGCAGTCTGGAAACAGTCTTTGAGAGAAAAATGGAATGCTAAGTCGGTGTATGTGGTTGGACACGCCACTGCTTCTCTAGGTAAGCGATCAAGCTAAAAATAAAACACCAGAACATGACTGTGCTGTTGTGGTTCGTGAGAAATGCACATCTGGTCTTCATCGCTGTTCCTGGACCAGAGCTCCTCCTGCCCTTGGTCGTCCCCAGGTGACACAGATAAAGGTGTCTGTTGTTGTTCATAAGAAACCTCCTTCACCTGCACCTGCTTCATCCCACTGCGCTGACTCTGTGACGGCCCAGCGCTGGGGCAGGTTGCGGGCCAGCCCTGTGACTAGCGCAGGCTCCTCCAGACTCCTGCCCTCACACCACCTCCGGGGGGCGCTGGCGTGGGCTAATCACGAAGGACGGTGACCTGACCGGCCTGCAGGCACTGCCGGCGTGCTCCGGTCTGGGTACAAGGAGGAACGTGCTCAGGTGTGGATCCAGGTGCTGGCATCACGGCGTATTTGGGCCCCAGTTCAGTTCCCAGGAAGTTTTCAGGGTTCTCAGGTGCACAGAGACCTTCCTGATCCAGCCAGAGGGCCGGCAGTGCGCACAATGTGGGGGCTGTGTTCCCAGACGGGTGCAAGGGACCTTTTCCTCTTGGCGCGTTGGTCAGGCTCTGTCGATGAAAGCGATGCTGGACTGGAAAGCCGCAGTGTGGTATTAGCCAGGCCCCTGTGAGCACCTCCTTCTCAGAGAGGTTCCGCGTTCCTCTGGCCAGGCGGGCCCTTCCTCACCCCCCAGGGAGCCCGTGTGCGGGCTGCGCGCTGGCTCGTGGCCCGAGTCTCAGCCGTGGCGGGCACAGCCTCCCCGCAGTCACCTGGGCCCTGGCACACGGGAGGAAAGTTCTCCCTCCTGCCCCTTTCGTTCCCCCACATCGGCTCAACCTTCCAGGCGGGGCTGGCCTTGGCTCCCTCCCAAAGCGAGGGCTCTCTGATGTCCACAGTCTTAAAGGTCCCCCACCCCTGACTGACTGAAAGCCAGCTTCTCTGAGCTCCACCGAGGTGGCCGGCAGTTTGCTCCCGTCGTCTTGTGGGACCTTAAAACAGCCATAGGGTTGTGTCTTCCTGCAGATGAGTCCACTGGGGCTCAGAAAAATCGAAGCGTCATCCACAGCCACGTGTCTGGGGAGCATGGGGCTGGGAGCCAGCACCTCCGTGAGACCAGAGCCTGCAGCCCCCTCGCCAGGCCGGCCTCGGGAGGGCTCCGATTTGTCCAGAGCCAGCCTCTGTATTTGCACGTGGAACAGACAACACAGGAACAGAGAGGCTTAAATAGCCGTGTCAAGACGTGTATCTTTTCTTGTTTTCCAGTGAATAAAATTGGCCTGGATACAGAAGGAGAAAACTGTGGGAATGGGGAAAAGCTCGCAGAATATATTTGTTCCAGTAAGTAGAAAAAGGCGCCCCACATGAAGCCCATTCATTTGCGTTTGTGGGTCTCTCAACCACCACCCAGGGAAAGGAGTGTTTCCTTGGAAACTTCCCTGTGATGACGGTGGTGGCCGTGCAGTGTGGGACCATGTCTGTGCTTGCTTGAGACTCAGCCCACCTCCTGCCACACCTACACCAAACGACTAGAGACAATTCCAGCGTAACACAAAACATTTGTATCTTCTTGGTGGGGAGTGAGATCCCTGTGATTGGGCTTCCCCCCCCCCCCCGCCCCCCGCAGCTCAGAGATGCGGAGGGTCCAGGATGATCCAACTCCAGGCCCTCTGTTTCCAATGCCCTTTCAAGGGGTAATGGTCACCATGAAACATGTCAAAGCCCTTTTCTAATGTAGAAATCGATGTAAGTGGTCGTTCTTGGCATCCTCCTGGGGTTGAGAGCCTCGGTTTACAGAGGATGAGTACTGGTCCTGTGAGTGGACGACCTGAGCTCCTCTGTGAATAGGTGGCCCCGCCTGTTTCCAAGGCTGGGGTTCGGCTGCTCTCACAGTTGATGCGTGAAGTTCTGGGCCGAGGTGAACTGAGTCCTTCCTCGTTGTCAGGCCCGGAGCCATCGAGCGGTGCTCCTTCTTTGCAAACACCAGGCAGAGAGGCGCTGAGTCACTGCTGAGGTGTCACACTGGGGTTTCAGTGAGCTGAGCCAGGCTTGGAGGGGGACACCAACACCTCTGCCCACATCTCGGAGGATACTGGCTGGCATTCTTTGCAAAGTCTTTGTACTTCCTCTGATTACTCTCAGCATGTCTGTGGCCCTAATACATCTTCAGCTTGTAATTAGAACACCCCATAGAAACCCATCCTGACTGCAGTAGGCCTTCCCCCTGCTTCTACAGGCTCCGGGTCTTCCCCAGGGGCTCTGAAGCTTAATTTTAAAAGCTAAGAACTTCTAATGCTTGAGTAAACAGGCCCATTCATAGTTATTTCTTTATTTTACTTAACAAACACATATTTATTATGTGATAGGCACTATTTTAAGCGCTTAAAGCTATTAACTAATTTAATCTGCTAGCTTATTGTTCTGATAAACAATTCTCCTCTAATGGAAAAGAAAGTTCGAGTTTCGTGGTAAAAGGTAGACAGTTCTGAGAGCGAGAGAGACACAGAAGCAGACAGATTGTACTGCAGTGTATTTGAAATGTCCTCCTGGACTTGAGCTGACACATGGAGCAGCAGACTCGCTGGGCTCCTGTCCCTTCCCTCCCCGGCAGCCTCATTATCCCGGTCACCCGCAGTCAGGCGCCCGGTGCCTGCTGACCGGATCCTCACGGCAGACCTGAGTCCTTAGGGCTTACAGACTCGCAGTCTCCTCCAGCGACAGACATTTAAACTCAGTCTCGTCGTAAGTACCTGCAGTGACTATTTCTCGAGCTCGCCACCCAGCTGCACAGCATCCGGGGTTTTTAATACCTTGTCTCTGCAGCCTCACAGGCCAGTGGTCCAGGCCTCCTTCCTGGTAGAGCAGGAGAACGGGCCCCGAACCCGTGATTCACCAGTTCTGTGTCGGGTTCAACTCCTGCCAGGCCCCCGTCTCTCCCTACTGTCCTGGGGAGACCTCATCTCCTCTCTGCAGAGTCAGCCAGCTTCACATTGTTGGACCTGTCTAGCATCGGCCCATCCGGGCTGAAATCTGCCTCTTGGTGACGGGAGCCGTGCCCGGTGCTGTCCACAGCTCCGCAGAAACATCTGCTGCGGCGCTGACCCCAGGCCTGCCCACTGACCCCTGCCAGCTCGGTGCGCAGCCTGCTCCTGAGCAGCGGCTGCTGCAGGGTGGCGCAGCCTGGGCTCGTGGGCTAGTCCCAGGGCCCGTGCCCACGCTGCCTCCAGGCCTGCCTCCAGGGACAGGTCAGGGGGGCGCAGCTGCCCTCCGCCCACGGCGCCGGAACTGAGGCCCCCGGAGCTGAGCAGGCAGCGCCTGGGGCTTCTGCGAGGCTGTGCAGAGTCTGCTTGTTCATTCACAGGGGAGCCGTCAGCACTGCCTCTGCTGTTTCCCTGTGGAGCCCTCAAAGGAGAGGTCCTGCCGAAGATGCTCAAGGACAAAGGTGACCACACGCCCTCCCTCGCTCTGTGGGGGCCGCCGAGAGCCTTCAAGGGGATGGACATGTCAGCCCTGCAGAGACCGCAGGGACAGCAGGCCTGGGGCGCGGGGTCCCGTGCGGTCTGCTCCAGCTAGGAACAGGAGGGTCACCCAGCCGTCACAGGAGAGGTGGGTGGTGGTGTAGAGGTGACCCTGGGGCGGGTCCACACACAGAAGAAATCTGAGGATGGAGCTGACCTGCCAGGGCCTGCGGCAGCCCCCAGCTCAGCCCCTCGAGCCTCGCTCCCTCCTGCCCGGGGCTCACTGTCCAGCACCCAGCCGTGCCCTGTGCTCTCCAGCGCGTGGACTGCTGTCTCAGGTGTCGCCTGCACACCTGCTGTCACGCAGTGCATCTGGGAGCCGGCGGTCAGCAGCAGTTTGGAGCATGAGCTTCAGGGTGAGACAAATGGATTTGAAGTCTCCCGGCCTTCATTGGCTGTGCCAGGGCAGGTCACGTGCTCGCTCTGCCTGGTCTGCTGCTGGAGCTGCTGTGTGCAGGGCGGCACCTGCCCTCCAGAGCAGGCCGTCCGTGGGCTGCGATCAGTGGTCACCTCCAGTGCGTCCGCCTGCAGCCGTCCAGCCCAGAACGTTGCCCAGGACGAGCGCAGACGGTGCCGCTCACCCTCTGCATTAGCATGGGGAGAGATCGCATCGTCTCCCCTTGTTAGCGTCTGCCTCCGAAACGCCACCAGGAGTGACGTCGGGGACGGCGGGCAGTAAGGTCGGCAGGAGCCTTGGCCTTTCTGGAACAAGAGAGTGAGAGCAGGGCAGTGTGGTCCAGGCTTCCCTAGGGAGGCCGTAGAAGTCAGAGGCTTGATGCTCCAGTTTCTCTAGGTTTGGGGTGTGAAATGGTGATAGGTTGCTGTTTTACGCAGAAATTCTTGATTCCTTCTGAGGGATTTTCTTCCCTATCCCATTTCACTGCTACAATGCTGAGGTTTCAGTATCTGACCCGGCTTCCTCGCCGCGCGGCCGCCCTAGCTAGTGAGTGTCTGTGATTGGCCCGTGCTGGTCACTTCATGCTTCCTCCCTGAACACTGTGGGATGTTCAGAGTCCATGAATAGAACGGGGGGGGGGGGTGAGACACCTCAGAGCTTCATCCATCCATCTACAGATGGGTCCCTGGGGCCCATGGAGGGCGTGGTGCATCCAGGAGCAGGTGGCCAGGTGGAGGCTGAGCTGGGATGCGGCGGGGGCTCCTGGCTCAGGCCCCCATGCCCTTTCTGACTCGTGGCCTCTCCTAGGAGCGGCCCTTGAACCTGCTTCCTGGCATCGGGTTGCAGGGACCAAGGTGTCTAAGGCTCTTGGCTGCCTGCTTCAGCCCCCAGGCTCGAAAACCTCCCTCCAAGCTCCGCCCACACGCCTTGCCCTCTGTGTAGGACTCCACACTGAGCACTGTGGACCCCAGGAAGAAATGTGCATTTGCTGTGATGCCCAAGGAGGAATCCATCTGCTGAGGTGGACTCCCGTGGTCAAGGGCCTGAATCTTATAAACAGCAAGAGCCTTGGCCGCGTGCTGACGGGCGCTTCCGGTGCTCTGCATGCGGCCTCTCGCCCTGCGCCCCGCTCGCTGCCAGCCACCGCAGGGGCCTGCTTCCTCGCTGCCAGCCGGCCGGACCTGCCCTCCTGTACATGAAATGGCCCCGTGGAGAACCCGGCAGGGAAACCTTTTGCTATAGCAGACAGCCTCCCCTTTGTCTCGGTGGAACAGGACTTAGGTCGCTACCCGAATCTGTCTCCTGGGCTACAGCTCCTTTGTTCTTGATTACTGAGATTAATTTCGGCTTATAGCATCTGTGGTGGAATGGCCGGGAACAGTCCTGTGGGCAGCCCACACGGACATGGGAACAGACGGCACTGTGGGTACGAAGGCAGCCTTCCGATGCAGGGCCCGTGTCCTTCCTGTGTCTCAGCCTCCCCCGCAGGCCGCTCAGGGCTCAGCAGGCTGCAGAGGGCCAGCTGAGCCGTCTGGTTCAGGCTGGTGGGCAGACAGGTCTCCACTACCCGCCCGCCGTGCACACTGCATGGTGTCCCCCAGAGCGGTCAGTCTGTTCTCTGCTTTTGATTGTGTCCAGGGATCCCCATGGAGAGCATCACTGTCTATCAGAAGGTTCCACACCCGGGAATCCAGGTGAACCTGAGCAGCTACTACTCCAAGCAGGTGGGTGCCGTTCCCGGTGAGCTCGGGTGGGGTGACGGGGCAGGTGGGTGCCGTTCCCGGTGAGCTCGGGTGGGGTGACGGGGGCAGGTGGGTGCCGTTCCCGGTGAGCTCGGGTGGGGTGACGGGGGCAGGTGGGTGCCGTTCCCGGTGAGCTCGGGTGGGGTGACGGGGGCAGGTGGGTGCCGTTCCCGGGGGAGCTCGGGTGGGGTGACGGGGGCAGGTGGGTGCCGTTCCCGGGGGAGCTCGGGTGGGGTGACGGGGGCAGGTGGGTGCCGTTCCCGGGGGAGCTCGGGTGGGGTGACGGGGGCAGGTGGGTGCCGTTCCCGGTGAGCTCAGGTGGGGTGACGGGGGCAGGTGGGTGCCGTTCCCGGGGGAGCTCGGGTGGGGTGATGGGGGGCAGGTGGGTGCCGTTCCCGGTGAGCTCGGGTGGGGTGACGGGGGGCAGGTGGGTGCCGTTCCCGGTGAGCTCGGGTGGGGTGACGGGGGCAGGTGGGTGCCGTTCCCGGTGAGCTCAGGTGGGGTGACGGGGCAGGTGGGTGCCGTTCCCGGTGAGCTCGGGTGGGGTGATGGGGGCAGGTGGGTGCCGTTCCCGGGGGAGCTCGGGTGGGGTGATGGGGGGCAGGTGGGTGCCGTTCCCGGGGGAGCTCGGGTGGGGTGACGGGGGCAGGTGGGTGCCGTTCCCGGTGAGCTCGGGTGGGGTGACGGGGGCAGGTGGGTGCCGTTCCCGGGGGAGCTCGGGTGGGGTGACGGGGGCAGGTGGGTGCCGTTCCCGGTGAGCTCGGGTGGGGTGACAGGGGGCAGGTGGGTGCCGTTCCCGGGGGAGCTCGGGTGGGGTGACGGGGGCAGTTGGGTGCCGTTCCCGGGCAGCCTGAGACACCCTGGCGGCTCCTGGCGGCACTGGGCAGCTGTGCGGAGGGAGGCCGGGGTCCGCGTGGAACTTGGCAGGCTCCTGAGCGCTGCGGGTCTGGGACGCGCTGGGAGCACAGACCAGAGCAGGAGGCCAGGAGGCAGGCTGTCTGCGGGCAGGGCTCCCCAGGGCTGGGCGCTGACCAGGAGCGGCTCCGAGGCTTTGCCTGAGCTCGCCACTTGGCCACACAGGCTGGAGGTGCTGTCCAGCCGGCTGGGCCCGCGGGGCCGGGAGCCTCCGAGGAGCAGCCCAGCCTCTGGCTCGCACCCCGCTCTCTACACAGCCCCTCTCTGAGCCCAAACCACCCGGCGACTTGCTGGGAGTGGGACCCGCCCGGGCCGCCGGGGTCTCGGGTCCTTGGCGGCCGCAGCACGCGAGGGACTGCTGTCCTCTCCCTGCAGGGCGTCCCGGCCAGCATCGCGTTCTTCAGCCCCTCTGGCCTCACCCACAGTCTCCAGTACATCCAGGAGCTGTCAGGAAACCACATCCAGCAGATCAAGGTGAGGGGGTCAGCGCTTCTGGTCTTCAGATCGAAGCTTCACCGGTGCCCTCGCGTTCCCACAGGAAGTCGGGCAGCCTGTGGGGTGGCTGCGAAGGCGGCTCCCCGCCGGCTCAGCCCAGCAGCCACTTCCTGGCCCGTGCCCTTGGGCACGTCCACCTCTCCGGGCTCAGGTGTTGGCATCCTGTCCCTTCTTTTCCATCGAAACATCTTGAAATGACCTGCTCCCAGGCTTCGCCTCTTTCCATGTCCTTTACCTGAAAGGGTTTCCTTTCCAGGCGCGGTTTGTTAGGAGTCTGCGCTCACCACCTCGGGCCTGCAGTGGGATGGCCCTGAACCGGCTGGGGGCGGGGGGCTGCGGGGCGTGGCCTGGCTGGGCCCTCCCTGTCAGCACTGTGGGCCTCCCCCACACCTAGGGAAGGGACTTTCGCAGGTCCCAGGTGGAGTGTAGGGTTAGAGAAGTGTGTCCTGACCCTCTTGTTCCGGGGCCTGGTCCTGACTACTCTGCTTTCCCGAGGGGTCCAGCCACCCTCCCTGCCCCACTTTCTTCTGTGTATCACCTGACCCCACCCAGGGCCCCGAGACACAAGACAGAACTGTCTGCAGCTAAGGCTTCCAAGGGTGCAGCCAAGAGGTGAGTCCCGATTCCAGGGCCTTTCTGCCACCGGAGCTGCGCTGCAGGCAGGGCATGACCCGCTGGGCTGGTGGTGAGGCCGTCACGGCACCGTCGAGGTGCAGGCGTTTAGCTGCGCTGCAGCAGGGCATGACCCTCTGGGCTGGTGGTGAGGCCGTCACGGCACCGTCGAGGTGCAGGCGTTTAGCTGCGAAGGCTGGGTTCCAGTCGGGAGCACTGTGCCGTGCACGCTCTCACGTGCTGAGTGCCCACAGGCAGATGTCCCACAGGCCCTGCACACAGCCCTCCAGCCCTCCTGGCGCCTGCTGGCACACTGAAGCCCGTCTCCTCCGCAGTTTGCAGCCATCGGCCCCACCACCGCGCGCGCGCTGGCCGCCCAGGGCCTGCCTGTGAGCTGCACTGCGCAGAGCCCCACGCCGCGAGCCCTGGCTGCCGGCATCAGGAGGGCGCTTCAGCCTGACAGCTGCTGAGCTGGCCTCCCAGGTGGCCTTCCTGAGCCGGCTGCTCCCTGCGGGCCAAGGACAACGGGCTGCTGCCTACCGGGCGGGTGAGGCCTCCACCCTCAAACACCTGCCTCATGCCTGAGTGGAGCCACCTGGACGCCAGCGACTGGGATGGGCCCGGGGCTGGCAGTGGGCCCACGCGTGTGCTGTTTCCCTCCACGGAGGCCACTCGGACCCGCCCCCAGCCCCCGCGAGCCGTGCTTCCTCTGGCAGCAGGGAGAAGTTGGATGACCACACCGGCCATGTGCTGACGGGGTCCCTGGCTGCGCACTGTTCCCAGGGCGAAGCTGTGTTGCAGGGGTGGGAGGACAGGTGTGCCCACGTTCTGAAACCGACAGTCCTGGTGTGAAGGATGAGCCGTGCTGTGTGGGGTAGTTTTACTCACCCTGTAGAAAGGACCCCGAAATCCCTGCTCCGGGAGGTCGCACAGGGAGACTCCTTCAGAGCAGTCAGCCCAGTGCAGGCAGGAGAGCCCGTCCTCCCTCCTCGTCCTGGAGGGCGGGTGTTCGAGCTGCAGCCCAGCAGCCCTGGCTCTGGGGTGCCCTTGGGAAAGGGAGCTTCGGACAAGGCGACCCTGGGCTGCTCACTGCCCTGGGGGAGTCTCAATGTGGGGAGCACGGACTCTGCTCTGCCTAACCACTGTTAATCTGAGATTTTCTGTTATAATCAAATCAGATCCTGAATAATAAAAAAATCAAGTTGAATTGGCAAACTAAACCTCAATAAGGAAAACCTTTGGACACTAGAAGTTCTTCATATACTTACTACTAATCTTTTTAAAAATCCACACAGTTTTGAACTGTATTTTCATATAATTTACAGATTTATGATTTGTGGAACTGAAGTATTTCAAAAGTAACTGCAACAAAAGGGCTTTAATGTCCTTGGCAATATTAGAAACTGGATTTCACAAAACACTGATACGAACGAGGGAAGCTGCAGAGCTGCCCCGGCAGCCTCTGACCTGGTCTGGCAGGCCGTGCGCCGGGAAGGGACCTGGTCTGGCAGGCCGTGCGCCGGGAAGGGACCTGGTCTGCGCAGGCCGTGCGCCGGGAAGGGACCTGGTCTGGCAGGCCGTGCCCCGGGAAGGGACCTGGTCTGGCAGGCCGTGCGCCGGGAAGGGACCTGGTCTGGCAGGCCGTGCCCCGGGAAGGGACCTGGTCTGCGCAGGCCGCGCCCCGGGAAGGGACCTGGTCTGCGCAGGCCGCGCGCCGGGAAGGGACCTGGTCTGGCAGGCCGCGCGCCGGGAAGGGACCTGGTCTGGCAGGCCGCGCGCCGGGAAGGGACCTGGTCTGGCAGGCCTCGCGCCGGGAAGGGACCTGGTCTGGCAGGCCGCGCGCCGGGAAGGGACCTGGTCTGCGCAGGCCGTGCCCCGGGAAGGGACCTGGTCTGCGCAGGCCGCGCGCCGGGAAGGGACCTGGTCTGGCAGGCCGTGCGCCGGGAAGGGACCTGGTCTGCGCAGGCCGTGCCCCGGGAAGGGACCTGGTCTGCGCAGGCCGTGCCCGGGAAGGGACCTGGTCTGCGCAGGCCGTGCCCCGGGAAGGGACCTGGTCTGCGCAGGCCGTGCCCCGGGAAGGGACCTGGTCTGCGCAGGCCGTGCCCCGGGAAGGGACCTGGTCTGCGCAGGCCGTGCCCCGGGAAGGGACCTGGTCTGGCAGGCCGTGCCCCGGGAAGGGACCTGGTCTGCGCAGGCCGTGCCCGGGAAGGGACCTGGTCTGGCAGGCCGTGCCCCGGGAAGGGACCTGGTCTGCGCAGGCCGTGCCCGGGAAGGGACCTGGTCTGGCAGGCCGTGCCCGGGAAGGGACCTGGTCTGGCAGGCCGTGCGCCGGGAAGGGACCTGGTCTGGCAGGCCGTGCCCCGGGAAGGGACCTGGTCTGGCAGGCCGTGCCCCGGGAAGGGACCTGGTCTGCGGCAGTCCGTGTGCCGGGAAGGGAACGCGGTCCCTACGGAGAACTTGGTGTTTCTCTTCTCTGAATCAGTGTCTGGTGACAAACATTTCTCTTCCACGTTTCACTGAATCTTCAGACCCACCCTATCAGGTGGGTCCACCTCGCAGAGAAGATGGGGCGTGGCGGGATTAAGTGCCATGCACAGCCAGCTGGAGTGAGGGGCTCAATCCAGGCCTGCTGCCCGGAGCTGCAGGAGGTCTGTATAAGGGTGTCCTGCAGGGGTGTCAGACCCCTCCTCCACTGAGCGGGGCTTCCCAGGACCGCAGGCCTTCACTGAGGCTCCCCAGAACCTAGAGGTCTGGAAGCCGACTAGACTCAGGAGGATGAGAGGCCCTGGCACCGACAGAACCAGGCTGGCGATGTGGGACTCAAAGGCTCAGGACGTCAGGGAGCTGAGTTACTTCCTGTCACAGGGATGCATGTTTTATAGGATTTGGAGTATTTGGGCGGAGGATGGGGACAAGAACAACGAACCCCTCCACCCTGATAGACACAGGATGGGCACTCAGTCAACTAAGCAAGCCCAGGAGTGTGGATCACTCAGACTTTTCCATAAAACAAGCCCTTTTAGCCCAGAGAGCACCACAGAACCTCTGGACCCCGTCGTCCCTCTCTGCCTGTGCACAGCCCCACCCCCCGCTCCCGTCGCCCCTCGCTGCCTGTGCACACAGCCCCCCCCCGCTCCCGTCGCCCCTCGCTGCCTGTGCACACAGCCCCCCCCCCCGATACCGTCGCCCCTCGCTGCCTGTGCACACAGTCCCCCCCCTCCCGTCGCCCCTCGCTGTCTGTGCACACAGCTCCCCCCTCCCGTCGCCCCTCGCTGCCTGTGCATACAGCCCCCCCCCATACCGTTGCCCCTCGCTGCCTGTGCACACAGCTCCCCCCTCCCGTCGCCCCCAGGCTCCTGCGGAGTTGGCACGAATGCATGCCCACATGTACCCAGTGGACGGGGCAAGCCCAGCCCTTTCCTAACGGGGAGCAGGAGCAGTTAACAGTCCAGAGGGCTCTGGGAGCTGGGGGGTGGGGGGGACCATGGCACGGGGAGGGGTTGGGAATGAGACTCTCGGAGCCAGGTCCCAGCCTCCCCCCCCAGGAGTCACTCCTGCTCTCTGAGCGTCAGTCCAGCGAGGTCTGGGCTCTCGCCCCTGGGTGTTTCCACTGCAACCAAGCAGAGCTCCTGCCGCCCCGGCAGGTCCAGGGCTCACTCTGGGGACCAAGCAGCAACGTGCAACCTGCTCCTGTCCGTGAGCAGAGCCCTGCTGAGTTCAAGGTTTACCTGGGGAGAAGTGGTACTGGAGTGGTTTCAGGTCCCCGCCTCCACCTGTGCTAGTGGCCGGGGCCTCAGGGGTAACAGCTCCCGCCCTCGGGGGCCCCGAACACTGGAAAGAACAGTCAGGAGGCAGCTGGGCTGGGCATGGACGTCTGTACTTCACACGACAGCCCCCTCGGGAGCTCTCACCGCGGAGCTCTCGGGGCTCGGCCGTGAGCAGCTGGCAGTCGGCAGTGCAGATGGCAGTGGCTCAGGACGGCCCTCCGTCCACACCGCGTCCCTGCCTCCGGTGCTGATGCCATTGGTGGTCATAGTTTCCTTCAGAGATTTTATAAAAAGCACAGATTAGATTTCATCTGTAAAGCCCACTTCTTACAAGTGCCTGGAGTTTCTCAGCCGAGCAGACGCGCCCTGTGAGCACAGCCCGCGTTCACCGCTGCCCCCCCCCCCCAGCTCTCGCCAGTGCCGTCCAGACGGTCAGTAGACGCTACGTGAGGGTGAGGCGAGTCCAGGGACGCAGACTGCGGGCTTGGCACAGTGAGCAGTCTGGCCAGGTCCCCGCCTGGCATGCTGTGGTGGTAGGGGCGGGGAGCATGCCAGGGCGGGCCTGGGAGTCACCATCCTTCCCCAGATTTATATCATTTTAGCTCAGGGAGGCCGCCCCTCTACTCCAAATGAAATGAAAACCCCTGTCAAAGCGCTCCCGGTCCATCATCCTGATCTATACTCCGTTGTCAGGTGTCCCCCGCATCTTTACACAGCTCACTTCCCACACTCCAAAGGCCACCTCACTGTCCCCAAGGCCATGGGCGATGAAGAGAGAACACCCCGAGAGCTCCCCAGCCCCGGCGAGGGGAGACCGACTCCCCGTCCTCTGGGTGAGCGTGAGGCAGAGGCTCGGGCACAGCCCGCCGCCATGCAGCCTGCAGGGCCTGGGACGCGGAGGGCCCGCGGAGGGTCAGCTCGGGAGGCCGGCGACAGCAGGCAGCACTGACATGCAGCCACTCAGCCGGGAACACTCAGCGTGAGCTCACCCGCGACCCGGGGGGGGGGGGGGAAGCAGCCCAGGTCCCGTCCTCACCTGCCTTGGCCTTTTCAACCTGCTGTTCCCGACCTCACCCAGGGTGGGGCCCCGGGCAAGGAGCGACCTGCTCAGGCAGCCCCAGGTGCCCCGTGAGGGCCGTTCACTCTTCCCCACGTCACTTACTTCAAGACACTGGCCAACTTGCAGTAAAGACAGATGAAACAGCACAGGAGAAAAAAACAGGCGAGCAACAAGCCACCGCCAATGCCAATCATAATCTCCAAGTCGACCTTCTCTACCACGGCCGGAAAGTACGGCATGAACCTGGGCAGAGGGCAGCAGGCAGTGAACTCGGCGCCCGCCCCGCACAGCCAGGCGGCAGCCTCAACACGCCTCCTCCAGTGGAGGAAGGAGGAGCCCACAGCACGGAGCCTCCTGCGTGGAGGACACGAGGGGTCTCCCGGGAGGCCCAGCAGGGTGAAGGGCTGTTCGTGGACGGAAAGGGGCTGGGATCCAAGTCAGAGAAGGGATTCGGGACAGAGGGTGGGACAGCCTCTCCCTCTCCCAGGCTGTGGGCCACACAGGCCGGCACGTGAGCAAATGGTTTTCCTCCCAAATCCTGAAATATGTTCATTTTCAGAGTCAAAAGTGACCCCTCACTGTACAGCAGACTTAAACATCTGTGGGAGTGAGTCAGGGAATGTCTACAATGTTATGCTGAGCATTGCTGAGAATATGCAAAACTATTTTGTAAATAATACGTGTTATAGGAAAAAAGTTTTCGGTTCTCCCACTGACCCCCGGGTGAAGCCATCTCCATGTGTAGGGGGTTCGAGAAGCTGCCGGTCAGACCTCCTGTGGGCTCTGAGACAGTGAGTGTCCGCCCAGACCAGGAAGCGTTTCTCCGGGAGCCTGGCTCTCCTGCAGGTCACACAATTCCTCTGCCGTCTCCCCCTAACCCAGCCGATCTCAAAACCCAATGTACCTGGTTCAGCACTCCGGCTAATCAAACACTGAACCTGGGAGCCAGTCCACACAGGCTGAGCAGGAGCGGGGGCCGAGCACTCCCAGACCAGCAGACGACCCCGGAGACAGGCACACTTCACAGAGCCCAGTCGCCCGGACCTGCATGGGGCCCACTGCACGATTCAGGGAGAGAAGAAATAACTGTAGCGAACAGGACCCTTCAGCAGCCAACGCCTCACACCTCCGACCCCTGCGAGGGGTCTGGCGGTCACCACCGGGCCCCGTGCTCAGACCTGACTCCGGAGCGGTCCTCAGGCGGGGGCACCATCGAACCGGTTCCACTGGCCGGGACCAGGCTGTGTGACATCAGTCCTCAGGACGCCAGCTCCCGTCAGAGTTCTCAATTCCGTCCCGCGTTCAGAGTTCTAGGTCCCAGGAAGAGCCAACAGCTAGATACTGTTCGGAATAACTGTCCTAAGTCTTGCACTTTTTCAGATTTCTGTTTCCCCAGAGAAAACATTTAGGGTTTGTCTGCTAATCAAAACAGTTTGAGATTTCAATCAAAAAAAGAAAGAAAACCCAGCTAAGTGGGGAGGTGAACACTGCCGTCGCACCCGAGAATTAGCTTCGTTTTAGCCACACGGAGCAGCAAGGTGGTGCAAGCCATTGGCCGCAGTCAGACGTAAGTGCGCTGACATGTTAATACGGTTAAGTAAACTGATAAATATACTGACCTATGCAGTTGACGTATATAACTATACAGTTTTATTAATAGCTATATATATAAAACATATGCCTGACGAGTAATCGATATGTGTCATAGTTATGCATAGAGTTATGTATTTATACAAATGACAGTAACAGACACACACAGTTGGGAGATGCACACTGACGTCTGTAACACACGGGACAGTGAGAAGTCAGAGTGGGGACCGGGTCTGGACTGGACTCTCCGAGCACAAGGTGCAGAGAGCCTGCGGAGCCAGTTCCGTGCGACAAGGGGGTTGATGCAGCTACACGGAGCTTCTCCGGCGTCCAGGGACAGGATGGAGCGGAGCTGGCCCCTCAGCACAGGCGTGGGGCCAGGCAGCCCACAGGCTCAGGGCCGGTCTCTCTCGGACCTGTAACTGGGAAGTACACTCCGCCCGCCACTCCGAGTGAGTTTGTTCCGCCTCTCGTCCTCTCAGTTTCTGTAGCATAGAACGCTTTTTAGGGTACACCCTCCATTCAGAAGCTAATTTAAAATGTGAAGAATGAGGCCACAGACCTGGAGATGATCATGCTGGGTGGAATCAGCCGGGCAGAGAAAGACAAGTACCATTTGCTCTCACTTACACGTGGAATCTAGTGAACAAAACAAACTCAGGAACAAAATAGAAACAGAGACATGGATACATGAAGCAGACTGACTGCTGTCAGAGGAGGGGCTGTGGGGGCTGGATGAAAGAAGGTGAAGGGATTAGCCATCGAACATAGATGCATAATCTATGGACGACAGTGGCGATGGCCATGGAGGGAGGCGGGGCAGGGTGGAGGGGGGCGAAGGAGGGAAAATGGGGAAAGACTTTGCCTGGGGTGATGGGCACTTGATGCTGTGCGCAGGTGCAGTGTTGTTGATCACAAGCTGCAGAGATCACTTGAAACCTGCATGGTTTTGAAAACCAATGTCACCCAATTAATTCCATTATAAATAAATAAATAAAGCATAAAACTTTTAAAAAAAGACCATTGGCTAAGTAGCTCGATTGGTTGGAGTGTCGTCACACACACCAAAAGGTTGTGGGTCTGATGCCCAGTCGGGGTTCGTACAGGGGGCAATTGATTGCTGTGTCTCTCTCACACCAAAGTTTCTCTCTCTTTCCTTCCTCTCTCTCTAAAATCAATTTACAAAAAAAAAAAAAAATCCTCAAGTGAGGATTAAAAGAAACCCCTGACCCACACCGTGTAACCATTGGTGGGATGGTCAACACCTGTGTTCATGAACACAGGAGACTCACTGAGTTAAAATCATACAATAAAGTAGAGAATAGTGGTTTATGTAACATTGTGCGCGCACAGATACGGCCCTATGCATGTACACAATACGTCTGCAAGAATGTTCACGAAACCCTTACCCTCTGAATCAGGAATTCCTCCTTTAGTCTCAGTGCTTTCAAAATTTACACTTTCCTGTACTGATTAAACATTCCTTTTATAAAGAAAAACAAAAGCAATAAGAAAAAAATTGATCAACTACGTCCCCCCCCCCACAAAAAAAAGGACCCAAACTCTGGGGATATAAAGTACAGCATAGAGATTATGTAAGGTGCCAGGTGGGTACTAGACTTATGGGGGGGAGGGAGGAATCATTTTGTAATTTATATAAATGTCTAACCACAATGCTGTACACCCGAAACTAATATAAAATAACATTGAATGTCAACTGTAATTGACAAGAATAAAATCAAAGGTGAGAAAAATTTCAAAGTCACTTCCACTCCCCCTAAAAAGAATAGACCCAAACCAGGAGCAAACTAAATGACCCTGGCGGGTCCACCGCAGGTGCAGCTTCTGAGACAGGCTGTTGGGCGGGTCTGGCGCCTCCACTCCAGGCCTGAGGGACCCCGCCCCCCACCCCGCCCCGCCCCGCCCGCCGACTGCACACGTGGGCCGCTAACTTGCCCGCGGGCACATCACCATGGAGACGCAGTCACAGGCGGCTGCAGGCTGGCCTCTTAGTTACCCGGCCCCCGGCCAGCGCGCAGGCCGCGAGGGGGGCGTGTTCTCACGCCCGCGGGAGGGGCGGGCCTGGGCTTCAAAGGGCCTGCGGGCGCCGGTGGGCACACTTGGGGCCTGGGTGAGAAGGGCTGGGCCCGCGGTATAAGAAGCGCCCCGGGCTCCCCTCCAGGGCGGCCGCGCGGCAGAGGCGGGCGGCGGGCTCAGACGGGCCATGCTCGCGGCCTCCATCCTCCGTCCGACCCTGCTGCTCTGCTGGCTCGCGGCCCCCCGGCCCGCCGGCCCGGAGACCCTCTTCCACAGCCGGGACCGCTCGGACCTGGCTCCGTCCCCGCTGCGCCGGGCCACGCCCATCGCCGACCTCCGCGCCGCGCAGGTAGGGGAAGCCGGGGAGCAGGCCCACGCGCGCGCACCCCACGCGCGCGCACGCGCAGAGTTGTGCGCGCACTTGCAGGTGCACACGCGCACGCGCACCAGGTGCTAGACCTGCGCAAACCGCCGACGACACGCGTAGAAGGCTGCCCGGCACCAGCCGGCACGCCCGTGATCAGTCTCATAACCACGCGAGTGCCCGGCCTGTCAGCGCCCGAACGGGCAGAGCCGCGTGTGCGCGACGCTCCGTGGCCCGCCGCCCCGCCCACCGGCGCATTTCTCTCCCGCAGCGGTTCCTGTCCAAATACGGCTGGGCGGAGGGCCGCCCGGGGGCGGGGTTCGCCCCCCCAGGGCACCGGAGTCCCCGCCGCGACCCGCCGCCTGCGGGGGCCCGGGGCGCCGCCCTGGCCCAGTCCCTGCGCCGGTTCCAGGAGGTCAATGCGCTGCCGGCGAGCGGGAAGCTGGACGCGGCCACGCTGGCGGCCATGAACCGGCCGCGCTGTGGCGTCCCGGACACGCGGCCCCAGCTGCAGGCCCAGGCCCCGAGCACCGCACCCCGGCCCCGGCCCGCCCCGCCCGGCCCACGCCCCAGGGCCCGCCCCAGGCGCTCCCTGCAGACGCCGCTCCCAGGGCCCGACTGGCAGCCCCGGGGCTCCCCCCAGGGTGGGGGCACCCGGGCCTTTGCCAAGCGGACCCTGACCTGGAGGCTGGTCAGGGAGGGCTACAGCAGCCAGCTGTCCCTGGAGGAGCAGCGGTACATCTTCCGCCTGGCCTTCAGGATGTGGAGCGAGGTGATACCCCTGAACTTCCTGGAGGACCTCACGGGCCCTGGAGCCACGATTGACATAAAGCTGGGCTTTGGCCGAGGTGAGAAGCCTGGAGACTGCGCCCACCCGGCCTCTCTGCACACGCGGCCCCTCTGCCTCCGCGCAGCGGCCCTCTCTGCACACGCGGCCCCTCTGCCTCCGCACAGCGGAGGGAGGGACCAGTGAGCATAATGGGAGCGTAGGCTCAGCAGGAGCACTTGGGGAACCCCACCCTGGCCTCCTGAGCTCTGAGATGGCACCTGTCCAGGCATGGGCTATTCTAAGCCCTCGGCAGGTGCTGCCTTATCACAGCTCACTGGGAGGAACACGGGCGGGTCACCCTGCAGAGCCGAGGGTCTCATGGGGACATCAGCGCAGGTCGGCCAGTGAGCACGGCTCGGGCACAAGGCAGACAGGGTGCTCCCCCTGGCCCCACCACCCTAGCTGGGGGTTTGGGCAAAGTCACTTCTGTGCAGCCTCATCTGGGAACTTGGGTCCTAACGGTCCCCCTGGTCTCGTGGGAGTAGCTTCCTAATGCAAGAAGCACACATAGGGCGCTGTTGGTTGTAAACAGTACAAACGTGAGGACGTGACCACTGGGCCGCACCTGCCTTACTTCCTGACCACTCAGCTGTTGGGGTCCAGCTCAGACCGTGTGTCCTCCATCAGCCTGCAGCAGTCCCCCCCCCCAACCCCCCAGCTTGCCAGCAGAGGGGAACAGTCCCTCCTCCCGGTTCCCACAGCACTTAGTACGTAGCTCTGTTTGTCTTTAGACTTTATAAGTTTATCAACAACCATGTCTCACGAGTTAGTCCAGGAGTTGCTGCTTCTGGTATTGGACCGCAAGCCCTGAGCCTGCGACCCCTACAGGTGTCTGTGTTCCCAGGTCCCGCCAGGTAAGGAGTCTGTGCAGGGGGCATTCCTAACTCACCTGGACCACCCCCTCTCCTCTGGCCAGGCCGGCACCTGGGCTGCCCTCGGGTTTTTGATGGGATTGGGCAGGAGTTTGCACACGCCTGGCACCTGGGCGATATTCACTTTGATGATGACGAGCACTTCACCCCGCCCACCAGCAGCGTGGGCATCAGCCTCCTCAAGGTACGTGAGCTCAGGCTGGTCTTGGTGACGAGGCCAAGGGCCGTGCCGCGTGGGTGGGAGCTCGGTGTTTGCTTCCTCCTGAGAAAGTTCCCTTCTCCTTCCCAAGCACAGCTCCAGGCACAGCCTGCCCCTCTGGGGTGGGGTGGGGTGGGTCCCAGACACCCAGGGCTGGCACTGCACCGGTGCTCTGTGTTCCCTTCTAGGTGGCCGTCCATGAAATCGGCCATGTCCTCGGCTTGCCTCACACCTACAGGGCGGGATCCATAATGCAGCCAAATTATATTCCCCAGGGGCCTGCGTTTGAGTTGGACTGGTCAGACAGAAAAGCCATTCAAAAGCTGTATGGTAAGGCTGCCCTGGGCCCTGGCAGGTTTGGCTCAGCGGTTAGAGTGTCGGCCTGCGGACCAGAGAGTCCCGGGTTCGGTTCCCGCTAAGGGCACGTACCTCGGTTGCAGTTTGTCCCCGGCCCTGGTTGGGGTCACGTGGGTGGCGACCACTCCATGTGTCTCTCTCACATCGATGTTTCCCTCTCTCCCTCCTGAATATAAATGGAAAAATGTCCTTGGGTGAGGATAAAAAAAAGACTGCCCTGGGAGAGATCAGCCTCGGAAGGGACCCAGGACACGTGTCATTTCTGAGCCGAGAGCAGCTGCCCTGGGCTGTGGGTTCTCAGTGACAGGCGGCCATACCCAGACTGGACACACGGAGAGCAGAGCACACCCCCTTGGGTTTGTTCCTCCCGTGTCCTCTCTTTCGCATGATGCAGCTGTCTTCCCTGGGAGGCGGGAGGGCACGGGTGGGCCCCTCGGGCCATGGCCTCCCACGAGAGGACAGCAGGGAGCCGCTGGAGGAGCCGTCTGTAGACTGAAGGTGAAGCGCAGCGTGGCCTGGCCTGGCTTCCATATCTGACTGTTCAGGCCCCGGGCCCGGGGTCAGTGATCTAATGAGAGGCTGCAGGGAAGGAACACTGCCCTCCACGTTTCCACGGGAAACAGACCACGCCCATTTCCGTGCTGCTCGAACCCTCCTGTTCTGGGCTCGCAGCATCTGTGGAGATGACCGATGTGGGACACATTTATTTCCCTCCACGGAAACCTGACCCTTGTGTGAGCCCAGAACCGGGCGTCTTCCCTCCAGTGAAGTCAGATCAGCCATCAAAAGAGGCACCAGCCACCCTTACGTGTGTCCCTGCATCCAAACAGGGACACTCCAGGGCGTGCTCGGAGCACCAACAAGGCAGCCAGGATGAGTCGTGTGGCCTGCGCTGCTGCAGGCCCCGGGTCCCTCCTGCTCCCTCCACTCCGCCGGGGGAGGTCTACTTCCCATCCCACAGGGCGTCTGGCTTTGCGGTGTCTTAACGGACGGCTCCAGCGCGGCACTGGTCTCGGACCAGGTCACACAGGTGGGTTTGTGCCAGGTGGCAAGCAGCCGGACCTTTTCTCTTCAGGTTCCTGCGAAGGCGCCTTTGACACCGCCTTTGACTGGATCCGCAAGGACAGGAGCCACGCCGGCCAAGGGACGGCCAGATTCAGCACCTATTTCTTCCGCAGCGGCTGGTACTGGCTGTACGAGAATCGGAACAACCGGACCCGTTACGGGGACCCCGCCCTCATCCTCACCGGCTGGCACGGGGTCCCCGCACAGAACATAGACGCCTTCGTCCACGTCTGGACTTGGGGGAGAGACGAACGTTATTTTTTTAAAGGTAGACGCCCGATGGACGGCCCTGTTTCTCCCACCACACGCCTTCAGGACGAACGTTTTGAGCCCTTCCTGGGGAACCTTGTGTGATGCTCTTGAAATGACTTAATTTCTGTCGGTTCCATTCGACCGTGAGCTCTGAGCACAGGGATAGTGCTGTAGCCTGATCTCTGAAGCAGACACTGAATGACGCATCAGTGAACAAATGCTTGGATGCGTGAAGGAACTGGGAAGGGCTCTGAGGTCACCAAGGACCCCCCTTCCCGTTCAGAAGTATGTCTGAGGGGCGGAATGAGCAGAGGGGGAGGTCAGGCTCAGCCCAGACCAGAAGGATGGGTACGACCTGGAGTGGTGTGGTGGGGGGGGGTGCTGGGGGGGGTCAGACTACAGCCCTGGAGCTGGGAGTGAACAGTGTGTCAGTGAGACAGCTAAGCCCCCGGTGACAGGGCGTGCAGGTCGAGGGGACCAGGCTGGAAAGGTCAGCCCAGCACCGAGTGCCTCAGAGAAACACCAGGCGGCCAGGAAGTGAGGGACCCAGGGCAGCTCCCGGTGAAGGGGATCGGGTCCTGGGGAGGCGGAACTGAGGGGGAGCCGGGTCAGGCTGCCTTTGCACACCAAGCTCACGGAGTCCAGCCCCAAACACGGGTGTTGTGGTGGCTGCTTTCACCTCCCCTTGCTGCCTGAATCCTAGTCCTAGATCCGTGTTGCTTTAAACGGCTCAAGCGAGTTAACGAGGCAAGAGGCAGACCGAGAGGACTTGGCGAGTTGTGCCGTCAGAAATCCGCGCACAAACTCAGCCTGCATTTTCCTGCACATCACCCAGAGCGTTCCTCCTGTGCGGTGACACAAAGAGATGGTCTCGGGTAGACTTCTCTAGTTTGGATAGTTCAGGGTTGGGAGCACGCCCGCCCGTGGTTCAAGTCCCGAGGCCTGAACTGGGATGGACACTGTCTGGCAGCACTCAGCTCCCTGGGGTCCAGTCTAGAGCCAGCGGGGCCGGGGAGCGTGCTGAGCGAGGGGAGGAGCCCCGCTTCCTCCTGCAGTCCGGGCAGGACGCGGCTGGCGGCACCTGTGTGGAAAGCTGCCTGCTCCTGCTCCCTGGGACGTGGCAGCAATGAAGCGTGGCGTCCTCTCTCTGTCTGGCCCTCAGGAAACCGGTACTGGAGATACGACAGTGACAGGGATCAGGCCCACACCGAAGATGAACAAGGAAAACGCTACCCCAGACTGATTTCAGAAGGGTTCCCCGGCATCCCCAGTCCCCTGGACACTGCCTTTTATGACCGAGGGAAGCAGTTAATTTACTTCTTCAGAGGATCCTTCGTAAGTGGAGGCTTTGCAGCCTGGTGTTGCTTTTACCATCCCGGTTGAAGTGTGTCCGGTGACCGAGTTCTCAGTGAAGCTGTGCTGTCGCGGCCCTGGCCAGGGGCAGGTGGCTCATGGTCCTGTACACCGTAAGGTGGCAGGTTCAGTTCCCCATCGGGGTGCACACGGGAGGCGACCAATCAGTGTCTCTCTCTAAGTAAATAAACGCACCCTCGGGTGAGGATTGTAAAAAGCTATCACCACAGGCCTGCATGGCAACGACAGACCCCCCATCACGTGGAGACTAAGAACCGAGCCCAAGGAATCGGGGGCTTCACCCCGTACATCCGTGACCTCGGAAAGCCAGCCTCGCTCTTTGCTCTGCAGGTGTTTGAGTTTGATGTCGCCAGAAATCACGTCCTGGGTTCCCGTCCGAAGAAGATGACTGAAGTCTTCCCGGCGATAGAGCCTCGGGACCACCCGTTCAGAAACCTGGACTCCGCCTACTACTCCTACGCGCACAAGTCCGTCTTCTTCCTCAAAGGCAACGCGTACTGGAAGGTGGTGAGCGACGGGGACCGGCGGCAGCGCCCCTGGCTCCCTCCGAACGGCGTGTTCCCGAAGCGGTCTATCCCCGAGACGTGGTTTGACGTGTGTGACGTCCATGCCTCCACCCTGAGCATGTGAGGAAAACAGCCAGTGCGGAGCCGGAGGGCTCCTGGGGAAACCACCGTACGAGGAAAACCCGCAGATTTTCACCGACTGGAGCTCCTCGAGTTAAAACCGACGGAGAAAGTACTACTGGACTTTTAAAATACTTGATTTAAAACTCAATTTCTTAGGCAAAACAACTACTACAAAACTTTACCAAATGACAAGTTTTTTTTAGGAAAGCTTAAAAGAAAATGCTGAAGAATTCATCTTTGTTTTCCCCCGTTGCTAGGGTTCTACAGCCACGTTCCCAGCACACCTGCCCCCCCCCCCCCATTTCCAGGGTAAATGGGAACACAGCCATTGCCCTGGGGTCCAGTCACAGGGGATGGATGCCACGCCCCGAGGGCGCAGGGATGTCCCGCCAAAGGTCAACCACAGTGGTGGCTCTTGACCCTCATCCTCACCCAGCCTGTGCGCCTACTGTTCATTCCCGGTGCTGTTTGAATACAGGTCTGGGTCCCAAACAGCCCTGGACAGACAGGTCACTGGCTCATCCCCTCAAAGCGGGAAACACGTGGCAAGTGACTTACGCTCTGAGGGCCAGGCTCCCCAAGTAAGACTCCTGAGTTCACTGGATATTCAGGTTCCCCGGCTGTCACCTCTGGGACAGGCCCTGCGCACCTCTCGCGCACACAGCCCCTTAACACAAATGAAACCCGATGTCGAGGGTGGTGATGGCGACATCTGGGCACGGAACTAACTGGAAAAGCCTCGGCAGTCCCAGCGATGAGGCCCCCGACACCACAATTCTTTTAAAGGAACGGCTAAAACAACACACTCTTAAGCAGTTTTCATTTAAATAAATCATCAAAACGTGTGAAAAGCACCTCCCAGCCCCACAGGAACTTCGTGCTATTGCTTTGACCAGGGAAGACAGCCAGAACTTGCGTCTTCTTGTTGGAAAACAATTCTCTGGACTGAAAGGGGTTCAGCTAAGGAGAGGCCACCGGCCGAGACGAGCGCCGCTCGCCTGACTCCAGCTTCTCGCGCAGACGGAAAACCCGTCTGAGCCCTCGCACGCAGGGCAGAGGTAGTCCTCGAGTCGGGTCTGACTAGCGGAGCGAGGACTGTGACTCCGCGCCGTGCGTGCGGACAGATGGGAGACGTCGCTGACTTTGGGCAGCTGCTTCCGTGTCGTCTACACACCAAATGCTTCCATGACTTTCTGAAACTGATGCGAACTGGGCCCAAGGACAATTCAAATCAACAAGGACGTGGCCCAACGGCGAGGTCAGCTCCCTGGCAAGGGAAGCACTGGAAAACCTCCCTGTGCGAGGAAGCGGCTTGGAGTCGGCTCAGAACACGCCGCCCCGGCCTCCCAGGCGCAGTCCGGGTCCCTGCAGAGGGGCAGCGGAGGGGCCCGTCCCCAGCGGCGTCTCCACTGTCACCCTCGAGGGACAAGTAGGCACTGGGAACGAGGGGGACGGGGCTGCAGCCGGATGGGAGCCACGGCGAAGTCTAAGTGTAACGTTCTAGTGAGACTTCAGTGGATGGCAGAATTTTATTTTCAACGTCTTAATGTTTACTTTGTAAAATTTATTAAGGAAACCAGTTCAAATTGAACGATGTAAAGAATGTGAAATGAAAAAAGACAAAGACATTTTAAATAAATAACTTATTTATTCAAAATAGTTTTCTGACCTTATTCACAGTTTCAAGTTTAAAATAAAAATGGGGGTAGACCCTATTACTGGGGAACTGCACCCCGAGTCCGAGACGGGACCCCGACATGCACTGAACACGAGGCCCGCACAGCAGCTCCTGCCAGAAGTCCGCACGGAAGCCGAGGGACCGCGTTCTGCGCCTCTCGGAAGGGAGCGGGGTGATTCAACCCCCGTGAGCCACCCAAGTGCCCTGGATGACCGCCCCCTTGTCCTAACGTAACATTAATCCAAAATAATTGTCTTAGCCCATGTAGCTTAACACACTCAAAACACGTGAAGTGTAACTGCGCCGCGCCACACGCTCCCCACAGAGGGGCGCCGGTCTCGCGCGTCCGATCTCGCACCCTCGATGGAGCCGGAGAGCTCGGCCATGTGCCGGGGAAAGAGGCTGCACTTCCGCCGGGCCGGTCGCAGGGGCACTTCCCAAGGGTTTACTGAACGGAGCACCGAGTGGACAGCGTGGCCGGAGTGCAGAAGGCACGGAGGGATGGCATCTGTGCGGACACAGCCCTGGCCGGGTCACGGGGCGGCGCTGCCCCGAGCCAGCTGGTCGAGCAGGCGGATGAGGACGTCGACTCTTTCCGGGAGACTCGTGTTCCTGTTCGCGGTGGCTCTCAGAAGCTGGGAGTAAATCTGCTTGTTGGTTTTGAGGGCTACGTCTTCTTCTATGTTATTGCTGGGCGAACAAAACAAAACGAAGAAGTGACATAAACAGGGATGCACCCACCGTTCAGGGCGACCCGACAGCGACGGCGCAGCCACCGCGGCTCACATGCCGCCTCGCGCTGCTGGGGGCCTGTCCCAGCAGCCGTCCCACCTGTCACGGAAACCGACGGCATTCTTCCACCCGCACCCGAGTGCCCGCCGTGCACCGGGCTGCCCCTGGCAGGGGGCGGAACAGGCCCCGCCCTGCCCTCTGGGCCTCCGAGGGGAGGGGGCAGCGAGGAAGCTGCAGTGAAGACAGACTGGCGGGGTCCTAGCACTTCCTCCACGCCCAGGCCCAGGCCCCGCCTGCACCCCTCAGCCACTGTGCCGAGCACGGTTGAAGTGGCGGTGGGGCTGCCCTTGCTGGAGCTGGGATTGCCTGGGCCCGGGGCCCGGGGCCCCACAGGAGCACAGCACGTCTGCCCCTCTGAGACGTCGGCGCCTCCTGTGTGAAGGGCGCCCTCCGGGGCTGGGTCCAGCACTCTCCGCTGAACATGCGCCTGAAGTCCTGCGACCACGAGACAGGAGAAGAGCACACGGCCCTGCCCGGCGTCAGGGCGGTCACCTGCGCCTTCCACCGCCAGCGCGGGGAGAAGCCCACACACAGCCACGTGTCTACCTGGCTTTCTTCTTGGCTGGAGACAGCAGCTTGATGGACTGGAGGAGCAGGAACGACAGCCGGGACTCAAAGATCCCCAGGAGCTTCAGCACCTCTTCCCGGTTCAGACCCGGAGCAGACTCGGCAGCTGGAGGTGTGTCGGCACCGGCAGGCTGCAAACACAGTTTCACGAATCCAGTAAGCTTTCAACCAAAAACCAATGGCCAGCAAACCCGAGGTCTTTTTTTCCAGGGACAGCCCTGTTGGCAGCGGCTGTGACCAGGCCACCTCCTCCTCCTCCCTCCCAGGTCATTTTAATGAGCTAAAACAAAACATAAAAATGTCTCACACCAAGCAGACACTTACGAAGAAGAAATTAATCCTGGACAGAGACCTCCTAACTTTCCAACGTGACATGCCAAAGGAACAAGATGGAAACGGTCTGACAGACCAGGGCGCGCAAGGCCGGGGGACGTGGGCATTGGGGCAAGGGCAGCGGCGGCAGGGACGCTGGGATGCCAGCAGACTCGAGAGGCTTCCCAAGGAGCCTGCTTAGCCCCTCCCGTCCAGCTCTCCCGACAGCGCAGTGGAAATTACGAGAAGACATAGCCTTTCTCTTAAAACACAAAACCCACACGCAAAGCAAACGCAACAGAGACTGTACTCCCAGGGCCTCACCAACCAAGGTCTGTGTGGTCACTATTTCTTTACTCCTCACCTGAGGATATTTTTCTGTTTATCTTCAGGTAGAGAGAGAGGGCGAGAAAGGGAGAGAGAGAAACTTCGACATGAGAGGGACACATCAACTGGTTGCCTCCCGCACGACCCTGATCAGGGCTGGGGACGAACTGCAACCAAGGTACGTGCTCTTGGCTGGAATCCAACCCACAACTCTTTGGTCCTGCGGTCCAATGCTCTACCACTGAGCCACACCGGCCAGGGCATTTTTTATTTTTTATTATTATTATTTTTGTTAGTCCTCACCCAAGAATATTCTTCCACTGACTTCTAGATAGAATGGGAGGAGGATGAATGAGAGAGAGAGAGAGAGAGAAACATTGATGTGAGAGAGATACATCGATTGGTTGCCTCCCAAATGACCCCGACTGGGATCAGGGATTGAATCTGCAACCTGCCCTTGACCAGGAATCGAACCCGTGATCCCTTGGTCTGTGGGCCAACACTCTAAACACTGAGCCAAACTAGCCAGAGCTATGTGGGTATTTTAAAACGTAAAAGGTACACTTGCAAAATTAAAAAAGAGTTGATAATAACTCCATCAAGAAAATATAATAAATCAGTGTTACTGTTTTTATCCAGAGCTAATACAGCTAACACAAGCTTGTATACACAGGGCGGGGCAAAAGTAGGTTCACAGTTGTGTGTACTGGAAGTAGTTCTTACATTATTTGTTGTGTTTTCCACACGACCGACTATAAATCTACTTTCGCCTCAGCCTGTGCACACACGCGCGCACGCACGGTGCACCCCACAGGCCCACGTGTGCACCCCGCTCACCTGCCCCCGCTCCTCGCCCAGTTCCTTTCGGATGAGCTGGAATGCATGCCTAGTTCTCACCATCACGTCAAGAGCCCCGGACAGTGTCTTCAGCTTCCCAACGTTGCTGTTCTGACCTAGAGGGTCAAACAGAAAACGACCATTGCTGTAAACATAAATCTAGAAGCCTACCCCACGTCCACCTGTCAGTAGAAGCCCTGACTCTCAGAGCTGGAAGGGAGCACAGGAGAGTCTCAACACGTCTTCTCAACCCGCGTCCTTCAGTCGGTCTCCCGAAGGAAAAGCAGGAGTCTCCCTGCCTGTGTGTGTGTGGGGGGGGGGGAGGGGGGCACGGCTCTCTGGAGTGTCGGGACCAGCCAGGAGGAGTGTGTGGATGCTGTGTGGTGCTGCTCAGGCCTCTGGAGGGTCAGCTGTCTCCTGTGAGGCATGGACTTGCTGTCGTGGCCATCAGAGCAGCTGAGCCGACCCATCACCCCAGGGCCCGGACAGGGTTCTCCCGCTCTCAGACACTGCAAAGCCCCGCCCGGCGCTTGGGCTTATATGCGGCCGTGTGCAGTGGTGTGCAGCCGGGAATCAGCCTTGTTCAAACAGACCCGGCCTCTGCCCTCAGCTCCAGGGGTGACCTATAAGCCCCTGGAATGCCCTATCTGCGAAGGGTCTCTGCTGACCTGGGGGACGCTGCGCCACAGCAGAGAGCCCATCTGCTGTACTGTGGGGGCTTAGGGGCTAACGACCCCGGGGGGTCTGGAGTGAAGGTCAGTGTGCGGCAGTCAACTATGCAGGCTGGTGCCCCAACAGAAACTCTGGACCCCAAGGCCTGGGAGAGCTTCCCTGTGGGAACGCTCTGTGCACCGGCACACGTCACCCCTGGGCGTTTCCCACCGTCCGACTCCACGGGGAGGGACAACCAGGAGCTTCTCGAGCAGCTTCGGCCCTCAGCTCTCCCCGACTCGGCCCCGGTGCCTCCGCCCTCGGCTGATCCTGTTCGTTCTCTGTCACAGCAGCAGCCACGAGTACATGAGCCTTTGGCGCACCTGTGAGCCCTTCTAGTAAACGCACAACCTGTGCTTGTTCGCACCCCGAGTTGCAGTTGGTGCGAACTGGTCTTGGGGACGCTCAACTCTATAAATGAAATAACTGTCGCCTTCTTCCTTTACGGCATAAATCACCTATTATCTTAAAAATCAACAGATAAATGTGATTTCAGTGTAGGTCTTGGCATCTGGAAGGCTAGCTCTTGAGTACGTATGGAAATGCTGCTACTAGGGGGCAGAAGAAAGATAATAAATACATCAGGAAGCTAAACTTGTATCCTATGTACTAGAGAAAAAAATATTGGGTAAAATGAGATAGAATAAAGGGTGTTGTAAACTATAGCATTTATTAAACTGGCTCACAAAACGCCCCAAATATTTACTTTACTTTTCTCAAGTACTTGTAGTATTAAATAATTTTTTAAAGGGAACTAACCATATATCACCTTAACAAATTAGTTCCCAGCAACTACTGTTTCTTATAGAATTGATGCCTGCTCATTCTAAGAAATTAAAACATGCAGGAAATTCAAAGATGGAAATGCAAAAAGTAGACTACCCCAACCCTACCCCCAAAGAGAGGGAACCCCACACACCAGCAAGGCATTCTACACTGGCCAAAAGTTAACAAAAATACTTTTAGTGAAAAGTGTTTTTAAAAGGTGTTCCGAGTCCAGTTGGTGTGGCTCAGTGGCTGAGCGTCGACCCTGCACCAAGAGGTCACCGGTTCGATTCCCAGTCAGGGCACATGCCCAGGTTGTGGGCCCGATCCCCAGTGGGGGGCATGCAGGAGGCGGCCAATGGATGTTCTCTCTCATCGATGTTTCTCTCTCTCTTTCTCTCCCTTTCTTTCTCTCTAAACTCAATTAAGAGAAAAAAAAAAAAGTGTTCTGAGCAGGCCCTACGTTCTCACATGGATGCACACGGCCTGGTCAGCACACGGGTGAGGGCCCCCTGCTGGCCCAGCCCCCTCTCCAGAGCAGGGCCTGCGTCTCACATGGATGCACACGGCCTGGTCAGCACACGGGTGGGGGCCCCCTGCGGGCCCAGCCCCTCTCCAGAGCAGGGGTGCTATTCAGGGCCTCTTGTGCCTCCCCCGGGCCTTGCAGTCCCGTGGACGTCAGGTGCTACACGTGTTCTAACTTTATAGGAGAAACCAGCACAGTGAAACCAAATGAGCTGCTGTAACTTGAACTTCTTGTTCTTTACACACAGAAGCATTTCCCTGCAGGAGCAGGTGACGCCGAGCGAGGAGACCCAGGAAGGGCATTCTGTGCTGCAGGTCCACCTTCCCAGCCGTGGAAACACCCTGAAGGAGCCTCTCCTGCTCGTCCTCCTCCCTCCGCTCCCTCACCTTGCTCAGCCTCTGCAGGCACGGCCGGCCCAGACCCCAACCCACAGCTGCAGTACCGGCTGCATGGGAAAGGGGCCCAGTGGGACCACCCTCCTTTACCACCGCTCTGTCTAAACTGACTTGTCACGATTTTTGTTTTCCAAATAAGGGCTTGTGGGCTGTATTTCAACATTTCTAGTCATCAAACACAATCTAATCCATTTCTCTAAGTTTTAAAAAGCACTTCAAAAAGTACAGAGACTTCTAGTCTCTACCCAAAGTCACTGACTGGACGAAAAGAAAACAACATTCCTTATGCCCAAGAGGGACCGCAGGCCTGCCCGACTGCAGGACAGCGCACAGGCCGCGGGGACCGACTCACTGCTCATCTGGAACTCGGCGAAGGCCACCCGCTCCAGCTGCACGCGCAGCAGCTCACACGGCGTGTCCTTCAGGAGCTGGAACAGCGCCACCGCCTTGCTGTAGTGGAGGTCGGCCAGCACCCGGTGCTGCTTCCGGAGATGCTCGTCGCCAACCTGCAACCACAGGCGCAAGGAAAAGGGAGTCGGAGGCTCGGGCTGCACAGTGACTGTCAACTGAGGTCCACCTGGCTCACTGAATGCTTTCTGGGGCAGTGCTGTTTCTGTGCAAGTCTCACAGTGTAGCTTTCACTTCCAGGTCTTAACCCACTTTGCGTGGACTCAGGACGGGACGTGAGGCCGGAGTCAGCCCGCTCTGCACGCGGACGCCCACGCGCCTCAGCTCTGCTTGCAGAAAAGACAGCGCTTCCCCAGCTGAACTGTCCTGGAAGCTCTTGAGCTTCGTCTGCCTCGAGGCTCTCAGCGGCCCGGCCAGCCTGAACTTTGGTTGGGTGCCTCCTGTGGGCCAAGGGAGAGTTGAGGGCCAGCTGGTGAACTGAATCTTCTCTGACTGAGTTGGACCTCAAAGGTCAATGATCTCAGGATGAAGGCAACTTGGACACAGACCCCGCCCAAGGGAGCGCAAGAGCGGCCTTGGCGCCGAGCCGAGAGCGGGAACCGACAAGACAAAATGCACCCTGGGAAACGGTGTGCGGCCCTGGCAGGGGCAAGGCGCCCTCTCTGCAGGGAGCACCTTCCACCTCGGCCTCCCAGTACCCTTAGGAGCACGTACATCTGAACACAGGATTCAGGGACAAGACTCTTCGCAGCAGATTGTTTCTAACAGACTCAAGCGGAAAGAAATAACCCAGAAGGCTCGGTGATCATGGATGAAATGATTCATAATCATCGCATGAATACTGCTGAGCTGAGAAAATGAACAGCTACACGCACTACCCAGGGAGAATCTCAACAACAGAATGCTAAGTAAAAGGCACTAAGCCAGAGAGTTCGTATAGCACGGTCTGTTCTACAAAGTTCCCGAGCAGGTAAGACACACAGATGGCACGGGCACATCCGAAAATGCAGGACAGTGGCAGCCCGGGGGTCTGGAGGGAGACTCGACCGGGAGGGTGCACAGGGGACCCCACGGCACCCTTCCCTCCTCAACCTCAGGGCGAGGCACGCAGGGCGGGCTGTCTGTATCCTCTGAACTGGACACATGCCTCCCGCACAGGTTTCGATGTGCCTCTGTATGCAGGCCCATTTCACAATAAAAAGTTTAGAGATGGGAAAAGGGCATACTTCAAGATTTACACAAAACTATTCTCATGAAGCCTAACTGTATTTTAGAAAATCAAAACAATACACCCAGGCACATATATGGTTTTGCAAACTAAGACCCAATCAATGGTAGTAGAGAGAAAGAGACGGCATGAGGCGAGAGGGGGAGCTGCCTACACCCCAGGTCTCTCTACGCGGCCACCAGAACGACGGCATGTGAAACGTGTGCGGAGGAGGAAAGCACCGGAACCGAGGGGCCGGGCCCGGCGTGTCGGGAGGCAGTACCTGGTTCCTCAGGCAGCTGTGGTACATGGACGCCAGCCTGTGATGGATGGTGGCGGCGCGGTACTGACAGAGGGGCTGGCGCGCAGACACCGAGTCCACGTCACAGTACTTCAGGGATTTCATCATGGCCTCACTGACTTCTTTTTCAATCTGTTTCATTTTTTAAGGGGGAACCAAAAAGAAAGAGAGACAAGCCTATAATTTTACATAAAAAGTTTAAAAACACTGAAGTGCTGCCTGCCAGGGAAAAGCTGTCTAAGGACACAGGCGGCAGCCGTCCTGCTCAGCCCAGCGGTCACCTGCTCCTGCGCCTTCCTGGACAGCGGGGCGTGGTCCTGCTGCAGCGTGGCCGCGGTGAAGTAGGTGGTGGACAGCTCCCAGCTCACGGAGTCCCACACCGCAGGGTGCCGGTCGCGGGCCCCCAGGGACCGCAGGGCTCTCAGGTAGTAGTCGGCGGCCTGCGGGGAGAGACGTCACCACGTTACAGTGAAACGTCCCCCAGTCCCCGGAGGCGAACTCGCCCGGGGAGACGGAAGGAGCTCTGGGGGGACTGCACAGCAATGCCGGCGAGGACAGTCACGGCGGGCGCACCTCGGGACGCCCAGCCCACCCCGCGTCCACCGTGAGGGGCAGCGCTCCTGACTCGCGCCGAGCGTGACGATCACTGTCCTCCTGTTCTTTCTGAGTGAAAACTACAGCTTACCCAACAACAACAAGAATAGGCGAGTCCAAGGATAAACAATTTGCCAGACGTGACCAGCAGCTCCTCCCACGCTTCCCACCCCCCCCCCCCCGAAGTGGGTGGTCATGTTCAGGTAAATCAAATCACACTAACCCTGTCGCCAGCAGTGACTTCTACACTTCCTGTGTGCATCCACCTGCTCTTTCAGTGTGCGTGCAAACACAAAGCCAGGCCTTCTGTGCTAAAGTGCACCTGCCATGGCCCTTCTTCCCTAGAGTCCCTTACGCAGCTCTGAAGCAGCGCGTCCCCAGGAAACCTGCGAGCCAGGATGGCGGGACGTGGAGAAGCAACCACCATTAACATGGAAACTTTTCTGAGTGCTCGGACCCAAAATTGAGTGCACACGTGTTATTTCATTCACTACAATCAAAATGCTTAATCATGTACAGATTTACATGAAGTGTAACACTCTTAATGAGCTCTGTTAGGCTTCTCTGGTACTTCAGGGCACGGCTCGCTAATGGACGCCCAGGATCCATGAAGGTGGAGCCGAGATGCTCAGACCCAGCTCCTGCTCTGGACTGCGTGCTGCGATGCGGTGGTCCCCGGGGAGGAACTTGGTGGGGGCACTCTCGCTGTTTGGAGTGCCTGCTGCCCCTCTAACAGCTCACTGCAAAACAAAGGCTGGATGCTATTTTTTCTTTCTAAAAGCCAAACCCTCTGCAGCGGTCCCCCCCCTCCCCCCCGGGCCGCGGAGACAGGTGCACGCGCAGGTCTGCGCAGAGGCCCGCAGGCCAGTGACGCGCTCCTTTTCCCACCCCGAGCTATCGCTGCAGAAGGTACCTGGTAATGTGTTAAGTGAGAGAGACTCAATTTTTAAATTCTATAAAACTTTAAATTTTGTAATTTTTATAACTTGTTAACCATTTACTTTGCTCATATACACGAATTTTTTGTTCCAGGTTATCTGCCCTGTCTTCTGTCGAGATGGTTTCTTTCTTTCTTTTTTTTTTTTTTATCCTCACCCAAGGACATTTTTTGTTCAGGTAGAGTGGGAGGAAGAGAGAGGAAGAGAGAGAGAGAAACACCGACGTGAAAGGGACACATCGAGTGGCTGCCACCCGCACGACCGACCAGGGCTGGGGACAAACTGCAACCAAGGTACGTGCCCTTAGCGGGAACCGAACCCGGGTCTCTCGGGACCGCAGGCTGATGCTCTAACCGCTGAGCCAAACCGGCCAGGGCGAGATGGTTTATTTCAACGATCCCTGTTACACACCAAGGGCTTCTTAGCCTCGGAGCTGCCCTGTGTGCTGTGAACATTCCCCCAGGCTGAGGTTTGCTTTTCAACTTTGCTTTCAATGTCGTGCACTTAAAAACCTTGTACTTCATGATTTCTGTATTATCCTTGCCCATCCCATGAAGTCATTCTTCTTCCCACATGTTCTTCTGGGACTTCACAGTCTCACGTGTCCACGTCGACCTCTGACCCATTCAGCACTTACTCTGGTCACACCCCCACACTGCCCCGAGCCTCACCTTCCACCTGCCCAGTCAGCGTCACTTCCGTTCTGAGTGCTCACTGCGCTCGGGCCTGTTTCTAAGTCTCTGAATGGTCGGTCTGTCCTGGGCCATCACCACGGTTTTCGTTATTTTGGTTTTATAGTATTTAGTGAAGCAATGGTAAAGGTAAACGACAATTAGGGATGATGTAGGCAGACGTTACCTTGTTATAATACAAGCCTTCTTCTGGTGAAAACTCGCGTTTAAACTCATCCCCTGCGCCGCAGTGCGCCTGCGCACAAATCCGCATGAGTCTCCCCGTGTTACACAGCAAAAGGGCAGCGTTTGTAGCATCATCAATGGACTCAAAGTTGTGAATTCCTTTTTCAAAGCAAGAAAAGCTTTTTTTCCACAACTGCTGCTCTGCAGTAGACACGCTTTTGCTCACTTCATGGAAAAGAAAGAAGACGTGTAAGCAGGCACCCCATAGACCCTACCGCGCCTCTCGAGGCGACCACGAGAGGACGAGGTAGTGACAGCACGTCTGGGGACAGCCGCCTGGTCAGCCGCAGTGCACTGCTCTCAGCACACCCGTCCGGGGCCAAGCCCTGCGCCCCGACCCTCAAGTTCACGCTGAGGCCCTACCTCTGAATGTGACAGTACTTGGAGACAGGGCCTTTAGAGAGGCCATTAAGGTTAAATGAGGTCACAACGTGGGGCGGTGTTCTTATAAGACAGACACCAGGGACACCCACAGAGAAAAGACGCAACCAACAGGTGGCCAAGGTGGGAAGCTGAGAAGAGAAGCCTCAGAGGACCCCGCCTGGCTGGCGCCTTGGTCTCAGACTTCCAGCTTCCGGAGAGAGAAACAAGTGTCTGTGGTGTGAGTCGTGGCAGACTCACACCACACTCAGACACTGCCCTCTTCAGGGAGAACTGGCTGATAACACCACAAGCCAGCCAAAACACTTGAGCAAAGCACCACTCTATAAAGATTCAAAACACGTGGTCCCATTCATTTGAAGAGGTAGTCCGTGTTCATCTCATTTTCGCAGGGTTCTGACATCCACTTTACATACTCCTTCACTGACTTAAAGAGCACGGATTCTTATATCTCGATATACAGTCGTCCCTCGTTCATCGCGGTTAGTCTGTTCCAGACTCCAGCGGCTGCACCTGGCGTTGAAGGATTTGGGGGTGCTCCAGTACATAGGCCTAAGTCCGTACGTGCAGTGATTTTAATTGTAATTGTAATGCAGAGGTGTATAACGGACTCAGACAACCGAGTACGCGCTGTATCATTTTCACCGAATGAAATGAATATATTTGAAACGAATATATTTTAATGAATATATTTGAAAAAAACTGTGCAAGTCGAAGTGCGAAGTGGCGAGGGACAACTGTATATATTTTTTTAAAAACAATTTAAAAAAAAGGCACAGGGTCTCCACTAACAACGAACTCTCGTAGCCCCGAGGTCAAGCACAGCTCGTAGGGCAACAGCACACAACTCCTTCGGCAGAACCTCTCCGCCCTCTCCCCTAGGAGCTGCACGGTCCTGCCCCGCTCTGAACGCCCGCGGGCCCTACGGCTCCGGCACGTCCCGAGGCTGCCGCCCGTCTGGACAGCCTCCCCGCACCCGCCTGCTGACACCCGTGGCGCTGCTCAGACACGCGTGCTCGCCTGTCTCCTCGCTCGGCGGGGCCGTGCCAGCCTCTGTGCCCCAGCACCTGGCCTGGCACAGGCTGGCCGTCCAGCTCACTTCTGACTGATCAGACGGAGCATGAACTCCAAGGGGAAATCATGTTTTCTCCTAATTTCATTTCTTGAAAATTTAGGAATAGACTTTTCAGCAGAGCGCCCAGGACAGAAACACAAGTGCCGCAGTTCCTGCTCGCGCCGCAGTCAGCGTGACTTTCTCACCGGAAAGGCGATGGAGACTCACCCACTCTCTCACCCTGCAGCGCAGCGGCCTGATTCATGTAGAACACACCGATCTCATTTCTGATGTTGCCCATTCTCTTCAGGACTTGTACGTAGTGTTCTGGGTTTTGGCTTTTTAAGTCACTAAATTGCAAGATTTCGTTAGCAGCCTCATAACATTTACAACTGACTGAAAGCTGACTTTCCAAGTCTGTAGACAAATCAGTCGCCCACGCAAATCCTGAAAAGAGAAAAAGGGAGCGTCACCAAGCGAGTCACGTGACTCCCGCGCCCTCAGCATCCAAGTCATCTGCCACTTTTAACTAAGTAAATGTAACACAACGTAAACACACTTATATTTAAGCAAAGCTAAAAATTTAAGTCTCAACATACAGATCTCTTTATTTACAAAACCATATTTCCTTGGGACATTCATGTTTGATTAAAATAAGTACTTTCCTGCCTAAGAATACCAAACAATTCCCACGACCCAGACTTTCCGGGCCCACTTGCTCTCCGGCCGGGCCTGACCGCCTGCGGGCACAGGTGGACCACGGCTCCCTTTCCTCAGTGCGAAGGGCTCTCGCAGTCAAGCTCTGGGCTACCAGAGGGTCATGGGCACCAGCTTGCCAACGCGCCTGACTCCCCAGAGAAGTTGCTGATAGGCTCTCGGAGACTCACACGTGCCATCTAGTGGGGACCGGAGTGAACTCAGGGGGAAAAGGCGAGCACTCCTGCCGACAGCTTCAGACCCACAAGGCACCACCAACCTCACAAAGACGAGCTTTAAATCAATGAATGTGACAGGAGTGGCGAAAACACACGGAGGTTTTCTCACCCTATTAAAACAAAGTGATAGACACTGAAGAGAAAAAGGGGAAGAAAGGGGGGAAATGAGAAAATACTACATTTCCCCCAATGTACTTCTCTAGATGTTCACTGTCCGACACTTCCTGGGAGGTAGACAGCCAATGGCACAAACAACACACAAATGTAAGAAAACAATTCATGCCCTGGCCAGTTTGGCTCAGCGGTTAGGGCGTCGGCCTGTGGTCCAGAGTCCCGGGTTCGGTTCCCGCTAAGGGCATGTACCTCGGCTGCAGTTTGTCCCCGGCCCTGGTTGGGTTGTGCGGGTGGCAGCCACTCGATGTGTCCCTTTCACGTCGATGTTTCTCTCTCTCTCTCTCCTCCTCTCTCCCTCCCACTCTATCTGAACAAAAAATGGAAAAATGTCCTCAGGTGAGGATTAAAAAAAAAAGAAAATTCACGGCACGCTGCCGACCACGACCTTGCCCCTCAGCGCTGCCCTGAGCTGGGGGCCTGCCCCCGTGGGCTGCTCTGCTCTTCCCCAGCCTACAGATCTGACGACTCCAGAAGGAGTGATATGCTCAGTAAGACTGCAAACCCTAAGCTAAGTCTAAAAATGACCTCTGTATCTGAGCCCCAGGAATTATTCAGAAGGGAATTCGTCCACTTTTACCAACTGCTATTCCTTTTCTGAAGGAATCACGGCGGGTCAGCTGCCCGACTGGAAAAACCTCATAAAAGGACAAGTGGAGAAAGTCAACACGCTTGTCTGAGAGCTTGTTTCAGAGCTAGTTCTAGTTGTGCAATCAACTCTAGAATACTTCCAAGCATTTTATCTGCAAATACACAGGATCATGCTCGACATTAAAATTAAAAATAAGCAAAACAAACAGAGCACTAGCAAATGCCACATTTCTGCCCCTGGATCCCACTCAGCTCAGCCGGACTGGACAGCCCCGGTGGGAGCCCGCCCTCGCCGGCCTACCTCGGCAGCTGGACCGGACAGCCCCGGCGGGAGCCCGGCCTCGCCGGCCTACCTCGGCAGCCGGACTGGACAGCCCCGGCGGGAGCCCGCCCTCGCCGGCCTACCTCGGCAGCTGGACCGGACAGCCCCGGCGGGAGCCCGGCCTCACTGGCCTACCTCGGCAGCTGGACCGGACAGCCCCGGCGGGAGCCCGGCCTCGCCGGCCTACCTTGGCAGCTGGACTCCCGGTGGAGGCTGTGCAGTATCTCCTGGTCTTCTTTGGTCTGGTAGTTGAACTCCTCCAGGTGCGCTGCTCTGTTGCTGGCGTTCTGGGCCAGCATCAGCTGGATGTCGCCGCAGAGCGTCAGGTACTGAGAAAGAAAGAGCAGCACTTCGGAAAGCATGTTGGTGCAGAGGCAGCAGTAAGTGTCTACGTGGAAAGAGTGGGAGGGAGAAAAAGGTGCGCACTGTAAGCAGTGAGTATGAAGACCACTGTTACCGACTGTATCCACTTTAGTCCATCCAGTCACAGAGCAAACGTGGCTTCATGTATTTCTAATGAAGACACATTAAACCACTCCGAGCAGAAAACAGAATACTATGTAACACACAAGATGCAAAAAAGTTGTTTCAAAATGAAATTTTAGAACAGAAACAGGAGCAAATTTCCCTGGCTTAGACGTCTTCTCCATGCCCTCCCACCACGCCTGGTCGCCTGGTCGATACAGTGACTCACCGTGGCTCTGCAAAGCTAACTTAATGTATCGTAATGCTCTTCCATACTTCTGAAGACTCATGGCAGCGTCAGACAAAACATAATAGGCCTTTGATGACTTGAGAATCAGCTGGAGTTTCATTTTATGTTGCCAAGAGCCAGGGATCATTCCAGACTGGCTGGAATAATTACCCTTCTGAAGGGAGCCCACTATGAGACAGGAGGAAAGAAGGTAGCACATTATATTTGAACATAAGTCACTATAAAAAAGTAATTTCTGTTTCTTACTAGAAATACTCCAGGCTCGGGCCCTACTGTAGTGGCAAACACCACACTTCACTCTTTAGCGACAGCGGAGAGAGCAGTGTTTCAGCAGACGGGCTACGGAGGTTTCGCAAGGCCTCGGCTTCCCTGCAGCTGCCGGCTGTCCCTTTCGGAGTCACTGCCATAACTGAACTCACGACTGACAGCCGCCTCCTTTCTCCAGCCTGCGTGTCAATCTGCCCAAACGTTTACCTTCCCAAAGCAAGCCTTAACCACAGGAGAGCCCCTGATCTAAACCACTCAAATGGCTTCTCGCCACTTGTTAAGTCATGGATAAGCATCTCAGCCCCCTTCCTGAGCTAGTTTTCCAGTCTTACTTCCCAGTGCTCCTCCCCTACTATCCATCAGTCAGAGTTAAGTGACTGCTGGCTGCCTACATAGATGCGTTTTCCCATCTCCGGTCTTAGTGCGCTGTTTCCTCTAGTAGGAATATTCTTCACTTAAAGTCCAACCTATACCACCTCTTCACTCTGCTGGCACCACAAACGACGACATGAAGTCATATGGCCTCTATCCTTGAAGACCTCACAGATTAGAGTTGGAGACAGGCTGATGACATAAACCACAACAAAACATAAGTGTAATTTCAGAGATAAGAGCAAAGTGCTGTGGGAACCACCCTCCCCCATCTCCCAGACTCAAGATTTCTGATCAGCTACAACACACGAGTCTTTAAAGCAACTAACAGTCTGTTATGCTCTTATTTGTGCAAGTATTTCTTTTCCCGCCTACTGGGCACATATTCTGTGTGCGAGGAATTGTGAGCAGACCAAAGCTGACTAAGAAACAGCTCTGGCTCACAACTGTGTCCGTGTGTCAGCACAGCTAACTGTGGGACAAGGCGGGCTTTGGTAAGGGGATCCAGTACTGCTGGGGACAGAAGTGAGATGGAGACCCTGATCGTGAGCAAGCTTTTCAACAGCTGAGATGGGGAGGGAGGCAGGAAGAGCAGAAAAGGCATTTCAGAAAACAAACGCCATGAAACAGGCACACGAGTTTCTACCGTCCTGGGTGGTCCTCCTCACTGTGTCTGGGTTCGAACCTGGCACACAGGCAGTGCTACCTACATGCGGGGGATCTACGTTCATGAAGAGAAGATTCCAAAGCACTTGCTGTTGTTTCAAACATACAGGCTTTCAGAACATTTTTTAAACACCAGAACACATTTAAAAGGGGGGGAGGAAATAAGGTTGAAAAAAAATGTAATTTAGATTAAAATGAAGAAACTCAGACTTTTACTTCAAGTCCACACGTGCTCCATGAAGTTCCCGCGGAACCACAGGTGAGCTGACGTTTCTAGCTCATCTGAGCACCATCACGAGGCAACAAGAGCTAACACCGGTGGTGCTTATCAGCACACTGTTCGAAGTACTTTACATGTTCACTTAGTTCATGAACAACCCTTCAAAGTCGGCAGTCACGGTCCATTTGGAGAGAAAAAGGCTCCAGCAAATCCAGGACTGGGGCCAGGAGCCTGGTCCCACCCAGTCCGCTCAGAGACACCTGCGGCTCTCCCCGAAGCAGGGTTTCCCGGGAAAACCCTTCTGCTGGCTCAGACACCTGTCCAGGATCAAAGGGCCCGGCCCTGCTCTGCGCCTGCACGGAAGGATCCCCTACTTCCCTTAGCTGCAGTCCGCCGATGAGCGCCCTGACTGACACGCTGCTGAGAAGGGCCGGTGTTCTTCCAGGGAGAAGGCTTATGTGCACATCAATTCTACTCACTTTTGTCCAGAAACAAGGCCATTTGCTTCTCCAGACCCTCAGGACCCCCCCTTGAGGATTCATCTTCATATTTTAATGGGATTGGGGTGTTGGGGTCAGCTGCAGGGAGGTCGCTTTCTTTCTTAATGCTGCTATCCACGGATTTTAAACCCTTTTAAAAAAGGAGAAACATTTACTGTTTGAGTAACTGAGGGTCAACTAGAAACTAAATATAAGGCAATACCCGTACTACTGAATACATTTAGGGGAACGGATATTTTGAAAACAGATGTTTAAAACTACATTTGACCTGAAGATGCTGGGAAAAACTAATTTTCACTTTATGCTTCAAGGAGAAAAAAATCATAGCAGAGTATCAGTCAGACACCAACAAACAAGTATTATTTGCACATCAAGTACATTTACTGAAATAGTGAAGATTAAACCCAAACTCACCTCCAGAACATAGCTGAGCACAAGCCTGCAGCGTTCCTCTGTGTCGTGGCAAACTGGGAACGCACAGCTGGGCTGCAGAAGCGAGCACGGCAATGATTAACACGCTCCTAGCGCGAGACTCTACAGCTCCCAGCTCCTGGGAACGACTACATCTCTGCAAATCAGTAGTTCCAAAACGTGCTGTGCATTCAGCTTAGCGCGGTACTAAGGCTAACAGACTGCTTTAACTGAAGATAACACTGATATAATAAGCATCATCAACACACATCCTGCTTAACAAAAAGATCTTCTGGCATACATGTTGCTTTAAGTACTTAAAATTTAAAGAATTATTCTATTACTACAAAAAAGAGAATGTGAGTAGTAATGTTTTAGATAAATGGACACCTAATCTTATAGGTCAGCTCAACTTTTAATTAGCACTGATCTTGGTAGTATGGTTAACAATAGCATGAACTTAGCAACAGTTTGACCAGGGTCACCGATGGTCTCACCACATAACACATATGCCTCAGTTAGCAGCCTCCCTCTACCCAGCGGTGTTGCACAGCAGGGCCTCTGCCAAGCCCTGCACTGGCGAGCCCGTGAGCCTGGGATTTTACTGCGGCTGACAGAGAAGCAGAGTGAGCAGTCTGTTCAAGGGCACAGTGAGTCGGGGCTGGGGCTGGGCCATGCTGACTCCACGTCTCAGAAGGGACACCGAGAAGGCAAAGCCAAGTGAGGAACATTTACATGAACACCACGACTGCAGTTTGAGTACTTTGGAGACTGATAAAAACGTGTTGCCTCTGTAAAAAGCTATAAACATATCACCACATCTAATGATCATCCCACTGCTTCATAAACAGAGTGTTGTTACAGTGCAGTTTTCACAGTACATGTCACTGCTGCAACCAGTTGTTCACAACCAGCAATTCTAACAGAGGCACTGCAGGGCTCGCTGGGAGTGCACTGCAGTCAGGCGGACAGATCGCTTTGTCCTGCAGCCATTCAGTCAGTATTCACTGAGCACCCACTGTGTGCTGGAGACGCGGGGGATACAAGTCCACACCTGCAAGAGCTCATGTTCCAGTGCAGGAGAGGGACACACACAAGCACTTCCGGCACAGAGCATCTCTGCTAGAAAGGAATGAAAACTAAGCAGGCTTGGGCTGGAGTGCCAGGGAAGGTGCCCGGCAGAGGTGAGTCAGTCAAGACGGAGGCTTGGCAAGAGCAGCCGGGAAGAGAGCTGGGGAGGAAGTGTGAGCAGGAGCAGGAGCAGTCGGGCCTGATGTGTCTGGGGACAGGAAAAGGCAGTGGCGAGGGGACGAGGGAAGTGAGCGGTCAGAAAGACAGGCAATGTTTTAGGGTACAGAGAGGGTCCTCTAAAAACCTACTGGGATATAAAGTTCCATCTGGAAGTTAAACTGAGAATAAATTAAGAGGTCATCTGTAAATATGACTGTATTACAGTTCAAGGGTCAGCCAGAACTCCTTTAAGGCTGGCCTGGGTCTGGCCACAGGGAGGCAGGGGAGTAAGTATAATTTAGAAAACTGAAACATGGCACATTCCACCAACAGGAACCTGAAGGGTAGGAAGTTGTTAGGGTCTGTCTGGCCTTGAGCAGGCCAGAGACGTGCCCATCTAGACGCTCCGTCTAGTGCCCCGGGCACTGAGACAGTACCGCCCTGTGGCACAGGGATAAGGCCCAGGTCTCTCACCACACAGATCAACAAGCTACCCGTCTGCTGTGACTGGTCACTGGAAAGGGAACTCTCCCACATAAACATTAGTACGCTGAAGTGTGGCTGACATGTCCGTCCACCACAAGTCTGCATGTGGTCAGTCACCTGGGACGACTATAAACCAAGTTCTCGACCGAAGCTCATGACTATGCGAAGGCTGCACTGCCATCTCCTGAGGGCTGATCTACTAATCCACAGCTGCTGTTTCCCATGCCACCACTGTGCTACAATGCAAGCATGCTTACTCTGATTTGATGAATGGATTTGTACTTTTCTGGAACTGACAATTCTCCAACAGACTTAATTATAGCTACTGCTTTGTTATCATCTGGAGGGTCAGAGTGGGGGCAGTAGGATCCATTTTCGTCGCTGTCTGCCATCTCCTCCTCCTCTTCGCTGTAACTTTCATCAGAATTCTCATTTAAAGGTGACTCTGAACTTTCTTCTTTTTTAGGTTCATCCAGTTGAAAAAGTTCTGAAAGCATGTAATTGGCTGAAGCAATAATCTTATAAAAAGAAAAAACATGTGATGGTCATCAAAGGTGAGCACTCGACGTGGAATGAGGGTTACTACGCTGGCCAATTTCTCAAACGGGCTGCCCCACCAGATGGCCACACAGAGCACTCCTGCCGCAGAGCTGCCGACTCTGAACGGACGGAGACTCCCGCGGCATGTTCACTTCCTGGGACGGTCCCGTCCCGTCCCCAGCCCTCTTCCATGCGTAGTGTCCTCGCTGTACCAGCAAGGATCCTCCCTATCGACTGAGAACCAGAATTTCTTTTCACACACTATAAACTAGTAAGATTCTATCTTTAATAGGCAACTAATATTTACTACACGATCTATGGTCCCGGGGGAAAACACCCCACTGGCTTAATGAGGGAAAAGTCCATCCTGGTAGCTCTTGAAATGGGCATGTAGACATTATTATTACTTGTTACTAAGTGATTCGTTTTTTTTTTTTTATCCTCACCTGAGGACATTTTTCTATTCTTTGTTCAGGTAGAGTGGGAGGGAGAGAGAGGAACAGAGAAAGAGAAACATAGATGCGAAAGGGACACATCGAGTGGCTGCCACCCACATGACCAACCAGGGCCGGGGACAAACTGCAACCGAGGTACGCGCCCTTAGCGGGAACCGAACCTGGGTCTCTTAGGACCACAGGCCGATGCTCTAACCGCTGAGCCAAACCGGCCAGGGCAGTGATTCATTTTTTAAAGTTTTTTTTTTTAATTCTCACCGGAGGACTTTTTTTTTTTTTTTGCATTTATCTTCAGATAGAGCGGGAGGGAGAGAGAGAGGAAGAGAGATAGAAACAACGATGTGAGAGAGACACATCGAGTGGCTGCCACCCACACAACCCCAACCAGGGCCGGGGACAAACCGCAACTGAGATACATGCCCTTATTGGGAACCGAACCTGGGACTCTCTGGTCCACGGGCCGATGCTCTAACCACGGAGCAACCGGCCAGTGCTGCTATTAAGTGATTCTTAATCACAGCCACATAACAGCTGTGACATTTCATAACTGTCACACCAACTATTCAACAGCCACTAAACACCACCACTGCAATCAGCAATTAGATACTTAAGTCAGAAGCTGTTTTGCCACTTGGTTTTCTCTGGTGTGGTCTCTATGATGATCTTTATCTCTAACCTGGATGTGGCTACAACAAACATTAACTTGGACTGTAAAAAATAATTGTACATCGTAGAGACCTTCTCTGATTTAAATTGGGTACAACTAATCTTACACCAAAAAATAAAGACCACTGAGGGTACAGGTGGTGTAAAAGCGGGGGGCCCATGACAGAGATTATTTTCAGAGACGCTTTTATCATACACTGAGTGTGGACTGGGAACCGTATTTACACTAACCGTGATGAACAAGACCCACGTGTGTAAGCAGGTGTTAAACACTACAAACAGGTTTCCACCTCCCTCCACTCACAGGACGGTGCTGTTCAAGAGGAAGGTGACATGAGCCACACATAAAACTTTAAATATTCCAGTGGCCATATTAAAAAATCTGTTTTACTTAATTTCGATATTATATTTGATTCAATGAACACGCAATGTGCACCACACCATCTTGGAATTCAGTGTGTCTTGACCTAAGGCACCCCTCAGTTCAGAACGGGCATGCTTCCGTGCTCAGCAGCCACGTGGGCTTGGTTCCCGGCTGCCCCACAGGGAGTTAGGTGGAGTTAAGACTGAGTGTCCAAGCGACACTTCTCCATCAGAAAGTAGACTGTGTACAGAGTATACAAATGTCTATCTTACTTGAGGATGTCTGCTTTTATCCAACAATTTAACACAATTAAGAAGCAACGTTCTGATAGTTCCGTAGTGTTTCTTATTTTGATTCTTCTTCATCATCATGTTGCAAGCAACCCTAAAAAAAAAGTTTGTATCAGCTTGACTCCCCATTCATCGTTCCCTACAAGATTCACGTGTAGGCTGCTCCTCTTTCCTCCCCCACACGCACACACACACACTTTGTTTTCTAAACGATGAAACCCTAAAAGGTATCTAAAAGCCTTGGCTTGGGTGATGTGGCTGCACCCTTTAAAACCTTACAAAGGCTGCTCCTGCATCTGCACTCTGGCAGCACTCACTTATACAAGAGAATGGCCACGGGCATGGTGAATGGATTTTGGTACTTGTCTTCTGTTTCTTCACAAAGGGTAGTGAGATCATAGAGCTTCACTATGTCACTGCCACTCGCTGGAAAAGCAAACAAACAAACAAACAAACAAACCTCACTTTACAGTAGTCACTCAAATCAATTATCATTCATTCAAGAATTAGCTCACCTTTAAATAGCCAATAGGTATGTCCTTCTTTGGTACAATTCGATTTCAGAAATGACAAAATATTCTGTGCAATGTCTTTTATGACTTTAGTAGAAAAATTAGAGTTTTCCAAGTTGGGAATCTCTTCTGTCTTTATCATTTCATACTTCTATAAAGCACAGAAAGTCGTCTGAGAGAAAGCCTCGGCAGCAACACTTCTCTTATTAAAAAGCAAATATGTAAATCCTGCAGCACGAACGAGACGTAACCAGTGGTTTCCATCTTTTTGCTGCCCCAACATTCCAAAGGAATCTGACCCACCCCGTCAGCACTGCTGTTCATTTACCACAGGAGTAATTCTCAAGGGAGACTCATCACCCGATTCTGAACCACAAATTTAGGCATGATCTCATTTCTGTTCTCACACGGAACAACCCTCTCAGAACACTTTCTTCTATTCTACCCCAATGGCTTTCAACTGGGAGATGGTTAATGCAGGGAGACTTCACCCCTAGACACTAGAACAGCCTGGGAAGTTTCTCCAGGAGACACGACTCTGTCTCCGAGCTATGGGCTCTGTTCCCTTACAGAGATGGAGCACAGTGGGGAAGGGAGGAGGCAGCAATTCACAGTAGAGGCTGCACTGACATTACTACACTATTTTTAAAGCACCTCCACATTTTTTTGCTTGTCTTCTGTTCACACTTCCCTAAACTCCTCTTACCACGTTTTCTGGAGTATTCTCAGACTGAAACTGCAAATCAACTGGGAAGCTGGACCAAACAGTCCCCTAAGGCTGGTTTCCTCCTGGGTCACGGAAAGCGCCCTCGGATTTCCCACGGCACCGCCCTGCGCTGAAAGCCCCTCCCTTTCACCTGCCTGGGGAAGCCCGGTGTTTGAGTTCAGTGGGTCCCCCGGTGACGAACTCCAACAGGACCCAGGCAGGAGGCGCTGCAGTCTGTGTCTAGCCCTATCTTCTCCAACACCTGCTCTTCAAAACACTCCCCTGGCATCTAACGCTTTCCTCACACTGCACACGTGACACACACACACACATCCCCCCTCAGGCAATGGTACCACCGCAATTCTAGCCCCCCAAGCTCCTGAGCCCGACCCCTGCAGTTCCCTTTCACTCCTCCCTCTCCGCTCACAGCCTCTCATTCAAAGCTGCCTTTAGGATGATGGTGTAACGGTGGTTCTCAACCACGGGTGCAAATAGAATCATCGAAAAAGCTCCCGCCCGTCCTGAAATGCTGCGGCCCAAGCACGAGGGATTCTGATGCACGCTTCCACACAGGTTAAGAATCCCTGGGCTGCAGTACAATGGGCTAGAGCGTCGCCTCGGTCTGAGAGAGGTTCAAATACCGACACCACCACTCACTAGCATTGTGGCTCTGGGGGACTCACCTGAGCTCTTTGATTCTCAAGTTTCCCTCCCCATCAAAAGGGAATTAATAGTACACGGTCAGCTAAGAGCTGAAACGAGCATCAAATAAGATAATGCCTATAAAGCACTTAGCAAAGTGCTTAGAACAAAGATGCACTCAATAAATGCTAGCCATTATGATCACTGTCATTTCTTAGTATTTACCAAGATGAGATTACGTAGTGTGAGGACATTACATTCCTTCTAAAAGTAGTACATGCCTAACCCGCCTTCTCGTCTCCAAATCCTCTGCTGTCCTTCATGCCGCCTCCAGATGAATATTCCAACACATGGATTTCACACCCAGATGCAAAGTTCTCACTGATTCCAGACTGCCACCTGAACCAAGTCCACGCGCCTTAGCTTAGCATTCAAGGCTCTATTATTCGGCCACAACTTTTCCAATCCTTCTGCTATTTTGCTACAGAAGCCTATGTTCCTCAGCTGGGTCTATCATCAATCCCTCATTTACTAACATCAGTCTTTTAAAATCCATCTCTTATTTTTGGGGATGCTATCTGTCATTCAAGATTCAGTTAAGATGCCACTTCTTTCAGGAAGTCTGTCTTTCAGATCAAGAGACGTGATCTGAAACCCAGACTTCCGTGTATCACACCCAGACCTCTGTGTATCACACTTCCAATGCGTAATCTGCAGTCTCCTATTTTCTCTTTGCACACTGTTACTTCCCATTAGATTATATCTATCTGAGTAATGACCACATTTATTCTTTGTTCTTCCCCCACATTTATAATGGGGACAAAGTGCCTCATAACAGAACACGCTCAACAACAATGTGCTATATAAGCTATCTGCTCTATGCAGTGATGACTGAGCCTTTCCCTACACTCTGCACGCACTGAGTAGGTATCTGTGCACTGAATAAACACTTCCACTGTGCAAACACTGTCATGTAGCTTCTATGGGTGCCTGGCAATGAGATTAGAGTTCTATGGCTACAAATGTAAGGTCAGTGTATTTATGACCTCCTCACAAATTACCTGTAAAATTATACTCCTGTAACATTTAGAATTCTATCAATAACTCAAATGTGAAAATACTCAAATTTTAGTTTATTCACAGCTACCTTCCTTGCCAAAAAAATACACCTTAGATTTTAAGGGTCTTACACACTCTGGTGAAGCACTCTCTGCACCAATTTGCTCTTGAGAGATTAGAAAACTCGTACTGTATCTTACCTGTACAATTCCATTTACATGAAAACACATCACAAGCTCTGGTACATTGCATATCAAGTTGTCCAACCAGTAGTCAATTCCAGTTAGCACGTTAATTGGTTTGTTGTTATCCCTAAAAATAAACAATTCTATGTTATTTGGTTTAATTAAGATGTTTCATAATGAATCGCCTGAGACTTATTTCTCCCATTTAACTATTTTAATCTGTGCACCTTGGATGAAAAATGCCACATGAGCTTTCTCTGCTGATGAGACATGTGCACCCAGCTCACGTGGTGGGTTATATTTACACTTTTCATAAGCCTGCTTGCATTTCTGATATCCGTGGGAGGCTTCAATAGGAATAGAAAGATGCTGGCAGATGACTGGGGGCCTACTGCATGCTCCTCCAACACCCTGAAGGGAAGGACTAACCACCACGCATGACCACACCAAGTCGGAATTCACATTGGCTAACATGAACAAACACACCTGAGTATTAAGAAATAGGTCACGATTAGTTAACAGGAAGCTGGAAAACCACCTCCTTCACTAATTAAATAAATTCTACATATTTTCACCAGTGCAGATTCAGATATAAGACTAGGCCAGTGCAGCAGATGTCTGACTCCACTCCTCAAGGACTGCACACACACCCAGCTACAGGGCTCCAGCATCCGCTGGTACTTGCTCCTTCCTTATTGTGCCATTTTAAGCGGCAAAGGAGGGTGACGGTGAGCTAAACTAGAATAAGGTGGTGAGGCCCAATGGGTAAGTGCAAGCAGACAGGACAGGGATTCTGAAGGACGCAGTGCGGTTACCTGAGACGCAAGCTGACTGCTGGGTACCGGCCGCCTCCAAATATGGGCATGTTGGAGCCCACCAACATGTGTATGTCTTCAAATGTCCACAGAATATTCCGAACAAAATCATTTTTAAGACCCTTTGATATAAAACAAAACAGGAAAGGTTATGGTACAATAAACAGGGAAGCCATAATCTCCCCCCGATCCACAGAAAGACTTGAAAAAGGAAAAGACAAAGGAGATAAAGCATTAAAGTGACAGAGCTGTCAGATCAGAGACGTTCAGAGAGCATTTTCAGAATCAAGTAGATTTCCCCTGTGAATCCAATGGAGACTGGTTTTGAATGACGAAGTAGACTTGGGATGGGTGTCTCCAGGCGAGCACCCGGAAAGCATACCTGACTGTTCTCCCCGTCACTGAATAAAGGAGTCAGGTTTTGTTCTTTGGGGGCTGAGGCCACATGCCCCACTATGTATAAGGGTTCAAGAGGCTCACTTCCCTGTGAAAAGTGCAAGGACAGGAGTGATTGGTGCCAGAATTTCTCACCAATGGCCTACTTCTAGAGTATCACCTGCGCATTCCCAGCAGACCCTCCACCCACGGCTGTGACTTGGGCTCAGGCACACCACGAGCTCTCGCGGAGACTGACATGACCTCCTAACTATACCGCCGCTGGAAAGGCTGATCACATCTGGCTCGTACACAAGAAAGATAAAGATTATTTTAGCTTTCAAAATTTTAAATTTTTCTCTCTTTTGGGTGAATTTCAATACCAGTACTCTTTAGCCTACCTCATCTCTATGAAATTAAAAAATTCTGAGAACCCCCAGCCACATGTTTGAGACACCCATCATAAAAGCCTCTAGTTTGCGTTTCTTAGCGTGTTGCACAGAGCACCAGTCCTGGGGACACTCGGTGGGACCCCCAGAGCCCGCTGTGACACACGCTCCTCACGCGGACTTGCTTTCGGGGCCTAACAACCTTGTTGTCGTCACGAAGCTTCTGAGAGTCCCTGCAGCAGGAATATCTACTTCACCTCTGTGCAATCCAGTGCCCTCTTAGTCTCAGAACACTTCTTATTCTTACTACGTTCTGTGGAATATCCTCTGGGAAACATTTTTAGAAAGGGGAACTTTTGACAAGTAAGCTCAGTCCACCACTGTTTTCCAGTCACTGGGGCAGCTGCCATTAAGAAACATCGCTTTAACCTTAACATCAACACTGCGACAGTCCCCAGGGACACACACACGTGTGCACACACACTGCTTAGCGCACTTCTCACCCGGGGTATATGCTACGGGCTTGGCACCTGCCTGCGAAGGAAGCACACGTGACTGCAAGTGTGCGTGTGTGTGCACGTGTGTGCGCGCGTGTGTGTGTGCGCGTGTGTCAATCTCCAGCACTTTCCTGTGTCCTGACTTCTCCTTAAAGCAGCGGTTCTCAACCTGTGGGTCGCGACCCCTTTGGGGTTCGAACGACCCTTTCACAGGGGTCACCTAGGACATAACAGTAGCAAAATTACAGTTATGAAGTAGCAATGAAAATAATTTTATGGCTGGGGGTCACCACAACGTGAGGAACTGGATTGAAGGGCCGCGGCATCAGGAAGGTTGAGGACCGCTGCCTTAAAGCACCCTAACGGAGCTTCAAGCTGTTTTATTATGTATTTATACAGACACATCAATGACCTATGGACCAACTCCCCAAACCATTTTTGCCAGGTAGTTGCTTTAGTGAGAGTTTGGGCCCTAGTTAGAATGTTCCAAATAAAGGTCTGGCTCTAAGGCCGTACCGAAAACACCTGTTCCAACTCTATTGCTGCTCAAGCCAGGCCTCAAACTAGCAGTTCAGGTTTGGGGAACAAGAATTCATGAGGCGGTGGCTTGTAAACAAAACAAATGTCTAAATGCTGAAATTTAGGCTGTATAACATGTTATCGAGATTATTTTTATGGCAGGCTAGTTCTGGGCACATGCCATTGCTCAGACGATCTGACTGCTTTGAGGCCCTGCTACACGAGTGTGGAGTCCGTGGACACAGCGGAGCTCGGCCCTAGAACAGGCCTCTGAAGCCACGAGGGTCAGGGTTAAACCCGAGCTCGGGCTTCCGGCGGTGAGACCGCGGACAACACCTGCCCTTTGTGAGCTTCAGCTTATGCTTATAAAAGGGTCCCTTCAACACTCAATGCATATGTAGCTCCGAGGATGGAAGCATGTGTCCATATGCACACACAGCACAAAGTGCATGGCGTGAGAGGCACTACCTGGATGCCAGTTCACTTCCTCCACGTGCAAGTCGTCTCAACACCTCCTGACCTTTCACAATGACCCCTAAACCAGGTAGGGACAGAAAGGGAGAGGGGAGCTGGGTGGCAGGAGACTGGCATTTCTGTCATATGTCTTTTGCAATGTGTGGGTTTTGAAGTCAAGGAATGCTAAAAGAATTTTTAAAAACTCCTTTGGTGAAATATAATCATGTACAGCAAAGTGTATAAACAAATAATACAACACAATGACTAAGTACAAAGCAAAGGACCAGTGTAACTAGCCCCCAAGTCCTGACCTGCATCTGGCTAGTGCCCAGCCCCACATCCCCCTTCATTCACGCACATCACCCTCTCCGTGGTTCCCACTGTCGACTTGTACGGTAATTATTTCCTCCCTTTTCCTCAGTTTTTCCCAACGTGGGAAAAATTTGAATTTATTACAGTTTAATGAGGTTTCTCCATCTTAACACCTAATAAAACTAAAATCAAGTTAACTGTATTTGCCTCCTTGCAATTCTATAATTTGTAAAGACAGCAATAATCTGATGAGTCACTATCAACATGTGAGAACACACAGCAAGAGGAAAAACTATTTACCAAGTTAAAGACCATATTTTTTTCTTCTTCGAGTTTGTCAATATATTTTCCTGAAAACAGACATGTACAATTTACACCGGTGGAGTTAGTTTTCTTTGACAGAAACAATGACAAAACTAAATAAGCAATAAGAAGAAACTAAGAATATAAGGGACAAAACAGACGTATTCTACTGTCTTCCTTTCTAAAAGCTTTGTAACGTTACTGTCGGTTAGTCTCAGGAACTTCATCCAGAAAATCTTAAGGGTGATTTTAGGCCTAACAAGCTGACTAAAAAGGTCAGTATTTAAATTACAAACAAGCCTAGCCGGTGTGGCTCAAAGGGTTGCCAGTTTGACCAGGCCATATGCCTGATCTCTAGGAGTTGGCGTGCCGGAGGCAGCCAACAGATGTTTCGCTCTGACATGGATGTTTCTCTCTCTCTCTCTCGCTCTCAAAAAAAAATATCAATAAAAAATATTTAAAAAATAAATTACAAACAAGTTTGATAAGCATTTACTATAAAGTTTAAAATATACTATATCACTATATTTATTATATAATACTCATGACTTTAAGGAGATAATGTGTTAACAAACATATTGGTGAGCTATGTTAAATGCCGATAAAAATTTAGTATTTTGAATTACTTAATTTTAAAAATCTGATCGAGCCATTCACAATATCTTTTGTAAGTTCTATCTTGAAAAAAAAAGAAAGATTTCTTTCTAATTGTGAAACAGGAATTGATAAAGTATTTTTTACTCCTGTTCACCTATTTTTATTAACAAGATAACTGGTTTTGTCTTTTTACGTGAGTGTCCTGAATGAGCATCTGAGTACTCACTTACCTGACTGGAAGCACTGGGATCTTCAGAAACTGAAGCAGGCATTTCGAAGGGGGCGGGCCAGGAGGCCCCACCCGAGTCGCTGGTCTGGTCTGAACTGGATGACTCCTGCTGTTCTGCAGCGGATGGGACAGGTTGGGCGGCTCCGTCGCCATTGATACTGGCCAAATCAGAAATAAAAAATATCACGTTGTTACCAAAATTAAGCTCATGTAAGTCTACTACTTTTTAAAAATTAGACTCCAGTCCTGGCTGGTTTGGCTCAGCAGTAGAGCACTGGCCCATGGACCAATGAGTCGTGGGTTCAATTCCGGCCAAGTGCACAAACTCGGTTGCAGTTCATCCCCAGCCCTGGTCGGGGTCCTGCGGCAGGGAACCAGTCAATGTGTCTTTCTCATGTCGATGTTTCTCTCTCTCTTCCCCCTCTCTCTTCCTTCCCACTCTATCTGATGATAAATGGAAAAGTATCCTCAGGTGAGGATTAAAAATAATAAAAACTAGACTCTATAATCAGGCATAAATCTCATCAAAAAAAAAAAAATATATATATATATATATATGATGTTAAAATGTCAACATTACCACAGAGGCAAACCTTAAATTATTATTTTTACTGGCTTTAAGTTAAATTTCAGATCAGAATGTACTTTTTCCTCGTAAGATAAAAGAAGCAAGTAGCCAAGTACCTGTAATATAAAAACTTGGAGAGAATCGCCTTCTGATACCAGTGCTCTTTGCTCTTTTTCTTCCTCTGCCACTTCTGATCAATAAGTCTCTGATAAAACTCTTTCAGCCACGTCCAATCACCAGTCTGAAGAACAAGAAACTGATTAATACAACAAACCTGTAGTCAAAACAATGTTACTTATTACTCTTTTACAGGAAATACTCTTAATTTTTTGAATACTGTTTCTTAAATACATATTCAAACACTTGTCTTTCTAGATTCAATTCCTATCACCTCTTCTAGAAAATCTCCGTCTCCACCCCTCCCTCAGCCAGGATAGGGGAGGTGGCCCTCTCCATAATGTTCCCTAGTTCCTGGATAAGCTCTCCTATGACACCGTATTGAGAGGATCTGTGTCTGTGTTTATAACCCTCAAACTGTACGCTGCTAAGAAGCAAGGACTGGTTTATCCACCATCATCCAAGACCTAGCACATATAATAGACTCAATAGAACTGTGGTCTTTTCGAAAGGAAAAAGATTTATTTTAAATGTCAATTTAAATCACCATAACTTATCTTTCTTTACCAAAGCATTGCAGGAATGATCTATAAAGAATAGTTTATGAGACTGCTGGGCCATTAACTATTTCCAAACAGTCCATGATTTAAGTATATAGAAATGGAGAGTAAGCCTTGGGAAACAGCAACATGGTTATTTTTTACAAAAGCATCCACACCAATAAGTTTCTTGCCAATCCTCTTCCTTTTCTATTTTTTTATTAAAGCTTTTTTTATGATCAGTCAAACTCATTGTTTCTTGGTTGCTGAAGCACCATGTTGCCACCATGTCAACTATGTTTCCACTTTGGTCTTTCTTTGAAACAAAGTTGTTCAAACAATGCTTTTATCTCACAGAGAGAAACACAAGGTTGTTTCCGCAGGAAGTACTACCTGCGACGACCTCATGAAGAGCTCCTGAATGTCCAGCTCGTCCAGCAGGAGCGTCCTCCCGACGCGGTGCACCGCCATGCTCACGTGGGACTTGCTGTAGGGGATCTTCAGGAGCTTCTTTATGTTCTTAGAAGTAATTCAGAGGAAAGAGAGTTTAGGAAGACCCTTTTAGTGTGATTCAGGATCTTTCCATTTTTAACTTCAGTTTTAAAGCGAAAGAAATCTTATTTCGCTAAGGTTACACAAACTGTACACGAAGAACTACGAGCACACGAAAGACAGAACTTTAAAACTGCCATCACCCGCACTTTACAAGTCAGACTATGTTAACGGAACTGGTGGTCATGCTGTTGTACTGACATAGGCTTTCAGCTTATCAGATAAAACTAACCAACTAAGGAGCAACAGATTTTGTCAGAAACATCATTGCTAATTCTCAACTGGCAATGTACAAAATCATCCCAAACATTCTAATCACTTGTAATTGCTAATTTTAAAATACAACCATCAATATTAGTATTATTACCACTGCCATTGTTTGTGGGGTTCCTTCCTCTCTGAAGAAAGGAGATGTGTTAAAGAGGTTACTTTAATAACAACAAAGGTATTCAATCATCAGATAGCTGTCTTATTTCATCAATAGTTTTTCAAGACTACTGAAAAAAGCATGCTATAAATGCCTAGCACAAACGTTCCCATTCCATTCCCCAATAAGGACACTTACCTCAGAGTCAGAAACAACGTCGACATCGTTTCCCACGGAATCAATGAAGTCATACGCCATTCCAAAGCTAACGAGGGAACAAAGGCCACAAAGGTCACGTTCATAATGATGCAGGTAGAGTTTATCATAGAACACTGCTTGTAGTTCATCACTTCTAGCACACACATCTCCCCCCGTCTGACATCTCAAATCAGCATGCCTGTCACCTGTACAGCTGGTTGGTTTTTCCTTCTTAGTGGTATATAAAATAATGGGGCTACTTAAACTTAATGGCATCTTAGATTTAATAAAATATAGTAATAATCACTAGAAGCAATAGGAAACATCTAGGATAAAAATAATGAATTTGTTTCTAATCACAAAGCCCAAAAAATCTCCAAGAGAAAACAGTTCAAGATGTTACTCTTTTTAGGTGGTAAGGTAAGAAAAATAGAAACATTTATTTTAGTCTCTGGGACTGTGTTCCTAGCGATACAACACTACTCTTCTATAACATATATGGAAAAAACAACACGCTGTGCCAGATACCACACGAGGCGCATCCGTAACCGACAAGCCTGCAACGTGCCTGGTGCCAGCATCTCTGTCAGTGAGTGGCAGAGAGCCAGGATGCTCAGCTAGGACCACCTCACTTCAAAGCACGCTCTGACCATGAACTATGTGGTCTGGGCAAATTACTTAGCCTTCCTAAGCTTCAGTTTTTCCATGTGAATATTAGTTAACAGTACCTAACCCAAGAGGGTGTTGTGAGAATTAAATGCCTTCAACATATAAAGTACTTGACACGATGTGTGTACAGTCAATGATTACCATTTAAATCACCTCGTAACATTTCATTGTGTTCACATATCATAATTTATTAAGCCATTCTTCTAAAGGAAGATACATGGACTACTTCCAACTTTTGCTAGTAGAACTATTGCTACAAACAAACATTTTGCAAATATAACTTTTACCTTGAGTGGCATTAGGATAATTTCCAAACCATTGGCTCATAACGCATTAATGTATTTATGGCTCTTGCCATATGTTACGGGGAAATATTTTAGGTTCAATTGCGGAGAGAAAAAAGAGAACCCCACACATTAAATGGTCTGTAAGAATATGGACATTCATACATTATTTTCAGTAAGACCCTAGGCTACTCTCTCGACTTGAACCACCACCAGCAGAATTCCAGCAAGTGTCCAAGTCAAGGGTACAAGTTGCCAGCACGCTGGATTTCCAAATCAGGCGTTTTCAGACCAGACAATCTACCACCATTTAATGAAAAGCTCCACAGGACAGACTAGGCAGAGTTAAGGGTTTTCCTCCTCAGGTATCACCCTCACGCTCTGTGTTCACATATGCAAGACATGTAAACTGGCTAAAAATAAAACATGGGACTGAATTTTAGGGGTCAAAATTCAGCTTTGTTAGTAACATGATGCAGACCCGAAAGAAGCATATGCAATTGATATCTTCCTATTATAATCTAGTGCTACTTGCAGAGGAAAAACAGGACTCTGAAAGTCAAATAGATCTTTTCCTAGAGATAAATTGCACCAAGCTGATGAGCATTACAAATTAAACTGAAAAGCAAGGATCAGAATTCAGTGATGGAGCAGAGTTTGAGGCATCAGTAAAAATACCACTGCTTGCCCTGGCCAGTTTGGCTCAGCTGTTGAAGCGTCAGCCACAGGACCAAAGGGTCTTGGGTTCGATTGCTGGTCAAGGGCACGTACCTGGGTTGCAGGTTCAATCCCCAGTCCCAGTTGGGGTTGTGTGGGAGGCTACCAACCAATGTACCTCTCTCACATCAATGATTCTCTTTCTCACTCTCTCTCCTTCCCTCCCTCCTTTCCGCTTTATCTAAAAAGATCAATAGAGAGATATCCCCAGGTGAGGATTAACTTCCCTCCTCCCCCCAAAACCACTGATTGATATTTACCTTGAAAAGGGCTTGCTTTTCTTACTGTTGCCAAGAATGGTGGTCCCCGCCGGCCCGAGTCTGGCGCTCTCTCGTAACCAGTTGGCAGGTGGGAGTTTCAAGTCTGTTTTCTCTTCGAGGCGCGCGAAGGCTGCCCGGGGAGGGGCAGAGGAGTACTTCACCACGGCCCGGCTCTTCACCTCGCTGCCTCCCAGAAACAGAGCCGACCCCTGAAGAGCACATTGAACGGCACTTTAGTGAGCAGACTAGGAATGAAAAAAAACCCACCTTCTTACAAAAACAAAAGCAAAGCACATCAGGCTCCATCAGAATGTATGTTACATGTTACTAAGGGCTCTTAATAAATGTGAGCCTAACCTGACACACTTAATAACTCTTTCTTGACATAATTTCAAAGAAAAGAACACGAGAGGAGGAACAGGATGCCGACGGTTACCCGCTGGGCACCAGGCCAGCCAATCCACCTTTCGTATTTTATTCAGGAAACCAAGGAAAGGCAATGCTACCATGTTCCCGAAACACAACGTTGGATCAAACCTCTGTTCGGCATCAAAGATGTATTTTAACCTCAGTGAGCTCCTCCCCCCCCCCTTGGGAAAGTCGTCTGTGGTGAGAACCTGGGGCTTCTTCGTTTTCAAGCAAAGGGTCAGGACCTGCTGAGTCGGCCCATTAATGCTCCGAACCTGTCGCCCTGCGGCCCGGCCCTGGCCCCTCGCAGCCAGCCTGCACACAAGCTCGGGGCCACACCTGGCCCTCCCGGGAGGGCCTGCGTCGCACCTCGGGGAGCTCCTTCCCGACACCCCTCTTCCCTCCAGCTGTGCAGGGCGGTGTCACTTTGCAGCCACAGGCTGACGTGCGCGCGCCTTGGCGGCGGCGAGGGGCGCACCCGGCGGTTACCACCGAGAGGGCCGCAGGGCTGCTCCGCACACGGACGGCGGGCAGGTAAACAAACGCCTGAACGGCCGACGGCGGGCACTCGGGCCTGCGCTCGCTCTGGGGGCGGCCGGGGAGGCGCCGGGGAGGCGCCGGGGACCGCGACAGCCTCCTCGGCGGAGCGGCCCGCCCGCGGCGGCTCACCTGCGCGGGTTCCTCGGCCTCTCCCTGGGACAGCAGGCTGAGTCCTCCGGGCGCAGTGGCCCCGGCCGGCGGAGCCTCGGCCCCCGCCTCCTTGGGGTCCCCCATCACCTCGGTCCAGCGCAGGCGAGGCGAAGCAGGCCCCGAGGAGCCGTGACAGGAGCCCGGGCCCAGCAACACTGCGGTGCAGCCCAACAGGCGCCAGAGACGCCCCGCACACACACTTCCGTTCTCCTACAGGAAAAACTTGCGGGAGCGCGTCCAACTCTCGCGAGGTTTGCGGCGGAGGCCTGGCCCCGCCCCCCCGCGGGTAGCCACCTTCGCGGCGGGGCGGGAGCTGTTGTACGCATGCGCCTGTCCGAGCCTCAGCGAAGACCACTTCTCGCGGTATCTGACTTCCAGGCTCCACCCCTTGCAAGATGCTCGTCTGTTGGCCAATAGTTCTTGGCACCTGGGCTCGGGGGACAGTCGGTGTCGCCGAGGTCCTTGCTGCGTGGGAGGGAGGCGTGCTGTCCTCGTGACCAGCGGTCCCGTGGTGTAAGGCAGTGCAGCGTAGCAGGCCCCGGTCCCCAGCCTCCAGTGCCGCCTCGGTTCACCAACGGGCACGCGAAGACGTGCCCAGGTGAGGGGCGCTGAGCTCCAGCCCGCCCCACATCACAATGCGCGGGTGGGCCGCAGGCCCGAGGCTGGGAGCGGCGCCCCGTGCGCAGAGGGCGTCCTGCGCCTCGAGGGGAAGGGCTTCAGAGGCGGTGGCAGCTCAGCAGGGTTTGCAAGGTGCCGCGATGGCAGCGTGGAGGCTCGGAGCGTCGTGGGAAAGCCCGCTGCCCGCCAGGCCCCGGGGAAGGAGCTGGCCGAGGGCGGTCCAGCTGGTGCAGCGGCTCGGCGCTGTGGTGCCTGGGAGACACCCGGGCGTCTGGTTGACAGGCAGGGTCTGATTTAGGTCTGGCCTGAGCCTGAGCGTCTGCATTTCCAACAGACTCCCAGGAGGGGAGCCAGTGCAGTGAGGAGCCGGAGGTAGCGCAACAGCTGGCGGTCTTCAGCTTGGCAGGTGCCAGGCTCTCTTATCCGCGGACTGTGCACCCAGTGTCTTCTCCAGCGTAGTGAAACGCAGCCACGTCCTTCATAAAAATGTGTTGTGCTTTGCGTAAAACATGGAGAGTTTTTTTAGAGAGATAATTTATAAAAAGGGGGACATCTGTAATACTTTCAACAATAAAAATGTTTAAAATAATTTGTCTTGCAGTATGTGACTTTATCTTCATTAGGCTCTGGTAGCTCATTGTGTGCATATTCAGAAGTCCTTGTGCCAACACGCTCAACTAGCTAATTGTTTTGAAGTGTAACAAAACATTTTTATGAGTTATAGTTAACAAGGAATTTGATACAATAGTACATTTTGTAGACACATCAACGTGTATTGATTTTGATATCATTTTGTTTGTATTTTGTAGTCAATTCTTTTGGGGGGGGCAAGGAATATATTGTTATAGTAAAAAAATGAACACAACTATAGTAGCCAACATTAGGAGGTTGGTTGAGTCTGTTTTTGGTACATAATGCCATTAGCTTGTTTTTCAAGAACATTTAACATGTACATGACATGATGTTAAATATTTTAAAAAGCAAATATGCAATATAATCTTAATTTTATTACTATTTTTTTAATCCTCACTTGAGGATATTTTTTCATTGATTTTCAGGTAGAGTGGGAGGGAGGGAGACAGAGAGAAACATCAATGTGAGAGAAACCCATCGATTGATTGCCTCCCACACGACCCCAACCAGGGCTGGGGATCGAATTGCAATCGAGGTGCATGCCCTTGGCTAGAATCAAACCTGCAACTCTTTGATCCACAAGCCAACCCTCTAACTGCTGAGCCAAACCGATCAGGGCATGATCCTAATTTTAAAAACGTGTCTACTGCTGTGTTTATGTCCATAAAAACATGAGTGGTAAGATGGAGGGATTTAAACTTTATTCTTTTAAGCTTCCCTTTTTTTCTATTTTTTTCTTTCTGGTTATGCATTACAGATGCACCTCATTTTATTGTGCTTAACTTTATTGCACTTCACAGGTGTTGCATTTTTTACAAACTAAAGACAAAACCCTCCACCGGCACAATGATGACAGCTCGCTTTATTGCTGTTCTTGCATCGTGATGGTGGTCTGGAACGGACCCCGCCATCTCTCCAAGGTATGCCTGCATTTTATAGTAAACTGTAAGTTTTATTACATGTTTAAACATATACATATATAAAATTTAGCTTCTAATCTTTAAATTCTGTTATTTTATTGTACCATTCTTTGTGAGAAGGGTTTCCTGAGTTAGCAGTACTTCTTTTTTCAAATAGATTGCAGGCTTCTTGAGAAGTAAGTGCCTGAACTCTTGTTGATGCTGCTTAGTGGGAACGTGTGCTAGAGGCTGCCTCCAAAAAGGCAGGGAAGACTGAAACAGAGAGGCAGGAACTCCGCACGGAAAAGGGGATTCAGCAGCAGGGAGGATCCTGGGAGCAGAGGGGCTTGTCAGGCTGGGGGTTCAGGGGCTCTCAGGTTGAGGGAAACCTAAGAAGGGCTGGGTTTCCTGGGGCCATGCACAGGGCTCGGACAAGGGAGATTTGGGTAGTAGAGGAGGGTGATCCCCGAGAACAGGAGAAACTGGGCACATCTGAGCTACAGAAAGTGTATAAATCCTTTTTGTTCTGAGTTCTTATTAATGTTTCTTTTCCTTATTCAAAAATCTTTATGTGCTGTGGGTTTTTCAAAGAGTTATCATTGCTTCTAACGTAAGTGATTGAAATATAATGTGGGGAAACATGGATCATTACTTCCAGAATTCCACATTTTAAGACATTTATGTTCATGTTTGTACTGTACCAGTGTCTGCCTCTCCCCTCCTTCCCCGTCCCCCAGCTCCCAGGCCCCCTCAGGATGCACTTGATCATCCGTGGCCTGCTCTGCGTTGTAGGTGGTTATCCTGGTTCTTGTCACCGATCTGCGCTGTCCGCAGTTACCTGCCTCCCCAGTGCCTGATGCCCTTACTACTTACGAAATGTTTGTTGGATAAATAAACTGCTTAATAGTTTTCTGCTTATGGAACAAGTTGTCTAGATGCGTCTCAGGTATCAGCCCCGCTCCTTCCCCCTTAGGGTCCCTTTCTTTGTTTCTTTGTTTCCAAAGCTTGTGTGTAGCTTCATCCTGCACTTGTTACTTGATAGAAAAGCTACCTGTTTGTATCTGCCTCCCTTGCGGACTGCGCTCCTCAGGGATAGTGTCCTGTCTGATCACACCTCTGTTTCCCCGCACCAGGCACTGCGTTAGCCTTTGGGCAAGGTGGGGAAAATGACTAGTGCCAACAGGCTTTTAAAATGCTCATCAAAACGTTCAAGACATAAAAACAATGTTGTTGGCTCTGAAATATTTTTTCAGTCTGCAAAATCAAAGCTAAAAATGTTTAATGAAGTATCTTCCAATTATTTCAGTGTTGATATCTTTCTTCAGGTTAGTATCACAGTTCGTTCCTTTCTAGAATGTGCAGGTTGGGCTTTCGTTGATGACAAAAACCTTCCCAGCATGCATGACAGTTTCAGAGAAATCCCAGTAATTGTGAGTTTATTTTTTCATAGCACATAGTATTTTCCAAAGCACAAGTAGAAACCCTTTCAGAAACCTGTACAGGAAGACAGTTATCTATAAGACAGATGTGCCCGGGGCCCTCGGAGTTTCTAAACAGCCCGGTGGGCAGAGAGGGGGACAGCCGGGGAACAATTCGACCGGGGCTTGTGCCCTTCAGTTTGCCACAGTCCCCTCTAGGACCTAGCGTCTTACACCCATACAGCCTTACTTGTTTACTCTGCTTGCTAGACCTCGAAAGGCCCTGAGTTCCTGACTCCTGGACTTTTAGAGCTGGAAGAGAGATTGGAGGTCGTCTGAGCCAACGCCATCCTTCTTTAGGCGAGAGCCGCGCAGTCCGGCGAAGAGAACGGAACTGGCGTGAGTACCATACGAAGCTAGTGAGCACAGAGGCAGGACTAGAACCCGCTCTCGCAGGCGGGGCTCCCAGGTAGCCTCCTAAAAAGTCGGATTGCAGACACAGGCTAGTGGAAGTGGCAGACACAGGCTAGTGGAAGTGGCAGACACAGGCTAGTGGAAGTTCCATTTCTTTCAGAATCACCTGAGGAGCTTAAGTGAGGAGACCTCCAGCCACCCCCAGATTCTAAATCAGTATCCCTGGGGGTAGTGTTAAGGAATGTCTATTTTTAGTGAGGTCACCTTGGGACAGTGATCTCCAAAGACAATCTTCTAGGGTGCAGATAGAACTGTAACTTTTTTTTTTTAATCTGAAAAGTAAGGGCAAAATTAAGCCTTGCTAAGACTTAATGTATACATTGACCTTGGGCCACGGTCAGCTGATGTATTAGTCAAATAAGATTGGGTTATGTGGCCCTGGCTGGTTTGGCTCAGCAGTTAGAGTGTTGGCCCATGGACCAAGTAGTCGCAGGTTCGATTCCAGTCAAGGGCACATACCTATGTTGTGGTTCGATCCCCAGCCCTCTTTGGGGTCGTGAGGGAGGCAATACTATGTGATGTGTGTCTCTCTCACATCAGTGTTTCTCTCTGTCTCTCCCTCCCTCCCACTCTAAGACAAATGGAAAAGTATCCTCAGGTGAGAATTAAAACAAAAATAGACTGGGTTACGTGGCTGAAACAATCCCCAAGTGTCCAGGCCATCACAACTAGGGTTGCCAGGCAAGATACAGGACGCTCTGGTAAACTGAAACTTTTGATAAACTGTAAAAAAAGTTCCGGATAAGAAAGTCGGAGATATTCAGTGTAAGTGTGTCCCTGCTGTCTTTGCTCTGGACCCAGCGGACGCAGAAGCCTGATCGGGCGTGTTGCCAGCTGGAGCGGCGGGTGGAGAACAGGACGGAGGGACTGCGGACTGGAGCCTAGTGCTTCCGATCAGAATGACACCACCCCTGCCGCACACTTTCGTCTGCAATGAGACGTGTGGTCAAGCTTCGCGCACGTGTGACAGGGAAGAGCAGTGCTCCCCCCGGAGGGGCACTGCGTGGCTCTGGACCATCGCCGAGTCTTCCACAGCACACGGTGGCATAGATGGGCTATTGGATGCCATCCACGTGGTTACATTTGGTGACAAGACAAAGCCTTTGGGGAATGGTTTCAGACTTTTGTGATAAGATGCGTGGTGACCTTGAAAATCTCATGTACGACAGAGATCACAGATCATCTTGGAACAAAGCACTTTATAGAAATGTCAAGCTTTGCCCTGGCTGATTTGGCTCAGCGGTTAGAGCATTGGCCTGCGGTCCAGAGAGACCCAGGTTCGGTTCCCACTAAGGGCACGTACCTCGGTTGCAGTTTGTCCCCAGCCCTGGTTGGGTTGTGTCCCTTTCACATCAATGTTTCTCTCTCTCTCTCTCTCTCTCTCTCTCTCTCTCTCTTCCTCTCTCTCCCTCCCACTCTATCTGAACAAAAAAATGGAAAAAATGTCCTCGGGTGAGGATAAAAAAAACAAGTTACCGTATTTTCTCTTTCAGACGTGTTCCACATCTTGTCATCTTTGCTGTGATATGGAAGTTGTCATTAGGATGCTACTTACGGAGCTTCACAAAAACAGACTCAATCTGTTCCTTCAAGATGAAGGTGATGGTTTAACAATGAACGAGAAAGTCATTTGTTTTCAGAAGAATCTTATACTAGGAAGAGCATTTTTGAAAATATATGTTTGGACATTTCTCCAATGTTATTGTGATTTTGTGGCTAAAAATGATGTGTATTGCTTATTTTAAGGGGAAAAAAAGTCATTATTTGCACACTTCTCTTAGAAACAGAAGTTTCTAACCACGTTTCCAAACCTCCCCAATGGAGAGTCTGCACGTTACGTATGCCGGGGAACGCAAGGAGGCCGGTGGTGCAGATCAGCTCACCTAAGGCGGGGTGCTCAGCAGACAGCACCCCGTGACTGCCAGCCTCCGCGCCTCTCGGCCACACTCGCAGGGCTTTGGAAACGTCTGTCCACGCCGTAACTTTTCCTTTGATCTGCTCGCTGGCCTGCTCAGAGCCCAGACTGATCTCTGTCAGCTGCTACCTGATTTGTTTACCCAAAAAATGTGTCTGCAAGAGTCGCCGTTCCCAGGCTGCCTGCAGGGTCTTCCTCTCCCCTCTCTCTCATACATCCTGTTTTTAAATTTCGTTCCGTGACAGCTGCCAACTGGCCCTTCTTCCTCATGCACAGAGTAAACAAGTTGCATGTCAAGCAACAAGCTAAATCTCTGGATGATTCCTCAACACCATTTAATGGGTTGGGAAGAAAGACGGATGGGCTGCAAAGAAGATGGAAATTTAGCCAAATTTCGGTGAAAACCTTTGCATAGTTTGTGGGTATAATGGACACGAGTCGTGGGACTTGGTGAGCTCTGAGGACCATGTGATTCTCCCGCAGGTCCTTATCTTTTGAGATATTTTAAGCAGTGACAGCCATTAAAAACAAGTTTGAAAATAAACTGAACTTAAAAGGACACTTCGGATTGTTATATCACAAAGTTTTCAACCGGGGTCTCAAAAATAAAAGAAACCTATTTGACCATTTTAATCTCTTTTTAAAAATGTTAGAGCAGATCTAGTTTGCAGTCACACTTAAAATATTATAAACATTGATTGCTTTGACTTTTGTTTATTTATTTTTATCATCCTCACCCGAGGACATTTTTCCACTTTTTGTTCAGATAGAGCGGGAGGGAGAGAGAGGAAGAGAGAGAGAGAGAAACATCGATGTGAAAGGGACACATCGAGTGGCTGCCACCCGCACGACCAACCAGGGCCGGGGCCAAACCGCAACCGAGGTACATGCCCTTAGCGGGAACCGAACCCGGGTCCCTCCGGATCGCAGGCCGATGCTCTAACTGCTGAGCCAAACCGGCCAGGGCTGCTTTGACTTTTAAAATGTTCTACATTTCTATTTTATGTGACTGCATTACTGCTAGTATATCATTAATAAAGAAATAAATATCCAGCCCTAGCTGGTTTGGCTCAGCGGTTGGAGTGTCGGCCTGCGGACCAGAGAGTCCCGGGTTCGGTTCCCGCTAGGGGCACGTACCAAAAAAAAAAAGAAAGAAATATCCATATACTGGGGCTGCATGTTCAGAATTTTTTTAAACCTAATAATGGTGTGATTAAAAAAAAAGGTTTATAAACCATTGCTTTTAGAAGAACTACTTTGGACACACCGCAGCATCAAAAACCAAATGCTAGCTACTCTCAGTCAAGAACAGCCATCAAGTTAAGGATCTCTATTTTTCTTTTTACACTTTGATTCGATAAGAGTGGAAGACTTTTAAAGTATAAGGCAACACAGACCTTGATGTTCAGTTTACCTGGCAATAGCAAGATACTCTCGGTTGCAGGCACATGATGTCTCGTTTTATTAGTAGGTGATCGTTACGTAATTGCTGTTCGGTAGACTGACAACATTTAAGTCAAGTATTTGGAACTATGTGGAAATGATCTGGGCAGCGTTGGAAGGGCTTCCTTTCTAGATACCTGGATGAACTAAAATGCCTTTGCTGGCTGTTAGCATTGGCTTTCAGAACAGGACGCAAGGAGGGCAGGGACAGGTCACCTCTGTGGAGCGTCCCTTTCACGGGGTGCCTCCTCCGAAGCTGACAATTACCCTACAGGAATTCCAGGAAAGGTTCAAAGTCGGCAGCTCTTCAGGTACCCCGTTGGTGCCCCCTGCTGTGCCAGCACCTTTGGCGGAGCCTGCGGAGGGAGGGATTCCCAGGCGAACCTTTCAGCCCATGCCAGGCAGGTGCGGCTGGTGGGTTCCCTCTGCCTTTCCGCTCAAGGGCTCGGCCTTTGCAGACCCGAATGAACCACTGAGCTATGGAGCATTTACGAGAGGAGGGTTCCCGTGAGACGCTGATTGCGTGCGGGTCGCGTCCTGGCCACGGCCTGCACCTCTTTACCAGACATTTCTGTACGTCCGTCTTCCTCGTGGGCATCGAAGACCTCTAGTTCTCAGTGTCCTGCAGTCACGAGGGTCCTGGTGACAGAATCCATTGCGTGCGAACGTTGGGCAGAATGACAACTGCCGGATGAACTGTGGGTCTTATCCACACAGGACCATCTTTTACATATTTGTTTACTTATTTATTTTTCTGCCTAAGAAATGGAGACAGAATCCACACATGTCATTATCCCTGTGTACACTTTTGTGTCCCACCCCGAAGGCAAGAGCAATGCATTTTCTGAGTGTCTGGACTTTTGCTCCTTCTTATCACAAAGGGCTTGAGGAGCTCTGGCCCCTGGCGTTTGCCCTGAGTGACAGTGCAGGCAAACCCTTGCTTCCCGGAGAGCCTGGGGCTGCGGGAACCCACGGCACGCCACCGGCGGAAAGCGGACACGCGCCACGCCTTCGCACGTGCTGCTTGTGGGGTGTCTCTCTGGAATCTTCCTCGTCTGTCACCGTGGTGCCAAAGGACTGGCCTCGTCTCCGTTACAAAGACCCTTATTTTCATGGCCTGGAAGGAGGGGCGGGCCCAGGAGTGGAGGGAGAAACTTCAACTCTTCCTTTGTTTCTCCCTAAAACTGCTTGGACGTAGCCTGTGTAGGTGTTTAGAGTTTTTTTTTGGAAAGACCTGAGTATGAAGTCAGTACAGTGCCTTGTGCACCTTGGCTTCAGTGAGTGTTTATCTGGTCACTGGGACGCACGGGAGAATCGAAGTGGTAGGGAGGGTCGTAAGGAATCATTGACCGACTGGCAGAGGGCGGTCTGCCCCAGCCTCCACTGCCCCCAGGAAGAACCCCCGAGTGGAGGAACTTCCACCAGGACGGCGGCTGTGACCTGGGCACATCCTTTCTTGTAGGGCCCCTGCTTGGTGTGATTGCAGGAACATCAAGGACTCTCTGCCCCGGAAGATCTCCGCTGTGCCTTGTCACATGTGCGGTGAGGGGTTGCCAACATGCACGTGTGACGATCAGTTCAAGTAGAGTTCTGGGGAGCTTCCATTCCCGTCTGGGATGTTGTGGAACAGGGGTCGGGGCCATAGCAGTGAGCGGGGCGTACAGATGCAGGGGGAGAAGGGGGAGGCGGGCAGGAGGGCTGCCCCAGAGAAGGATGGCCCCCGAGTGGAGGGAGACCCACCTCCCAGCCCCTGCCCTCATACCTCTACCTGGGTCTCCTCTGGGTTTGCAAACCCGCTGCTGCTCCTCCTCCGTTGCCTTCCTCCTCAGATCTTGTCATCACAAGAGTCTGCAATGCATTCCTAAGTAGAGAGAACGGTGAAACAGACTCCATCAACCATCGCGTCAACCGCCCAGAACAGTCGGCTCCCATCCAGTCTGCTTCCCCCTCCTCCCCTTCCTCGTATTATTCTTGAAATCAGCTCATCCTTAATCGTGTTTAATTTAGTCCTCCCTGTCGCATGTTTCTGGCCATTTCCCTCGGCCCTGTCGATCACCATCTGAGGCAGTCTGCTGGGTTGGCGACGGAAAGACTCATTTCTCGGCAGAAGTGATTCTGGGAGGAATGTTGGGATTGACCAAGCAGTGTCTTCATTCAGTGCCTCAACAGACTCTTCCTGAGTCCTGGCCACAGGGCTGGGTTCCAGATGTCAGCAGCACAGGGGCCGCAGCAAGTGCCCAGTAATAAAAGCGGAATTCGATCACCGAGAAAGGGAAAGTACTAGGTGTGGCGGACGTCCCCAGGGGTGACAAACACACAGGGCCGGGACGCGTGAAGGTGGTGGGGGGCCAGGAAGGGCCCGTGGAGCCTGAGGAGGGTGGGAAGGGACTTAGAGGTCAGGGGACGGGTGAGGTTGGAACACTGAGAGGGTGAGGTTGGAGGGGTGGTGGGTCACGAGGTGCCTTTGGGACGTCTGAAAGGGAAGCCAGCAGGCAGGGGGATGGGCCACTCTAGCTGTCAATGGAGGTCAGGGGCTACAGATTTCCGTGTGACAGTCATCTCCATGAGGTGGTGAGCCAGAAATCAGGGGTGCGGTGCCTGGGGAAAGACCACCTACTGACCTGGCAGGAGCAAAACCTCCCAAGCCCCCCCAGTGCAGCCGAGAACCCTAAGAATGAAATCACCAGAGCAGTGAACTCGAATGAGAATGGAAACCTCCCAGCAACCTTGGATATGACATTTGTCACTGCAAACAGGCCTGTGACGCACACCTCACCTGCGACAACAAAGAGGATTACGGATGAGTTGGTCACCGTCCCACAGGCCCTCTGGGGCTCGTGAGTTTAAATTAGGTTCTTGCTACTTGCACAGTGTGTGTTTGTAAATACATCTTGCCGGCATATTTTATGCTTCAGTTAATTTAGTTGACATCTAATTTAGTTGACATATAAAAATAAAATCAATTTTCAGACAAAATACCCATAAAATAAGTGAAATGCTATAATAGGCTTCAAGAAATTAAAATGTAATATATTTAGGCTTCTCTTCTAAAGCAATTTCATCTAGAATAGTAGATATTGTAGAAGCAATTTTTTTCTGAGTCTGTCAATTACACAATTATAAATGTAGCTACTATATATTCAGAAATTTATTGCTTGGCATAGTTTGTCATGTAAAATGAAAAATTTTGTTGAGGTTTCCTTAAAAAATGTCAAGGAACTTAAAAAT